TCAATTTAGCCACAAAAACACACATCAAATTACCAAAACATAAATTGATTAGTATAACTAATGAAATAATACCCTCAATGATGCATTACCTAATATAAATTAAGGTTTTGTAATCGCAATAGATAGCAAGATGAGCTTATTATCACAAATTAGGGTGTAAAACTTTCATTAATGACTTAACAGAGACAAGTTTCATCTAGTTTTATGAACATTTTACCTTTTGATGGATTAATTTTTACCAGGCTAATGAGAACAGAGAACTGACTCCCTTGAGCTTGTCTTTGTATCCATTTTAGCCTTTTGTGCTTCATCTGATTCTGCTAAGAGAGAGACCTGAAAGCAAGAACAAAGCTGCCAACATTCACATAAGAACCACAAACTAAACTACAATACCTACATACCTGATTGTATGAGGGAGACGTACAGAAAGTAGTGCTGAGCTCATTCAGACAAAATTGAGAGTCTGTGAATATAATTTAAAAGATTTTTCATAAATTCTCACTCAGGATTTAGATCTGGGACTCTGATTGGATCTGATTCGTAAATATGCTTTAATTTATGACATTCCATAGTTCTGACAGTATGCTTTAGGGTGTTGTTTTTCCTGGCATATGAATCTCAACCCCAATTCCAAGTTTCTAATACCCCCAACATGTTTAATGTTTTTGTGACATAATAAAATCACCTATTTTTATTAGTTTTAATCAGTTACTGATGGCAATATTAAAGGCAAAAAGAGATCATCTAAAAACTTCTGCCTTGAAATAAATGCAAATTAACTTTCTGTAGATTGTAGTAACAATTCTCTTAAACTCTTCTTGATTTTGTCAAACACTATTTTCCTCTACTGCCCACTTTGGCTACTCTTGCTGGATTCCATAATTTAGCCAGAATGAAAGAAGCTTGTAGCCTTTGTGAACTTTCAACTGTTTTTCCCATTCAGATTATAGATCAATCATCCAAGTTATGGCAGATGTTGCTGTTACTGATAAATTGCAGGGGCAAATACTGTGTTCCCTATGTGCTGTGAAGGAAGTCCATAACTGTAATATTAGAGCAGAAACCTGACTGTTCCCTTACAGCCAAGGGAGTCGGGTGCTTTCTCTGGGTTTGCAGGGAGTTCAATAGCCACGTCTGACTGAATAAGGCACAATCTGAGATGGATTGCTCTAGCAGTAAATGCTGTCGGGTCAAAGAAGTTCTACAAAACTTTTCTTCTCTCATCTCATCGATTTAAATAGAACTTTGACCTCCATTTTTTTTCTTCTGAGAGACAACAGTCTTTTAAATTTTAGGTTTTGTTAATCACATTTAGTAAATATGATTTGAGGTCACTTTTAATAGTTATTACCTAGCATTGGGAAGTAAACTGGGCTTGACAATGGTGCAGTGAGTTACATGATTTACTTGTAGCAAAAAAGGTGCTGGGTTTGGATCTGGTTGCCTAGTTGTGCCTGGTGATGGGCATAAGTGGGTATAGACAGTGGATCGATGGGGAATAAATATTTTCAGCATGCCTTTGTTTCATAACATTGTTTTCTGATCTTGTGTAAGATGTCTGTCTCGTTCGTCTCGTTTATCAGAAACAAACATCTTGCTTGAGTAGAGATATTTAAAAATTCAAATCTACTAGGACTATAAATAATTGCTTAATTTATGCATCTGCTAATTTAATTATGAAGTGAGAAATTTATCTTTCACATCAGTTTTTCACAGATTATTAGTCTGATTATGAGAATTTTTAAAGCTTAAAGGATGTTAAAAGCCAAATTCCAGGTAGCGTCTTTCTGTTTTATGTGTTTGCTCATTTATATGTTCTGTTCCAGGCAAGTTGGAGGCTTTGACCTCATGTGTATTAAGTTTCTTGTTATGTAACTGCTAAATAAAATAATGATTTTTACAAATATACAATACTTCTTTATATAAATATGAAACCCATAGTCAATTCGATAAAAAGAAAAAAAATCTGTATACCATTTAACAATTCTGATTGTAGATGCATGATTCAATCATTGAACTGGGTCATTTTGGGAATGAATTTGCTGCCATGAGGAATACTACACAATAAACTGGATTCATTTATTCAAGTCAGCAAACAAATCCGTTTCAGAGGGAAACAAAAACAACATAATGCAGCAAAGATTATTCTGCAATCTGCACAGCTGTTGACATTCAATACCAACAATCTATATGTGTGATACAATCATAACAGCTTTAAAAATAACCTCAGGTTTTCTCTAAAATGATTTTTTTGTTTGCTTGACTGATTCCACAGTGCATACATTCCAGAAAATGTCCCAACACTTCTGTGCAATCTCAGGACATTAAACAAGCTTAAGCTTTGCTAAGCAAATCTGCTAGATTCTGGAGAGGTGGGAAAAGAAAAACATATATGAAGTATGACACACTGATGGTTATGGGAATTATGTGTCTGTCGTAGTCCTCTTTGAGAAATAATTAAGCAAAACTGCTCATGAATATGAAGCACATTTTCATCCTGAGGACAAATAACCTTTTTTTTCTTTGACTGAAGTCCAAATCTGCTTGATTGGTGCATGTTCAAGTTCTGATGGTGTACAATGCATTACATAATAATGTGCTTCATCAGTGACCTGAAATAATTTAAAACCCATTTGCCATTAAAAGAAGTTTACAAGATGAGTCAGCTATGGAATAAAAGGCTTATTTCAGCCATCAGAAGTCTCTATTCCTTGTTGAAATTTCTGGGTTTTAACATCAGGCTCCTGGTGGGGAGTTGAGGGGGTTATGGGTGTGGGCTGGGGCATTGTCTTCCACAGTCTACAGACATTCAGACCAGGTGAACTGGAAACTGTAAAGTGCGCACAGGTGTGAATGTGTTTGTCCACGTGTTAGTCTGACCTGTCTGGGATGTTTCCCAGCCCGATGCCTCGTGCGAAGTGGGGACACGCTTCAGAAGCCCTCTGACAGGGCAGAGCGGAATAAGAATGAGTAACTGGAATGCATGGATGGATTGATAGGCCTCACATTGAGAGACACCGCTGCCTTCGCTGACACTGAGACTGATAATGACCGCGTTAAGATGGGCCACGGGACACGTGGCCATTAGTGGCTGATGTTGGAGCACTTTCACAGAGTCCTTGGGGAGAGTACCTCTCAATTTGAAATTCTCAACATTCTTTCAGCAAATCAATTCAGCAAAATAGTCTGCCCTTGAATTTCATTACATGCTGTCAAATGTGGATGATTTGCATTTACACCCTTCACCTTGCATGTCGTGTTTATGACATGTAAATGTTTTCTTTTTTTAATCCTGTGTCTGGATATGTACTTTATATAATGAGCATCAGTTAAAAGAAGGATTTGACGTTCTTTATAGTTATAAAGAAGATATTTAGATAGGCTTGTTTCCTGTCCACAGTTGCACTGGACTCTGGAATGCTTTATCGAGTTTGCCACAAAATTCTCCAACTCCTAATTCATGCGGTGTTCATCTTGGAGTTAATTTATTCACATTTGATTTCCCTTTATTGTGCTTGAACAGACAACACGATAACATTTCCCCTGTACTATCAGAGCACCAGCCATGTGCGTATCCTGGGTTGAGTGATTCTGCACGTCACTGTTGCATTTCCAAATATTTTCTGAGCCTTTCAACACAAAATGCCTTAGAATCTATTTCTCCTGTTAACATGAGTACAAAGGATGGGCTTCTGTCCTTCAGTCTGTCTGAGGAATGCACACAAATTATACTGTACATAGCTAAAATATTTGTATACATGTAAACTTTTCATATTTTATCACTTTACAATCACAAATTTCAATGTGTTTTTTAAATTTGGATTTAATGTAATAAACTGCCCCAAAGTAGTGCATTTGTGAAATGAAAGAAAATAATTATAGAAATCAAAGAATGACATGTATTTGGCTTCATCAATGAAATGAGGCCTGCATGTTATTTGAGGTATGTTACCAGGTATGTTTTGCACATCTAGAGAATAGTTTTTTGTGTCGTCATTCTTTATAAAATAGCTCAGACTTTATACATTTTATTCAGCTCTGTACTTTGACAGGACCACTGTAAGAAATGAATATACTTTATATGTAATAATGTTTTAACAATAAATTCCTTCTTGCCACTCTCTCATAAAGACCAGAATTCTTCGGTGAAATAAATAGTTATTGAGAGATTCTTGCACCTGAGGTTTGCATCTCAGCAGGTCCTCCACAAATACCACAGGCATCTCAAATAAAACTCTCCTCTCGTGGATAGTCTGTTTAGGTAAAACAGTCATGAGCTGAAATGTTTACAGTTCTGCTAAACTTTTTCACTTTTTTCAAATATACCATTTGAAAAAATGGTATATTTTGCCCCCCTCAACCCCAAACAACAACAGAGAAACAGATGAATGCAGTGCTTCAGTGGCTCTTCATAATCTTCATAATCTTGTTTGTCCATGACTTCATCATTAAAGTAATTTCATAAACAACCAAGGCCTTAACTGAACAACTTTATTTTGTGAGGATTTCGGTTTTTCTCTGTGTTGATTTAGGTTTCTGTGTCGTTTTCAGTTAGTTTCCGTGTTGTCCTGTCTACCCCTTGATTGTTCCCAGCCATGTCTCGTTTCCTGATTACACTCTGTGTATTTAATCACACCTGTGTTCCTTGTCGGGTCCTTGTCTAATCTGTCTAGTGTGTCAAGCAGTCTCAGTCATCTAATAACTGACTGTATGCTGTCAGTTATTAGTAGTCTCAACCAGATGCTACCAATAGCTAAGCTTTAGCCTTCTGCTCATTTCTGTGCTGCCTGGATTTTTGGACATGGTATTGCTGACTTCATCATTAAAATCATCATCATTTCTTCTTTCAACCTGGTCCTGGAGTCTTCCTCACCATCTCTTCACTGCATATCATGACATATTTATTTTAAAATTAGAATTAGAACTAGTATTAGAACATATGTGGACTCCAATTAATGAATTAGGTGACTTTTAAAGGAAATTTATTACCCTGAATTTTATTTAGTTGCTAGATATGTCTATGTAAAAAGAAAAAAAAAAACATTTTTTTAAACTTCAAAATTATACACTACCTGGCTTGTCAATTGCACAAATCCCATGAAAATACACAGAACAAGACAAAAGGTTAAAAATTTCAAAGAGCCTGAAAGCTTTTTCAATTCACTTTATACTAATTACAAAATCAGGCATGTTAAAAGAGCTTTTCACGCATAAATTTAAAGCAAGGGGAAAAAAAGAAAAACGTAACTGTTGGCAAAAATTTTAAATACACAATAACATCCATGATGTGTTCACGAAAGAAGTTCTCACAAATGAGTAGTTATCAAATAAATATTCATAGAATAATTAAATGATTAAGGAAAAATCCCCCAGGTATCAGCATTGGTAATCTTAATAGCTCAGCTCAGGCTGTGTGTAGTAGGACGTGGGTGAAAAGATCTCACCCAAACAACCCCAAGCATGTGCCAGTGAAAATAATAAAAGCTCTAAGAAATGTGAGGCTGAGTTCACACAGCGATTGTGTGCGTGTGTGTGAGCTTTTATGTTTGGAAAAATACAATGTATGACGCGCACAACACATAGACGCACGTTGATATTATCCCCACCTGCCCCCCTCAACCCCAAACAACAACAGAGAAACAGATGAATGCAGTGCTTCAGTGGCTCTAAATAATATATGTATCGGCTTTGATTCACAGCCAATCACGGACGATTCTCACGTGGCACAGGTGAAGGCGTTGAGAGAACACATGAATTTCCTCTGATTCCTGCAGCTTATCGAAGATCCAAGGGATTGGTGGTGGATTAGTGCTTGTTTACACCAGGATAAGCATAACAGACGCATGTGTGTCTTTTTTTTTTAATATCCCTGTACAATTATATTTACATGCTGCAGCAGAGGTGTTGTATTATAAACACAAAATAAAGTCAGAGAGAATTGCTGCCTCTTTGCTGTTCATAAAGGATTAATAAATGTTCTAAACATTCTGTAAGCAGTCTGGTTAATGGTTCATTTACACCCCTCCCAGCTTCCTGTTGGTTCAGATCCAGTTGAATTTCTGTTCGTCCGAGTGGCTCTCCTGGCTCTGAGCGACACCAGGTTCAGAAGTCTTTCGAGCTCATCTCCAGATCCGCTCAGACCGGCAGAGCCGAGTCCGTCCTGTTCCTCCTGTGATCGCCTCCATTCCTCCTCCTGTAGATCCCAGGCTCTCAAAGGGGGCATGAGTTGAGCCGGGTGCAGGTTGAGGCCTGGTGGGCTTGACGGGTATCCCTCGTACGCTCGCCGTGTTGGCGGTAGAGTGTCATAGAGACTCTCGGAGTCGTCATTTGGCTCTGGATCATGGCAGGCCTCTCTGTACTCCTCGTAAATAGGCGAAGAGCTGTCTTCAATACTGTCATGGCCATGCAGCTGCAGATGTTCTCTGTGGTGCGCCGCCACATCCCTGCTTCTCATCTCTGTCTTTTTCCCTTCCCCTTCGTGTCTCCTCTTTTCATCTCTGTGCACAGTTTGTCTTCTTTCCCACTCGCCAGACTGATTCCTCTCCCACTGGAAGGTCCTCCTCCTGTTCGCCTGGCCCGACTCATGGCCTCTGTCACCGCTGCAGCTCATCATTCTGGAGTCGAGCTGGAGGGAGCGTGTGCTGCCTCCACGTCTGATGTTCTGCTGGGCGTCACTGAGGTTGTAATGGTATCCCACCTCTGGCGGATGCAACCGTGACGGTGACAGCCAGCTCAAACTCTGGAAGGAAGTCTCCCACCGGTATGCTGAAAAAGAAAAGACAGAAAGCAACTCTTTAGGTGGTTTGGAAGTATCTTACGGACAAGAAATATTATTTTAATGAGGAGCTGAAATATATAAGCTCACATGCTGCGTTATGAGCCCGAGGCCCCACTGCATGAAAACTAATGATGCTAAACTGCTTTAGGCATGAAGTTCTTAGTATAAAAAACAACCGTTTTTACTGTCTTTTGGATAGTGTGAGGAGGAATGATATGATCGTTTTAATGGGTTTCACATCAGTAAAACGTAGCTGCACTTTCAAAACCATTTCATAACCATAACTACAGGAAGTTGACTGAAGCGAGTTGAGCACCAAGTACTGTGCCATAATAAAAGCATTTATACATCATGAACTTTTTTTTAAACGTTTGTCTCTTTAAACGACATATCTTGTCAGGATTTTATGTGATAGACATCCATTAAAGTATAGTCATAAGAAAATGTATAAATGTTTTTAAAAAGGCTTTACAAATCCAAATTTGAAAAGGACTAATTTACGTTTTTATTTTTTTGTAAAAAAGATCTGGAATGGATTTTGGTCTGGATTTGGTCATTCTAGCACATCCATCATTTGATCTTAACCACATGTCGAATTCAAGGCCCAGGGGCCAAATCCCGTGTGCCATAACTTTTTCTCCAGACCAATAGTCTAGAGGGACACATGAGTAAAACAGTGAAGATGTCAGTTGCTCAATAAATTCAAAGCAACTGTTTTCTGTATACTGCCCAATATGTCTATTTGAACAACTATTTTTAGCTTTTGTTTATCAAAGTTATATCTATAATATATTAGTAGTTATTTTATTTAATTTTGTCTTACAAATTCATTGCCTGAAATTGTTTAAATATTGAACATTCATTGCACTTTCTGCCAGTTCCACCTTTATAAGTGATTCACTCAAAGATTCAGTTCATATTTTAATTCATTTTGAAGTAATGTTTTATTTTAAAGTGAAATTATATATTTTATATATATATATATATATATATATATATATATATATATATATATATATATATATATATATATATCTGTGGCTTTTATCTTCTCCTTTGGCCAGCTAATTATTCCAGCAGGGTATCTGATTACTGGCAGGGCATAGCTGTTTATCGCACGGATTTTGTTCTTGCCATTGAGCTGGCTTCTCAGGACTTGCCTTATTCGTTGGAGGTATTTAGCTGTGGCTCCTTTCCTTGTGGCCTCATCGAGGTTGCCATTTGCTTGTGGTATACCTAGGTACTTGTAGCTGTCCTCTATGTCTGCTATTGTTCCTTGTGGGAGTGAGACTCCTTCTGTGCGGATCACCTTCCCCTCTTTGTGATCAGCCGACCACACTTCTCTAGTCCGAATGACATCCCAATGTCAGTGCTGTAGATCCTGGTGGTGTGGATCAGTGAGTCGATGTCTCGCTCACTCTTGGCATACAGCTTGATGTCATCCATGTAGAGGAGGTGACTGATGTTGGCCCCATTTTTGAGTCGGTATCCGTAGCCAGTCTTGTTGATAATTTGGCTGAGGGGGTTCAGGCCTATGCAGAACAGTAGCGGGGACAGAGCATCTCCTTGGTATATGCCACATTTGATGGACACTTGTGCAAGTGGTTTGCAGTTGGCTTCAAGGGTGGTTTTCCACAGCCTCATCGAGTTTGCAATGAAGGCTCTCAGAATCCTGTTGATGTTATACATCTCTAGGCATTCAATGATCCAAGTATGCGGCATTGAGTCATAGGGAAGTGAGCCAACTGTCAGAGCTCCACAAGGGTGCAATGAAAAGACCAGTACCCAGAAAGTACAGGCAGATGCCCATACCTGAAGCACTTGAAACTGCCAAACAGAGGCTCCAAGCCTTGGCCAGCCGCCTAAAGAGATACACAAGGGAGAATGAATCCAGAAGGATTAACCCGGCTCTTCTCCACTCAACCAGCTAAGGTGTACTCTCAATGGCAGGGTAACAATAACAACAGAGCAGACCCACCAAGGCTGGAGACGGAACAATACTGGAAAGGCATATGGGAAAGGGAGGCGTCCCACAACAGCAATGCACAGTGGCTGATCTCTCTACGAGAGGACCACAGCAACCTCCCTGAGCAAGCCCCGGTAACCATCACTGTGACAGATTTTCAAGAAAGAGTCTCAGGTATGAAAAACTGGACAGCACCAGGGCCTGACATGATCCATGCCTACTGGCTAAAGAATCTCACTGCTCTCCATGAGCGACTGGCAGCCCAAATGAACCAGCTGCTACAAAGTGGGACTCACCCTGAATGGTTAACTGAAGGGCGGACAACCCTAATCCAGAAGGGTCCAACAAAGGGTCCAGTCCCACCCAACTACCGACCAATAACCTGCCTCTCCACAACCTGGAAGCTCATGTCAGGCATCATAGCGGCCAAGATAAGCAAACACATGGATAAACACATGAGCATGGCACAGAAGGGTATCGGTGTAAATAGCAGAGGAGCCAAACACCAACTCCTCGTAGACCGCACAGTTGCCCGAGACTGCAAAACCCGACACACCAACCTGTGCATGGCTTGGATTGATTACAAGAAAGCCTATGACTCAATGCCGCATACTTGGATCATTGAATGCCTAGAGATGTATAACATCAACAGGATTCTGAGAGCCTTCATTGCAAACTCGATGAGGCTGTGGAAAACCACCCTTGAAGCCAACTGCAAACCACTTGCACAAGTGTCCATCAAATGTGGCATATACCAAGGAGATGCTCTGTCCCCGCTACTGTTCTGCATAGGCCTGAACCCCCTCAGCCAAGTTATCAACAAGACTGGCTACGGATACAGACTCAAAAACCTACTCTACATGGATGACATCAAGCTGTACGCCAAGTGTGAGCGAGACATCGACTCACTGATCCACACCACCAGGATCTACAGCACTGACATTGGGATGTCATTCGGACTAGAGAAATGTGGTCGGCTGGTCACAAAGAGGGGGAAGGTCATCCACACAGAAGGGGTCTCACTCCCAGAAGGAACAATAGCAGATATAGAGGACAGTTACAAGTACCTAGGTATACCACAAGCAAATGGCAACCTCGATGAGGTCACAAGGAAAGGAGCCACAGCTAAATACCTCCAACGAATAAGGCAAGTGCTGAGAAGCCAGCTCAATGGCAAGAACAAAATCCGTGCGATAAAAAGCTATGCCTTGCCAGTAATCAGATATCCTGCTGGAATAATTAGCTGGCCAAAGGAGGAGATAAAAGCCACAGATATTAAGACCAGAAAGCTACTAACCATGCATGGAGGGTTCTATCCCAAATCCAGCACCCTGAGACTGTACACGAGCCGCAATGAAGGAGGCAGAGGACTAGTGAGTGTGAGAACCACTGTCCAGGACGAAACAACTAAGATCCATAAATACATCAGGGACAAAGCCTCAACAGACAATGTGCTCAGTGAATGTCTCAGACAACAGGGAACAAAGGTTGAGGTGCCAGAGATACAAACCCCTACATGGGATGTACCACCAGCAAATAACCCAAGTGGCTGATATCAGTAAATCCTACCAATGGCTGGAAAAAGCTGGACTCAAGGACAGCACAGAGGCCCTCATCCTGGCCGCCCAGGATCAGGCCCTAAACACCAGAGCAATAGAGGCCCAGATCTACCACACCAGACAAGACCCAAGGTGTAGGTTGTGCAAGGAGGCCCCTGAGACAGTCCAGCACATAACAGCAGGGTGCAAGATACTGGCAGGGAAAGCGTACATGGAGCGACATAACCAAGTGGCAGGAATAGTGTACAGAAACATCTGTGCAGAATATGGACTGGAAACCCCGAGATCAAAGTGGGAAACACCCCAAAGGTGGTGGAGAACGCCAGAGCTAAGATTCTGTGGGACTTCCAGATCCAGACAGACAAAATGGTAATGGCGAACCAACCATTGTCGTAGTGGATAAACAACAGAGGAAAGCCGTTGTGGTAGATGTAGCAATACCAAGTGATTGCAACATCAGGAAAAAGGAGCACGAGAAACTGGAGAAATACCAGGGCCTCAGGGAAGAACTGGAGAGGGCCTGGAAGGTGAAGACCACAGTGGTGCCTGTGGTCATCGGGGCCCTCGGGGCAGTAAACCCCAAACGCAGTGGCTACAACAGATCCCAGGAACAACATCAGACATCTCAGTACAGAAATGTGCAGTCCTTGGCACAGCCAAGATACTGCGCAGAACCCTCAAGCTCCCAGGCCTCTGGTAGAGGACCCGAGCTCAGAGGATAAGAACCACCCGCGGTGGGTGAGAAGGGAATTTATATATATATATATATATATATATATATATATATATATATATATATATATATATATATATATATATATATATATATATATATATATATAATACTACTTAGCACTTCTTGTGCACTGCACCTTACCCCCTTAGAAGAGGCCATGACTTTCACTGAGATTGTAAATTACAAATAGGATTTTTATCTAATAGGTATTATAGGTTTTTCATTTCCTGTGTCTTGATAAGTTTAATCAGATTTTACTACAATTTTCAAATAGGGATAAATATGCTTGTAAGGCACTTCACATGCCAGTAATTATTATTGCTCTCTTTTCAATACTGTGTATTGAAGAGCTTAAAAGAAGAACGGTATAAATCATTTTCTTCACCAGTATAAACCATTTGAAAATTTGCAAGCCAGTTATGAGGCTAAGTAAAAAAAATTTCAATGTGTTTACCTCATTTTGGAATATTTATTATTGCACATTTATTAATGCAACAAAATACATTTTGATATGTGTTCTTCATTTAAATGAATTATTCTGAGAAAACAGAGAAAACATAATAAATCACAACTTCCTACAAACTACAGCATGCAGACTGCATAATTCATGATTTGGCTAATGAGCTGTGCGTGAAAAGGTATCATATTGATGAAGTGAGTGGAGCCAGAGGGGTCAGTCTCTGTGTGGGATAAAGCGTACACTTCATTAGTGTCCTGGAGAATGTCAGCTCCTGGGGTGCAATGCAAGACACACACGGACAAGAGATATTTATGAGACTTCCATGCCAACAAAAACCACAAAATATTGGGACTGTCTTTCTCAGCATGCTATTGCTGCTGAAATATCTAGGTCTCTGGTTGGAATAATATTTTTTTTAAATAAAAGAGGGAATAAATAAATAAATACATGCTCTTACAATCCACAGTGTACTCTTTGACGAACTCTACACAAATCTTATCCTTGTTCTGCAGGTGGTGCCTCGCTATCGGTGAAATGGAAACAAAACAAACATCTCATGGGACAGAAAAACTTGCACGATACAGTCCAAAAGCAAACTCTGGATACAAAAATGCATGATAAGAGGAGGATATTACTAATAAGTGTACAATAAGTGAACATAAACACAAACAAAGAAAATCAACAGCACATGATCTGTATGTGGACATATTATCTATAATGCAATGATAGAAGTGGGCAGCTATGCAGAAAGCTGTTTTGGCACAATAAATGGACAAAGAACCCATTTTAAATGATACATAATCATAATTTTAGCAACAACACTAAGTTATTTAGTGCATGGAGTAAAAAACCCAAGTGACATTTTTAATGTTTTTAAAATTTAACCCAGCCCATATTAATTTTAAGTATTTCATTTTCTTAATATTTGCAAACATGTATAATGAAATTAATGTGAAATGGGCGGCTCCATGAGGTGCGGCAGTAAGACAAGATGACTCTGAATGTGGCTCTCGTTTGTTGCTCTTCAGAATATTTAGGGGGCTTTTCCTAACTCTGGCCAAAAAATTATATACAAAAGTGAGAGAGGATGAATCTGCTCTATGTTTCGCACACAATCTTCAGGACAGGATGACACTAGTAAAAAGAGGACTTATTTTAACCATAAAGACTGTTGGCCCGTTTCTGAGGATAAATCTTTACTAATTTGGGCTCCAATTACCATACTTTTAGTTGTATTATTCAATCGTTTCTAGCATGTTTTCATCTGATTCAATGCTCGTTAATTAAAGCTAATTATCTTTTCAATATTCCTGTTTTCCATCTGTCTCGACTCTTTCAAATACACCTTGGTTGCTTAGCCCTTTCTGGAATAATTACCCTCTATAACCATCTAATTTAGATGAAGAATTAGTTCTACTTTTCTATTTTATTCCACAGAAGCTGAAAACTGATTTTTGTTGATTAAGCGTTTCATAAAAAACCAACACAAAACTCCTTTTTGGTTTTTACTGACCAAGTGCTTTAAGTTCTATGAGGGGATTAATCTTGCATTATGTGTGTAATTAAGTGTGCACTCATGCATCATTAAAAACAATTCAGCCATGTATTTTACATGTGTGGTATTATTTCATGTGGAGGCTTTATTGTACTTCAGTAAGCTGGTGATGTGTGGAGATAAATGCAGCTTTGCACAGAGTCAGACATGAAATGCTTGTTAGGCCTAGGAAACTTAGGGAAACTGAGAACAAACAGATTCTGTAACTATGAGCCAGTTAATATTTACTATGAGACTGCAGCACAGTAGCAGGAAGGGACACGCTGATCTTATTCTGTAGGTGTCTAACTGGGTATTCTTTGTAATAGCAAAGCAATGCATTTATTCATAAGGAGAGAAAAGCCAGAGGTCAAACTGTGGTTGGTGCCCTATTTAGTGTGAGAGCGAAAGTATTAGAAGCTGCCTTTTTCACTGCTGTTTGGCTCAAAGTGCCCTTAAAATCCACTGAGACTGTCTGAAAGGCTGGGGTGAAAGCTTTGCTTTGCTTAAACAGATAATTAACAGTAAAATAGCTTGTCTCATAGAAAAATGTGACCCTGTGCTTTATTTTGGTCCACATTAAAAAGAAAAAAAACTGTTGAAAGCAGATGTTTCAAAGAGCTAACGATATCATTTTTTTGTTCCAGATAGAATCTATACAATATGGTTTCAAGTAATGCTTTAGAAATTACGCTCCCACTGTGTGGCAACTTTTCTAGACGGTGCAACCCACCCAAAACTGGAAAAATTGCCAACAGAAGCTTGAGTAAAACATAAATAGTCCAATGTGGTTACTCGGCCCCAAATCTGCTTGAACATCTGTGGGATGCACCAGAGCAAAACCCAATCCCACCCACCCACAGTAAAGATGCGCTGCCAACTCCTCCACTTCAGAGAACACAAGAAATGCCAAGAAATCCCATGTACTGTACATGCCACAGTGAGCTGAGCTGTTTTGGTGAGATGAGAGGGAACTCATGTTAGAAGCTTGGCGCTTTTCATTTTTGTAGTCAGATGGAACAAAAAGCATAGTTGGTGCAGATGTGCCAGGAATTTATCCATTTTTTTAAAGATTCAAACAATTGAACTTAAGATCAAGAGAAAAACATATATATATATATATATATATATATATATATCTTTATCTATATATATATATATATATATATATAGCGTTTATGAACAATATGATATTAAAAGTTGGGCCAACCAACTATTGAGTGTAGTGCAGTACATAGGAAACATCTTCAGAACGCTAACATTTCTGTAAACCTGAATAACAACCCTTAAAACTTGCATTTACTTTTTTTTTATTAGCATGCTGCTCTTTTTTCTATGGGTCCCTAATTGTTTCCTGTTTGTAAAATCAACAACAGAAAATAAACATCATGCTCTGCAACATCATAAAATATATTATGATATTTTAATTTATAGAAATCCACTAGAACCACCAATCAGAAGACAGCTTGTGGAAAGGCTTTAACATTTAAAGTATGAACCACAAAATATATCAATATATTGGCTTAAATAGATCTGATGATCTCTAGAAAATTGGGTGCACCGAACACTTTAATAGAAGTGTTCGGTGCCCGTAATGTAAAGTATACAATAGGTCAGGCTTTGGATAAGAGTTTGGTAAGGGAAGTCGGAGGGATGGGTTTTTAATAAGATGTTTTTCAGCTGCTTTGCGTCTCACTCACCCGGGCTGTTCCACTGCTGTTCTTTGTCCATGTTTGACACTTCAAAGGGAGAGAGAAAGCCAAAGTCAGAGAAAGCCGGAGACAAACAACACAGGAACCAAAGAGGCAAAATTGAAGTAGAGAGAGACGCGGTGTCAGAAACTGACAAAAATATTGAAAATCTAAGCAGAGTGTTTTATTCTTAATAAGAACAGGGATTCAAGGCACAGCCTGGGCTGCTTTCAGCACACTGTATCTTTTTGCTCTGCCACTGAACAAAGAGTTTGGAAACAGAAGACAGACACAAAAGAGAAAGAGAAGTTAACAGAAGATGTTCTTTCATACCTTCACTTTCAATATCATCAACAGCATCATTGACTAGACGTATGACTGTGACTATGGATGCTAGAAGGAAAACACAAAGAGAAAAATAGAAAAAAAGAACCAGCGTCAGTGCATTTTTAATTATGTGTCACTGTAATATATAACAATGCAAATGGTTGTGGGCACACATGTTGAAACCCAGAGGGGACATGTTATTCTTGCAAACACATTCTCATACATGTGATGTATGGATTTATATATGAAATACTACAATGCCTTCATCTCATCTCTCTGATGATAGAAGTAGAATAAGTGAGGACTATCATGCATTAGATGCTGTTCTAAGTTTCTTTTTGATGATATTTGGATTGAGTTGTCATTGTGCTCTTGGAGTAATTTTCAGTAATTGCTTATTTTTTGTAGATTTTGTTGACAAACTCAGTTTCTCTCTGGTTGATGTTAAAATGTGCTATGTGATCTGAATGACCAACAAGAAATATGAAGGAGAACAAATACAGTACTTGTTCACAGTATTGTATACAGAGAGTGGTGAAACTTTGCCTATACTTTCTTCATTGTTCATTTTACAATATGACACAGACGGAGGAAGGCAGATACCAGAGGTCATTTAATCCCAAGAAAATTCCCAAAACAAACAAACAAGGACCCTGACTGGCAGATGGAGACTCATCTGGACACTGCAGTGGTAGTGCTTTGTATGAGCAAATGTTGAATGGCTGTCGCAGGAGATTCAAGGATTCTTCAAACTTCAATGAACAAATAAAAACACTCCAAGAATGTTTTTAATGCAGGAATGACATTGTAACATAAAGCTCAAAATTGTTGATTTTACATAATGTCCTCCTTTTAATAAGCCCAGTGCATTGTAAAGTGGTTTTAGTCCTCCATTCCTACCATTGTCATCAATGGACTCCGAGGTGTAGGAGCTAAGGGAGCGCTCATCAGAGGTGGAGTCTGAGAGACACGCCACGTCCTCCTCCATGAGCCCTGAAACATATAAATCTGAAACTAAATGAAAATCACATAAATCATGAAAACTAAAAATAAAATAAAGTTACAAAGAGACCTTTTTAACTTTAAACTACATTATTAAATTGCATAAAACACTTCAAGTTTGAATCTTACAAGCTTTCATGAAACAAGTAAATTACATTATTTTAAAATGTACTGTGCCACGTAACTGGAAAAAAGAAAAGAGCTTTTTAAATTTAAGAAACCATCCTTTTACAACACTAAAAAATGTAGAGTGCAAATGCAATTTTTGATGTGCAGCCAGAGTTAAATTCAAATTCTTTTAAAATCCAAAAAATGGATGAAAAGCTGATTACTTTTAAAAAAATGAAGACCAATTCAGAGGGAGAAAAACAAAGAAAGCTAAACAGATACACTGAGAAGAAACTGGGGTTATTTCACAGGAGATGAATCATAAAGTGTATGAAAATGAACATAATCTCACAATGACTATTACAAATTAAGTTAAATTTCATGGAGGAAGACCATTCTGGATAGAAAGGATGCTACAATGAACACTTCTATCTACATGATTGTCAAAAAGAAAAAAAAAAATCAAACATAACCTAAAATCAGATTTCTATGCAGTTGTACCTGGATTGAAAGACAACAGCCGCACTGATCATTTATTCACTTCTGAGTCAGTTTTGATAAACTTTTTCATTTCAGCTGCAGTGTCTTCTCTATCTGTAAGTCATTTGATGAGCGAACTACTTCTGAAATGAAGTTTTATTTTGCATGCTCTTTTTACCACCGTCTGCAAAATCGAGATTTTGCTGCATTTTGGTATATTTGTTCATCTGTTTCTCTTCTGAGCAAGACTGAAAATAAATATCCCAAATGAGAACTGATCTCTTAAAAAGTTTATCGACTAAAGGATACGGTGATACGTTGGTCTTGAGAGAAATAAGTTTTAAAACCCTGAGGTGTTTGGGCTAAGCTCTCAACTTCAAGATGTAAACCTGACATTTTATGTGGGAAGAAAAGTCAACTTAAATGTTATGTGGAGAAATCCTCCTGATTTCTTTAGTTACCTTTGACTTGCATGTCAACAGAGGTGCATTTCAAATAAATGGATGCTTACAAATCAGAGTGATCCCTGACACTGCTTTTCTTTGCAGTTATTTGGAAAGCTGTATCCTTTCAAAGCACCCGCTTGCTTCTGAGTGATTGTTTGTCAGACAAGTGTCAAAAGGGCACAGCAGATACTTGGGTGTCACAGCGAGTTGGCATGTGTCTGAAACACGGTCTGTTGAACCCGGCAAAGACAGGAACATTGCTCCTCCAGGTGCTCTAATCTCACAGCAATATAATGCCTGGTTTCACATAATTGTCCCAAATGTGAAAAGAACGGAAAAAGCAAATGAAGTGAAAATCAAGGGCCAAAAAGTGGATTTCCTTTGCTATCCAAAAAATGATGTAGAATAAAAGTTAAAATTATGCCCGTGTGTAATTAAGGTGGACTATTTTCTAACTTTTCCTTTTCTAAATTAATTCGACTTAATGCAGGGATATGAGGAGAAATAAAGAAAATTAAAGAGACGTGACTGACTTTCTGAATGAAAAAGTATTTATTACTCTTAGACTTTTCCAAATGTTATCTTTTAACCATACAATGAAATGCTTTTCTACAGTATTTTACACTATTCCAACACAAACGAGTAAATAATTTGATAGGACAAGAAAAAAGGAAAAGATTTAAACTCAGGCTGGGTTGGAGCCCAAGAATGTCTTGCTGCAAGAAATTGGTTCTATCAGTTGTATCACTGAGCAGCCTTATTAAAATTATTAAATAATTGTGTTTTTATTCATTCATTCAGAGTTTTGCTTTTCTACTCTCAGGCATCAGATGCAGAATGCTACCTGGGCATCTACCTAAAATGAAGTTTTATTTTGCTAGAATCATGCTATAAATCCATATGAAGTTGGTAATGCTCCTTTGGGAATGTGTGCAGTAATGCAGTACTATCACTCATAAGAAATAAAGCAGCCACTGCAGATGCGTCTGTTCTGAGACCTATTAAGAGAAGAGGATTCTACAAATAAATAGCCTAAGCAAAAAGGCAAACTCTCAACCTCATCCTTTCCTAATATTTTTTTTCATTAGTGCTCCAGTGATTAAGTTGCGTTTTGCTAATGTATGCAGCTAAAAGTACAGGTTTGTCTTTATTCCACCCACTAACATACTCCTTGAACATGCCCTCTTTACTCAAAGTCTTCAAAGTCCCATTAAAGCTCAAGTGGCATGACCACATTGTGCTTGAGTTTTGGTACTTTTATGTGCTTTAATCATTGTCTTGGTGTATAAGTTTGCCATTGATAGTTAATTTTTCTTTGTTCATAATTTTTAGAAATTTATTGGCATATTAGTTTAATTGTTGTGCTTAGTTTCTGTTTTTATTCTTGTGTTATGTTTTCTGTGTATTTGGATTTATTTATCTTAGATCTGTGACAGTTTTTGTCCTACTTTTTAAAGTTCCTTTTGAGTCTTAGCTTCCCTTTGTGTTGTTTAGTCGTCCTCCCTCAGTTTTGTACTTTTCTTCTGACATACTAATACTTGATTTACTCTGACAGTTCATCTTGTTCCTTTGTTATTTTTGATATGTGTCTCAATATTTAGGTTTATTCCTTGCCGGATTCTCTATTTCTCTGATTCCATGTCCTTTTCACTTCTCTTCAGTATTGTAAGCTTATTTTATTGAGTTGAAACTTCTCACTTTATGTCTACCTGTAGACTGCCTGCATTTGGGCAAGATCAAAAAGTAATTAATATATATATATATATATATATATATATATATATATATATATATGTGTGTATATATATATATATATATATATATATATATACACACACACATATATATATATATATATATATATATATATATATATATATATATATATATATTATATATATATATATATATATACACACACACACACATTAAAATTATATATATATATATATATATATACACACACATATATATATATATATATATATATATTTTTTTTTATGTGTTTATCAAGTGTCTAAGCTTTGACATTTATCTTACCTGCAATAAATTAAACAATATGATGATTAATTTGTTGAATATTTGCAACTTGTCTACTTTTACATGTATTCATTATTGTTCATTCCTTCATTAAATAGTTTATAAAATTTGAAATGAAAATACTTATCACTAACCCTAAGCCAAACAGAGGACCAATGTTAAGCCCCAAGAGTTTTGCTTCTGAGTCCTTTCCAACATTTCTCTTGTCAGAAATTGCTTTCTATAATCCCTTATATAATTAGTAAAAGAATTAATTTTATGAGAATTTCTGTTTTTGGCTACTAAACCATAGCAATATAGGACCTCAATTTGCTAAGCAAGTATTTAATTATTCTATTGTATTTATTTATGATGCAGAACGTGTATAACATCACAAATATGGGTGTTTTCTTATAATATGTGCAGCTTGTAAAATAGAGAACTGTTCAGCAATTCATTTATTTCAGTCATCCAGTTTAAAAAGTAAAATTTTTATATACTATTCATTAAACACATGGTGGATAATATATTTCAAACAATATGGGTATTTTTTTTTATTATTATTTTGCTAAAGAAACCCAAAATTCAGTTTCTTATAGAATCCAAAAATTACACATGGGAAAAATATCTATTTTTAATTCCGAAATGCAATGATATTACCTACATGCTTGTGGGGAAGGCTTTAGATTTGATAGTTATCTGGCAAACATTCACTGACTCCACAAGAACTTGGCTGGTCAAAGTGTTGTAACCAGAATGGGAAGTTAGGTGAAAGAAAAAGCAGTGATGTAGAAATGAGCACAATTAAAACAAGTAACTGCAGACTTGAGAGAATTTTTGAGGGAGAAACCATTCAAGAAATTGGGGGAGATTATATCATTCCATGCTTCCCTCTGTTGACATTTTGGATTTTCTCATTTTATTTTCCAACTGGACTTGACAACACTCCCAAAAGTACCGGTACTTGCTTTGATGACCACTGTTTCACTGTGCTGGATGGTCAGCATATATTTGTGATCAAAACACCTTTGACAATTGTTGGAAAATTGATAAGAGGAAGACCCAACAATTTAGATAAGCAATATCTCAGCAGAGCCATAGGCTTGGTGCCTCCATGCTCCAGGCTGCATCAAATCAAATCAGATCAGATTAAATCACCCTTGATTTGACGCAATAAATCATGCAACAGGAGCATTGGCAAATTATGGGCTGCACATATTATATAGAACGTGGAGATACTTTTGAGCAGACCAACATTTCTGTTTTTTAAAAAAAGATCCTTTTTTTTGTCATATGCAATAAAACATGTTTGAGGAGCTATATTTTATTCTAAGCCATATTCATAAACAGAAAGAAAACAAAAACTTTATATATCCGTCTGTGTCCAATTAATTTATGCAATACATAACATTTTGAATGAAATGACTGAAATTGATTAACTTTGATGCTATTCTAATATATAAAAATGCACATGTGTTTATTTAATTATTCCATATTCAAAAACTTTAATTATATTCATAGTTTGTGTGGTGTAAACAAGTAACTAAACAGTCTTCAATATATTATAATGGCGACACTTCAGATTAGTCATTAGTGCAGTAATCTGGCAATTAGTTTTCTAATTATCACAATCACATTTTAACTAATAGTCCCTCCTGTGTTTGTAGATTATGCATGCTATTCTTTATTTTCCCTGCACACACACACGCAGCAGGGGGAACAAACAAATAGAACAACTTATTTCCTATTCTCGCACGATGAAATCAATGATTAATGAGCAGGAAGTTCCAGCTGGAAGAAGTATTATTCAAACCGTAGCTTGGACAACAAATCGAAAATATCTGACATCCACTTTTGCTCTGAAATGCAACCTGATAATTTCATTGACAGAGAACAAACCGAACTGCAGTCTTGTTGACAGGGCCGACAGCTAAATATCACTCTAAAATGGAACTATCTGACAATGTCTCACTGCTTCCCTTCACTTTCTAGACATCTGAGCTGAGACAGAGCCCTTCAAGCATTGATGCAAAAAGGAAAAGGAAAAAAATTCATTGGAGAAAAAGGTTTGGATTGTTTCATGGAGACCAATTTCAATGACTAATTCAGGACTTTACTTTTATGAAGAAATGTAGGGCAGAAACGTAAGGTATCAGTTCTGCCTGATTACTCTGACCATTCATACATAAGTGCAAGAGATGTAAGGGAAGTTAGGCAAATCCAAGATGACATAATTGCCAATTTGAGGAGTGGGACTGAGGCTTAAATTATTATTTATTGCTCCAAGGAGAGTCAACAGAAAAGTGAAATGAAAGGAACATAACACAAAAATATGACGTTTTAAGCACTCTTGCCTACTCAGGGCAGTTTTCTTTGATGTTTGTGATCAAAAGGCACACATCACTGTGAAATAAGCTCTTGCAGTGAAGATGGTGGTGCGTTGGTAGCACAATGAGTTCACGGCTTGTGTACTCTTTTACCTTTGGAGATCAGATTGCGTGTGTTTACTTGAGTGTGTGCATCTGTGTGTGCAGGATACCACTTCCTTACCCTGCGGACTGTTATCCCTCTGGGTTCTCTCCAACTCAAAAGCCCTCTGCCCCCATTCCTCCTCCCGCTCGTCTCTGTGCCTGTCCAGGACTTTCTCTCTGGTTTCCTTGCCTTCCCATGAGACTTTGTGGGCTGGACTGTGCTCTGGGCGGCGGGCCGATGCTGAGGGGAGATTGGGTGCCACGCTACACACTGCAATTCCTCTCCTATTTGCCATACCTCGGACATTAGACACATCTGAGAGGAAGCTGCTCATCTGCAAAGACACACACAGCAAATCCAACAGGCCCAAATTAACTCCGTCGGATTTAATTTCAAGACTTTTAAAGTGTCTATATGGGTCCACACCAGAAAGTATAAATTTAACTCTTTTTGGAGAATTGGTATCTTAACTCTAAGTGTCAAATTACAAATCTGCTGGAGTCAATCATTTGACACGTACTAACACTAATTCAGTGTTAGATCTTAATATTAACTCTTACAAAGCTTTTTTTTAATTTAACTTCATGAGAGTTATTTGTAATTCATATTAAATAGATATTGTATTGTTTTGAACTTTTAAAAATTATTTGGAAAATAAACATTTAAAAAAGAGGCAATGATTTTCTCAAATGCATTTATTTCAAAACATGCACCATAATCATAAAACACATTACAACATGAAATAATGTGCATGTTTCACATGTCTCTTTCATTCACATATTGCTGATAAAAAGGTCTGACATATCGGCTGTGTAATACAAAATGCAGTATGCTTAATTTTTTCTTCAATAAAATATGCATGAAATTCTTTAACGTACAAGGTGGAGACAGTAAAGCAAGTAGTTCATGTAATATGATAGTGAATGTTCTTTTAACACGTAGATTGCCAGATATTACAGTACATAGCAGACCAATCTGATATTCAGATCCATCACTTCTTCCAGTTTATGTTTCTGTTGATAAGAGACTGAGCCTCTCTGCACTCCCCCAAACAGCTGTCCATTCACTAACACAGACTGTCTTCGGGTTGTTGGGCTGTGGGTGAAGTTTGCCGGGGACATCACCGACATCATCATCCTCTACTGCACTGGACAGTTTTCAGTCTCCGAGTACGATAGCCAGTCTCTGGATCATAACAGACAAAAAACATAACGATGAAAACTGGAACGAAGAAATACATTTTTACCACAACTCTTAACAGCAAGCCTCAATTACAGAAATGTGGAGTTCGAGAGATATTAACATTACAGAATCATTTTTGGAGCTTGAATTTTCAAAGAATCTATGAAGAGTTCAGGAGGGGGAGGATCATACAGCTTGATCTCAACTCAAAATAATAGTTATAAACAATCTCAGAAAAAAATTACTTACCAATTGCAGTGAACTCAGACATGTGAAAAGTAAACTGTCCTGAAATGACTTGGCTTCTGTCGCTTCGCTTCGGTGGGAACCTGTGATTCTGGGGGCGGAGTCAGTGAATGAACTCCTTTAGTTTTATAGCTGCTGTAAGAGTTCAGAGTTAAGAAGTCAAGAATTACTGATTTCCTTTTAACACCTTCAGATATGATATGGAAACACTTTGTTTTATGCTGGATTTTAACTACTAACAAACAGAATATGACTCTATTAGAGTAAAATTAACTCTGCTTTTGCTTACTGACACCAAAACATTTAACACTTTTAAATTTGCTGTGTAGGAAATTATGCAGAAAGTATTAAGTAACCATTTATACTCAAACGTTTTGATCAGCATGCCTGTAAATGTTGTGCATTTGTAAATCTGCAATGCATAATTTTTTTCTCTGCAATTAAATAGCTAATAAATATCCCTTGTTAGTAAATGCTGGTTGTTTCCTAAAGTTTACAGCACACAGACATTTAAGATTATTTAACTTGATTTAGAAACCAAATGCAGTGCTGTAAAAAACTATCCCTGCAGATTTGTTCTGTTCTTTTTTTTTTTTTAGACAAACAATGTTTGATGATCATTGCTTAACATGAGTAATTAATAGGTATGTTTTGAATTATGATTTTTTTTTTATTAAATCATAATTTAATAAATAAGAGACCAAAATGAAAATGTAATTGCTGCCTAAACCTGATTAACTGACAGAGCTACTCTTAACAAAACAAATGTACCTATTTTAGTTATTTCATTTTATTTTTTGATGACTGCCAACCAGTCTGTACACAGTGTGGCACACATCAAAAAGTTCTCTAAAGCTAGACATATACTCTCATGAAAATAATACACAAGGAAGAATATTTCTACAACTGTAGTGTGTCTTTATACAGATGACACTATACTTTATGACATTTGAAGCTAATTATTGATATCGATAAACTTCAAGCTGCCATTCAAATTCTGCACAATTTGGCATAATTGTGTTTCTCAAGGTGAACAAACAAAAAAAATGAAATAAAACACACTTGGATCTCGGATATACTGTAATAAGTACCAACTCCAGGCCTTGAGGTTTAGTGCACTACAACTTTTAAATGTGTTCCAGGTCTAACTCATCTGAATCATGTCCAAAGTATGCACTCAAGTTCTCCAGAATCCTTCTAATGAGCTCATTATTTAAGTCAGTTTTGCTGAAGCAGAGATGCATCTAAAAGTTGCAGGACACAAGACCTCAAGGCCTGAATTTGAGGATCAGTGATTTAGGTTGTAATGTGATATAGAAATGAATGAGGTTCACTTAGACACCTGACTGCTTTCACTGGAAGTGGTCCTCTCGGTTCCTGGGAGGATAGAGTGGGCAGTAGGACGCACCATGACCTGAGGAGGACCTCCACTGCAGCCTCCTACCTCACCATATGTTGCCGTGGTAGTCGGTGAGCCTGGCACACGCACAGCTTTGAACTCAATCCCCTCAACCCCCATTCTAGTCTTGTGTAGCATGTAGCTAGCTTCTGAGGAAACAGCTGAGATGCCTGAAGCAGCCATGGTTCCCGAACCCGGGTCGGAATCTTTCCGGAATTTGATTTTCTTCCTGAAGGTGACGAAGAGTATGAGGAGAAAAATGATGACAAAGGCAAGCACTCCAATGCCTATTATTTCCCCGGGTCCAACATAAGACAGCGGCTCAGCCTGCAAAACATTGAAAAGAAGAAGAAGAGAAAAAAAATCACTAAAACATGGATTCAGCATCTCTTATTCAAATTTTAAGAAAACACATTGCCTGCTGGAAGTAGCGAAGGATCCACTTCTGGTTCTAAAATGATCAAATACAAAGTAAAAATAACTTTTCCCCTTCAGTCTGTGAAGTTTGGAGTTTTTAGTCATATGAGGGTAATATGAAATGGAGGTGAAGTCCAGATTTTCATCTAAACATAAACTTTTAGGATACTGAGTAAATTACATTAACTCAAGGTATGAAAAAGGAATTACAAAAATCAAACCTTTTAGTCATTATTATAATTTGGAAAATTTCCCCATGTTTTCATAATGCAGTTTTGAAAACAAAACTGCATTTTATTAATGTTAAATGAAAGTAGATAATGCAGGTAACAGATTTAGTTACTCTGGCAGAAAAGGACAGAAACACCATTTGCAGCATTACATGCAAAAGAAAATGATCAATGATCCTTTTTCATTCAATAGAATAGGTAATGTGGACATTTCAGTTAAAAATTAGTTTTATTTTCTTCAGCAATATTTTAAAGACAGAAGATCTTGCTCAGTCCAGAAGTTTACTGCATATTGCTTGTAAAAGGTTATATCCCTGCTTCTTATGGCTTTCTCGCAAACATTAAAAGCACTTTCTGAACTATTTGCAACTTCAAATATGCAGTTTTTGAACATGGTGATTTCAGAAATATTTAAAATGTCAGACATTTCAAATATTTCTGAAAGTAAAGTTCCATTTGCTTTTTAATAAATGGAACTTTTATTGAAAGTTCAATTTTTCCATGAAAAAGAAAAGCAAACTTAATATTTGAGATGTTTCATATCGCTTTTATACAAATCCACTTACATAATTTAATATTGAGAATCCTTGATGACACATACATCTCAGTTTTGACTCCTCCTAATTATATTACTCGTCCTTTGGATGTTGGACAGGGGCCTTCTAAATGAAATCTATTATCACAAATTTAGAAAATCACACCTGTGCTTAGAAGGTCCCACAGCTGTCTGTTGTTGTTTGTCAACATAAAAACAATTTAACAAGGACAATAGAATCTTGTCACAAGCTTGTGATGAGAAGCAGATCGTTGAAGTAGATATTTGAAGGACACAATAAATGAAGATTTCTGTAGCCATTACCTGTTCTAAAGGCAAAGCAAAAATAATTGTTTCACTGAAATGAAAAGTAAAAAAAACATGTTTTACAGACTTTTCAATGTAGTGATGAAGCAGAAAAGGCTCAGCCAAACTCTTTGAACTCATTCACACCTTCCCATCTGGTGGGCTTCATTGGCCTTCATATTGTTTTTTTTTGCTTCAAAAATATTCTCCAACAAGGCTTTGAGGTGATTTTAGGACAGCACTATTTATATTAATGAATAAAATTATGCTGTGTGGTTGAAATGTACAAAAACGTAAAAAAGTTTTAAGGCTATAAATGTTTTTGCAAGGTTGCAAAAATCTCGCTTGGATCACTCATGTTATTGCTGTAAAATGTGTTTTTAAAAATCATATGCAAATGTTATATAGTTATATATACTGTATATCCTATACACATAGGAGGAAAAAACCTGATGAACTAAACCCATTTTAGAGTCAGTCAAACACTTAATTTTGATGTAGACAACTTCTGGAAATTGCACAAGAAGGAACATAGTGTAATGTACAATAAAAGTCATAAGCATGACAAACTTCAAATAAAAGCTGAGATTCACCCATTACCACACTTTAACTCCTTCAGTATGGAGACAAGGATACAAATCCCTCCAGGTGGCTGTATCTCTCAAAAGTCCTAGCAGTTTCACTGTGCCTCCCAAGTATAATTAGATGAGGATTTATTACTCTTTTAATTCAACTTTGTGCACAGTTAAATCTCTACCTCTGTGTCATCCTCAGGGACCTGATCTTCGCAAAACTGGTCCTCGTATCCATCTGAGCAGTTGCAGTAGAACGAACCGAACGTGTTGACACACTCTCCTCTGTTTCCACAGTTGCCCTGGTCACACTCATTTACATCCACATCACATCTGCCGGGCAAGAGACACGTATATTATCATTCATGGGATCAATCAATCAAATCAACCAATCAAATTTTATTTGTATAGCACATTTCAGCAGGCATTTCAAAGACATTTTTTTTCACTAAAACTAAAAGAGAAGAACACAAAATTAAAATTTGACAGTATGCTAAAACATATATGTACATTTTTCATATTTTCTCAATTTGAAAGTGTAGATAAAATAGTTACAAATTTATTATAAATATGGATATGGCACATATGGCTGGATGATTGGGTGGCCTTAAAAAAAAAAAAAAAAAAAAAAAAAAAAAGAAAAGGAATCCCTGTGAAGCATTTTCATAAAATTCCACAATCTTTGATATTTTTCCAGACTACTGTCTAAGCAAGAGGTTATTTCTACGCATTTCCTATTGTCTGATTATTTAAGGTTTTAAATCAAACAGACATGTTCACATAGAACATGGCTGTTCTATGTGAGGGACATTTTCCTCTTATAAAGGGAAAAATCGCATGGGTAGTTTCAACCTCTGCATGAATATGTGTTCATCTTAGGTTTTTATATCAAACACGGTGTCTTGCTGTGAAGGGGAAAGAAAATACAAGTTTTTGCTTTTCAATTATTTTTTTCCTTGATAGGATTTTTCAAAACGCTTCGCAAGAGTTTTCTTTTTTCTCTGAAGAAAAAAAAAAGCGTTTCAGAGGAAGCCTTATTGTGAAACTATCCAAAGTTTTTTTCTAATGATAAAAGTGCAGGGAGTCATTAAGTGTATAAAGTTTTACTCCTCAATGCTTAGATCTGCTGGTCAGTGAAATCCTCTCATAAATATTTTGAATAATGAATACTTTATGGCCTAATTAAAAACAGAAAAATCCAGACTGTCTGCCAGTTGAGTCATATATAAATATTTTTATTTTTACTGTATAATCTGGCTGTTTATGCAGAATGTTCAAGTCTTGCTTTTTAATTTGTTGTGGATTAATTTCATTTATTACAAAATAAGGTTTCTGTTTAGGAGTCTGTAGGAATGACAGCTGGACAGTCTGGCATACTCAGCAGATATTTCATGTGGAAACTAACCACTACAGGTTAGGTTGGCACTCTACATGGTACATGCACTTATCTAGTCTGTGCAATGTCAATACATACAAACTGATGCAAATATCTAAATAATCCCTCCCTAATATTTAGCCAGATATAACGAGTTGCAGCTCAACCGCACACTTTCTGTGGCCATCAGCAAGCTTCTGGCATCATTGGAGCCACACATCTGGACACTCCTGATGACATAATGGGTAGAGTTCCATGAAAAGGCTTTTTTCTGCCATAGACCCACATCCACAGTTTTTCATCTTTGGGACAAAGCTTAAGGTTAGCCTCCTTTATCTCTTGCATGACATATCTCTATATGTGTTTTAAATCAATAACCTGAAGAAGTAACCAATAGTGGCTCTGTTTCAGCCATCTGAGCTGGTGATTTGGGGTGAAACTGAAACACTAGGAGGTTATTCTCCTGCTTTGTTATTCCATGCACTTTGTGTGATGATCCTAAACACAAGTCAAAACTACTTTGGAATAAGTAAAGTTTAATAATTTGGGTTTATGGAATAAAATCTCAAAGCCTTAACTTAAACTCTACTGAGGATTTGTTAACCATACCCACAGCAGGAAACAAACCATTTTAAAAGAGCCCTAGGGACATGATGGTTGAAGCCTGTAAAAAGTATTGGACCAAGGTACAACTTGCCAGGGGAAATTCATCCAAATATTACAATGATAATATTTGAGAATCCTTGCCTTAATTTTGACCATATTCAAAATGCAGTTTTCAATTTCCATCAAAGTTGTTTGGTGTATGATTACTGCAACATGAAAAATGAACAGTTTAAACACATAAACTTCATTCCATCTTTATCAGAAGAGCTTCTCCGTCAAAGCAACCAACTCTTCTTTTGATGAAAACTGCTCCCTAGTGGTGGCTCTATTGAACAGCCACGCAAATGCAGAGGTTATTTCAAAGACAATTACTGAGCAGTAATTGGGAAGGCAGCTACAGACTGATTACAGGCTTTTCAACCAAGAATTATCCAGAATTAAATTAGAACTGCCAATTTGTCTCTCATAACAGCAAGTACAACAACATTGTGGGTAGTAGGTGAATGTGTGCGTGTTTTGTGTGGCGGGAGCATAGCACATGACATTTTATGCTTAAAAAAGAGAGGAGCTGCTGTTTTATTGTGCTATAAAAGACTAAATCACCACTCTGAGTGTATGTAAACAGTTTGTAAGTGGGGCACACTATTCATTAAAACATTTTCTACAGAGTACTATTTAGTCTATTGTGTGGGTGCGTGTATCTGTGTTCATGTGTCTGTGTATTTAATGCTTTTTTAAAATCTTACATAAGTCCCCTGAGTCCTCTCGGACAGCCACAGAGGAATGCATTGCCAACAGCTTTGCACTCTCCACCATTCTGGCATGGGTTTGGCATGCAGGATGTTAGTTCAACTTCACAGCGCCCCCCAGTGAATCCACTGCTGCAACTGCACATGAAGCCTGTTGGATAAAGATTGGATTTGTTTCTTCAATACAATATTTCAACAATCATCCTGACAAAGGAGATTCATACAGAATAATTTCATTAAAACAAAGATTTTGAAGTACAAGAAAGAATGATTTACTGTAGGTATATGGTGCAAATAGATTGTTATTTTGACTTAAACCTAAAATTATAATGATTATAATTATAATATAATTACAATCATCATAAAACAAATGTTTTTTTAGTTCTATTAAACCATTAGTTCATTTAAATAAATGAAACTCATATTACAGAGATTCTTTAGATGCAAATAGATATAAGGTTGCTCTATCCCCAATGCTTTTTCTATTAATATCCCTAGATATATGACTGTAAAGACCCAGCTTCAATGATCCAATGATGAACACTTGTGAATGTTTAAGCTATTACATTTAATTTTTGCAGTTAAAAAGTCGTTTTTGGTCATATCATTTCCTGCCAAACATAGCAACAGTAATATAAATAATAAATAAAAAAATAATAAATAATAACACTTAAAAATAATACTTAAAAATATAGTTCTGCATGTACAGTAAATAAGCAAACTAGAAAAAAACTGCAACTAAATTGATGTAAAATAATGCTTCAGATGCATCTCTAGTTGGTTTTTACTAAATGTTCTTTTAGTAAAAATACATTTAACAGTTTGAGTTTGAGTTGTGGTCATCTGCATGCATACAGACCTCCAAATGGCAGGCTGCTGCAGATGGCTCCATTGAGGCATGGCTGGCTGATGCATGGATCTGGATAAAGAACACAGCCCAGCTTGACCTCACTGAGCCCGGCTATCTCGGCGTATCGGCTCCTCTTATTTTGGAGTGGCAGCTCGTTACCGTTGAGCATCAGCGACCCCAGGCAACCTTGGAAGCCGTCCTGGGCTCTCGCCGGACCCCTCACTGAACGCTCTCCAAATTCTGGGCCTCCTCCCAGGCTTTGCTCAAGTCCAAAGACAGGTCTCTCTCCTGGCCGGTTCAGCAGCCTCACTTGTGCCCCAAAGAAAAATGAGGAGTCAGGAGCGAGTGGCCAAAGACGGACTGGGGCCCGTGCAGCTCTGCGACGTTCCACGTAACTATCATCCAGTGAAAGAAGGGTGTAGTTTCTGGTCAGCTCTAAGGCAACTGAATGCCACAGACCATCATTTATTGGTCTGTCTGAGATGCCCATGACTCCAAGGGTGTTGTCGCAGTCCAACTGGAACCACAGTCGACCCCCTTCAATCTGGTAACAAAACGTTTCTGATTAAACTGTTTTGTAATGAAGTATCTGTTTTACAATTGTTATTACAAAACAGTTTAATCTGCAGGAATTAAGCAGAAAAGCATCCAGGGAAGTTTCTAAATTCACCTTTAGCATAGTGCAAGGGTTAACACGAGTGAACATAATGACTCCTCTTGTTTGAAGCGTTCTAACCCTGAGGCCAAGCCTCATCTCTCCACTCTGGACCCTCTCTGTCACTCTGTACTTGATGTAGCTGTTTCCAGAAAAACTCAGAGAGGTCTGACCTACCCAGTCACACCAGGAGGAGAAACAAGTTTCAATTAGAGCTCAATAAACCTTTATGCTTTCATATGTCCTTTACAGTCCAATTGAGAAAAGCTGAACAAAGTGGCCCAGCAAGCGAAAATAATGAAATCATACCTGCACACTCATCCAATCGGTCAGGCTGACACTGGCAGACAGATGGTGCTGTTGGACCAGAAAGGACACACCGCATATCGTCTGGACAGGACTGACCTTCACAAAGTTCTACAGGGGTTGGGCACGTCCCTCCTGTTTGCGAAACAGGATGGACGCATAAATAACTGAACAGAGCAGTGTTACACTCTCATTTTATCAACCACCCATGCAAGACAATAAATCCTCAGAATTTATAGTGATTAAAAAACACTACCTTCAAGTCTGAAAAACAAATTCATGCCCTGAGTATTCCCTGACTCAGTAAAAACTAATACATTCAATAGAATAGAATAGAATTGAAAAGAATAGAATAGCCTGCTATACCAACTTGGGAAATGTATCTGTCGCAACAGCAGGAAACAAATCAAACACACTATACAGTAAAATATACATGACTACAATAAAATAAAATGTGCAAAGTATTACACTTCCCAGTCTATTTATTAAGTATGCCAACTCGATTGCTTTTTAATGGAAATAGTGCCTCAACCTATTAAATTACAGCAACTCATTGCATGAGGACATTTCAATGGGCCGAAGATAACTTGCGAGAGTTCAACCAAGCATCAGAGTGGGGAATAAAATAAATTTAAGTGAGTTTGAAAGTGAAATGTTTGTTTGCGCCTGTGGGATTGGCTTGAGTATTAGAGAAATTGCTGAGCTAATAAGATTTTCACACACAACCATTTGTCACTTTTTCACAAAATGGTCTGAAAACATAAAAAAAAAAAAACTCTACAGATAGCAGCACGCAAAATTATAGTTGCACATGTTAAAGGTAAAGAAAATAAGACCAACTCCAAGCACCGTGACGTTCTTGTGACTACAGCTGCAGATATTATTTGTAGGTTTTAGGTCTGCAGGACTGTAGCCAACTTCCTTGGTTGTGGCCACAGGAAGAAAATTGATGACAGATTGAAGGGAAGGATAAAATGAATGAACAAAACTCCCAGAACAACCTCTGAAGAAGGTTGTCATTGTTTGAGTCATAGTGGACTTCATGGGAGATAATCAAGGAAGAAAACAAAGCATAGTTTTATGTCAAGGCACATCAAGCCTACTGTACAGCAACAGCATTTTGATATTACATCAATATGGACCAAAATCTCTGAAGAATGTTTCAAACAAACTGTTGAATTTATTCCATAAAAAATTAAGGCAATTCTAAAGGAAAATGAGGGTCCAACCTGGTACTTGGAAGGTGTCCCTAATAAAGTGGCCAGTCAGTGTACACTTGCATCATCACAAAAAAAAAATCTTAAGGACGTTAAATTAGAAGCATTGACCATTTGTAAGAATAAAATTTTGGGAAAAACTGGAATATTCACCTGAACAAGTGCAGCTCTCTGTGCGTCCAAACCTGGGCAGAACCAAGGTGATCCTTTCTGTGTTGTAGGTAACAGGCAAACCACCCTCTATCACGAGCGTGTTTTTACACTCCATGTCTCCACAATCCAACTTCCCAGAACAGGTGCTGCTGATTAAAGCTGCTCCAGCAAGGGCACCTCGCATCTCACCGCGTGCTGCTGCTTCCTCCAGCTTTGCTGCCAACTCCTGTTGGGAGTAAAACCCCTCCATCCGTCCAGTGCCTAAAGTCTCTGGTCTCTCCACTGCCAGAACCAAATCGATATTAGATGTCCCTGCAACTGGCTGCACACCAAGTATATGAAGAGGATCTTGCTGCCCTGGTAACCACTTCCAGCCAGCTATAGCTCGTAAAGTTACTTTGATCTGATTCAGGTACCGTCCAAGTAATTCCTCCCATGAGATGGAGCTGAAACGCAAGGTCAGGGCGCTACGCAGCAAAACATCAGTCACCTGTTCAACCTGGACTGACACATCAGCTATGACAGCATATCGCCCGTCACTGATTGTTGCATTCATCTGGTATCTGAAAGGAGACAAGAACATGTAATGGATTTTCATTCAGGAAGTTTTTTCTGGAGCAAACTTCTGGCTGTATGAATTTTAAGTTTATGTAATTTGCATGTACCTCCCAGGTTCCAAACCTGGCAGAGCAACAACACTTCCATCTTGTCTGTTGATCTTAAACATGCTCTTTGGAGGAGGCTTGTGGGTAAAAGACAGGACATCATTGGGGTCACGGTCTGTGGCATAGATTCGGCCGATCGGACCACCCGGAAAAGTATCCGTTGACATGACGATGTAGATCTCCAGAGGGGAGACAATGGGCTTGTACTGACTGTTCCCGATGACTCTCAGAAAAACCCAGGAAGACGAAGTAAGACTCGGTTTACCCGAGTCACTTGCCTATGGCATCAAAAGAGTACTTTAGATGAGGAATAAGTTAAACTATGTAGACATGTATAGAAACTACTTAAGGTAGAATACTGTTAGGTTTCTAATGTTAGAGGTAGCTGGTAATTTTATCATATTAACCAGATTACCCACCGAAACCTGATTCAGTCTACAAATGAAATCACATATTTACATACAATGTATGAAAAGAATGCACATATTTAGTTTCAACCATTTCATTGATAGAAAATTCTAAGATTATGTTTAAAGGGTTCTAAGTTATTCTTGGATATCCAGGTAATTTGTTTTCCAAAAACTCCACAAAATAGTGAGTGACAAACAGCACATCCAGCCATTACCTGAATTTCAAGTATGAATTCTCTGGGTGCTTCAGGACCGAACACACGGTTGGACTTTAGAGATCCAGTCTGGTCCAAACGGAAGAAACTACCTTCATTTCCTGCCACTATGCGAAAAACAAAGGGGGCACCATTTCTAGGGGAGTCTTTATCACTTACTGACAGTGTTAGAAGGGGGGTGCCAGCAGCCTGGTTGAGCTGAAAGTACAGTGATGAGTTTGAATGTCAAAACACCAAAGACCTACACAGAGGACACACACACTCACACACAGGATTACCTGTATAATGGCTGTGGAGTTGGGAGGAGTAAAGACCGGAGGGTTGTCGTTAACATCAGAGATGTCGATGTTAACGGCGACAGTGGAGGACATGGCAGGAGAGCCGCTGTCAAATGCTTGTACAGATAAAGTGTACCTGGATACCTAGAGGATAAACATGAAGATAACAGACTTCATTAGATGATTATTTTTGCAATCCTGTGCTTACTAATCTAAAAATTCAACTTTTTAGTTGAATTTCACAAAATACGGTGAACTACATATTCATTGACAGCCATGAAAGGGATGTGTAAAAAGCCTTAAAATAATTTAAAGTTTTACTCTCACTAAAAACATCCTAATTATCCAACAATTTAGTACAACCAACAATTTAGTTTAGTACAATTGTGACTAAGGATGTTACGGAACGTCAAAGGTGCTTCGTATTAAGAAAAACCCTTACTAGTTCTCTGTCAAGTCTCTTATTAACTTTAAGCAGTCCAGTCACAGGATCAATCCAGAAGTGATTGGTCCGATCACCTTTCAGAATTGAGTAGGTAATTCGTCCATTCACTTGGCTGTCCAGGTCTTCTGCCAACACCTTCACAGCATGTTGGTCAAGATAGAGATTAGTAAAAGGACAAAAAAGGCAGACAAGTGAGTGCCAAAAACAAATAAGGACTAAGAATTACCCTTGTAACGGTCTGTCCTATGGATGCATCCTCACTGATCAGAACATTATAGATATCCTGATCGAACATTGGAGCATTGTCGTTGACATCCATGAGTTCGATGACAATCATCGTAGCGGTGCTAAGAGGAGGGTTCCCATTGTCCCAAGCCTCAACAGTGATGTAGTAGTCCTTGCACACCTCAAAGTCCAAGTCATCAGCCACTGTAATTGAGCCTAAAAATATGCTATTTGTTGTTAATTAAACAAAATCGTTAAAACAAGACTTTATATAATCTAACGATGTAATGCTTATTAAAATAGGACTCTGTTGAGTCAAATAATTTAACATATTGTACAAGAAGCCACATCTGCTCACCTAGTTTTCTGTTTATGTTGAATTTCCCCAACTCGTTGCCTGATCTGATGCTGTAAGTGATCTCGGCATTGGGTCCAATGTCAGCGCTTGTTGCTAAAATGCGCAGAACCTCGGTCCCCACAGCGACATCCTCAGGGACAGTAACGGCATAATCTCTCCTCTGGAAAACTGGAGCATTGTCATTCACATCCAGGACCAAGATTGTCAAATCAACCTGAGTGACAAAAAGAAAAAATTGGGAAACTTAATGTGCTGTAGTTAAAATAAAAAATCTCCAGATCACTTAAACCTAGTGACTTTCTGAGTCACTGTTGATGAGTAAATTATTTATTTTTTTAAGTTTGTTTCAGTTGTTTGCTTCTAAATGGGAAATTAACAGGTCTTTGTTTGGTATTATTTATTTTTAAAGTATTAAAATTTCATTTTAAAAAACCCTGCAGAATTGTGATGACCTTTGTCGTACAACTGATAAATAAATGACAGTAAATACATTTTTCATTCCTCCTTTGTTAGACTATTTGTCTTCCTATTTTTTTTCCCCTTATTTCTTTCAAGATGAATGGCCTTGCATTGGAATCCTCTCAATAATTGTCTGGTGTACATATTTGTCAATAAATTTGTTGGTCATAGCCGACGAGCCATCCAAACATGTAGTAATGTTTAACATATAGTAAGTTATAAAACGAGTGATTTCTTCAGATTCAAATACTTAATTTCTTTTCAAAATTCATGTTTATCCTTATTATCTAGACCCTACACCTTACATTACATACAGTGTTGATTAAATTAATTTGAAAATTTCTAGCAATAATATATTTCAGTTTATAATTTTAGTTCGTGTATGGGACCCATTCTAAAAGCTCAAGAGAACCGCAGACAGACCAACCCGCTCAGTGGAAGTGTAACACTGTCCCAGTTTCCCTGCTTTCTGTCTGACATTATTAACGTCACCTTCCTCATCTTTTCTGTCCCGGCCACCGAAAAACTGTAATGATATTTTATCTTAATTAAAATCTACCCGGTTATTAAACTAATCTCTTTAGTAAACAAAATGGCTTCACTCGCTGGCACATGCAAGCATTAATTTCTTCATGCATATGAACAGAGATACAGAGTCAGATTACAACATAGTGCTTACATTTTAAAATCTCTGGTGCCACTAATCTAAATTGTACTACAGTCAGATATGGTGGTGATCATTCAGATAATCTTGATAAGATTGTACACTCAGACATGACAGACACAAAATTATTAATTCATTTATTAATTAAATCATATTATTTTTAATTAATTAAGCTTTTGAATGAATGTTTTTCCTTCACAACAACCATATATTTATTGAAATAATTTATTATGTAAATTATTTCAATAAATATATGGTTGTTTATAAATGACAGTAAATTAATTTTTATTATTATTATAACTTTTGTAAAAGTTATAATAAAATTTAATTATTTTATGTAATGATATTCTGTTTAAGACCAGGCGACACTTATTTTGCATCATATGTACCATTTGTAACTTTTGGGTTGGATTTACAGAATAAATTGTAAAGCGGAGATGGGTTATTTATTTACTACTATAATGGTAATGACGTAGCAAGAAAGCCCAAAATCACTTAGATGTTATTTGTTTTTAGTATTTAAGGTATTGCTACCACAAACTGATAATCAGCTGAACGGACATGTGGTAAATTAAGCTTTCTTGATTGACGTAGCTGGTCTACCAGTTAGCTGTTTTTCCAAGTAGTTTGCTTTTTGTGTCAGGCTTCAATCTATTTGATCATGTTAATTCAAGCCTTTTCTCTCATTGTGATATTAGAAGAAGAGTGTATTTTAAAAAAACAACCACAATTGATTCATTATGTTACAACTGATGTTACACTAATTCAACCACTTGTTACCAACCTCTGAGGACAGTGCCCCCTGTTGCCCAGCCCGATCGGTAGCCTGAACACGAATACGATACGAGTCTCGGCTCTCTCTGTCCAGGAATTTCTCCAGGATCACTATTCCAGTAACCGGATCAATGGAAAATACCCCATCGAATGAACTCACCAGAGAATACACCACTGTACGGTTCAGACCTGGATCGTACAAACAGTCAGTTACAGTGCATTGCAAAAATATTTATACACCATGGACAGATTCAGTCTTAGTATAACCAATGGATGGTTCACAATCAATGAATGCATAATTGTGAAATGGAAGGATAATTATACAAGCTTTTAAAATTTTACAAATTAATAAGAATTTTTAGAAGAATTTTTTGCCAACACTTTGAAGTAAGGCATTTGCTGCAATAACTGCAGAATATCATTTTTCATTTCTGAAATTGGTTAATCTACTTTGCAAAATAGTTCAAGTTTAGTTCGAAATGATAGTTCAGTTGTATTTTCATAGCATATTTCTGCCACTATCATTTTTATGGGAGAGGTGTGTTCATGGTTCTGTTTAGGGTTAGTGTCCCTCCCAGACACAGAATTTTGCATTTAGGTTAAAAATGAATGGTTGACCATATCAGAATTCTGTCATGTATGTGGATCCCCAAAATGACTTGGAGCAAACCAAGTATTATTATTATTTACAGGATTCTGTCAATAAAAATGTAGCTCTTGCAACTGTTTTGCTGCCACAGGCTATTTGTTGTCTTGTAACAGACCCTCCTCCTACCTGAGTTCTGGATTTCTGCAGCTCCTCCAGTGCTACCAAGATCACTCTGCTTCATTAATGCTTCCCTTGCCCAGCCTATATCATATAAATACTGGTAGGTTCACAATCGTACAATATTTTTTTTTCCATTTTCAGATGATGAAACAAACAGGGATCTGTGAGATGTTTATGGGCCAGGATACTGTTTTCTAACCCTGCTTTTAACTTCTCCTTGATTTCATGCCTAACCTGGTTGATGTTTTGCTTGCCTTTACTGATTCCGATAGTTCACCAGTATTTTCTTACATTCCTCTGAGGCCTTGAAAGAACTGCTACTTTTAGACTGAGGTTAAATAACACTTAGTTCAACTATGTTTGCTAAGCAATTTCTGAAAGAAGCTGATCACACAGAATTTACTTATGGGTATCAAAGTAAAGCTTTTCATATTTTAACTTGTGAGAATTTCTTCTTTAACTACAGTATATATTCTTCATATACCATCTCACAATAATGCATTACTTTGTGTCAGTCTATAACTTAACATCCAACAAATATATTTAACTTTGAGGTCAGAAGGTGACAAAATGGATATGTCTTTACAGCACAGTATTGACAATGCTTAATACAACATATCCCCTTTTAACAAACAGTCTCACCACGAGCACTCAGTGGATTTATTCCGCATTTATTATATGACTGAAGCAAAACTTCTACTTAGTTTACCTTCATCAGGGTCACTGGCTTGCAGGCGAGTAAGTAAAGCCTTGGGGGAGGCATTCTCATACACACTCGCCAGGTAATGAGTTGTCGAAAATGAGGGAGCATTGTCATTCACGTCCAACACTTTTAGAGAAATGTCAGATCGGCAGAACAGCCCTCCCCCGTCAGTAGCCTGAGCAATGAGTTTGTAGGAGGGTGTTGTTTCTCTGTCTATTATGTTGGCGGTTCGCAATTCACCTTGAAACATGAAAGAAATATGTCAGAGCTTTCGCTACTTAGCTTTGGGAGTATTTGTTGCTTTTGCCATGAAAAAAGGAAATGATGAAAAATAGAATGTACCAGTGTTGGCATCCATATAGAAATCTTCCACTCCAATGCCAAATAGTGAATACTGGATCTCAGCACTTGAGCCTGAGTCAGCATCTGTTGCACCAACCATCAGAATGCCCTTGTTAATGGGAATGTCCTCAGGAAAAGAGGCACCATACACCGCCTAGGACAGTACAAAAATAGAATACATATATACCACTATATGAGAGCAGATGACCACATGTAAAACAACATAGGTGTCTACAATAAAAAAAAACAAACAAACAAAAAAACACAAACAAACAAACAAAAAAAGAACACATGACTGTTTCTGCTTTGCCTCCATTATCCCAGCTGTTAGATCAAGGTCAACACAGTTAAGCAACCTTTCGTGGCCCAGCATCCATTCCAGCCAATAATTGCCTCTGGAAAAGAACTAAGTGTCCCCATACACAGGCAAACATTTATATACTGTATAGTATGTAACACGTCTCCCTTTTTTTTAACTTAGCTGTCTTTTGCAATATCTCAAAGTTGATTAGTTGATCATCGCATCACCAGATAGTGAAACAGCCACTACCTTCAAAATTGATTAGGCGATAGTGTCATTCTCTCTAATGGGATAACATTATTGTCTGTCACATACAGTGCAGTAGAAAGTTTAAATAGTCGTCATGTAGCACATATTAATTTATGTGCATTCTCATTCACGGCATTCACTTTAATGATAGATTCAGTGTTTTTGTAGGGTGGAACAATTCTGCAACACACAACTGAAATAATGTTTTAAAACAAGAATAAAGTGTGACATCTAATATTGCTGTCTTATATGAGACAGCAACATTGGTTCGAGGTAAAGATCTTCACCTTTTCCTCAAACTAAAAGTATGTTACAGTTGCTTTTAATAAGAATAAACCAGGGTGACATTATTTTATGGACTGGCCTTCCTAAAGGTTGACTTCAGCTGTATTAGAAGATTGTTAACCTCAAACTAGAACTGCATAACTCTTTAAATAAGCACTCTGAATTAACCAAGTAAATGATAAAAAATAGTGCATGGTAAAAATTTTGGTAACCAAATGGGCATAAATGCAGTTATGACATTCTCCTACTAATAAAAATTACTGTTTCTTTTACATTTACAATAAAAAAAACCATACAAATTTGATTAATATGTATAAACAGGATAAGACACAGTGTGCCCTTAAATATTTTCTGCTATTTTTTTTAATGACAGACTAAATGCTTTGTATGCACACATACTTGCCTGACAAGAGAACAAAGACTACCAAAAGAGAAAAGGGAGATGGGGAGGAATTCAAAGGAAATTCTTAATGACTGTTAATAATTATTCTGCTAATTTTCTCAAACTGAAATATTGCTGAATATTAATAGACAGAATGAAATGCTCCCAAAACATCCTCAGCACATGTATCATTATACTTATAAAATTGCCAAAAACAAAACAACAACAAAAAAAACAATAGTTAGATGGAGGGATAACAGGCTTTAGACACTGTGTTAAGAATCATTCGACCAAATTTAACGCAGCATCTGTATTATGTAGCAACAATCAAACTCCTTTACAGACAAGAAAATGTAGCATATCTGAACCACCGTTGGTCACAGGTATATCTACTTGTTTTTCACATTAATATATTGCACACCTACATATTTCCCCATCTCTAACCTGGTTGCAGATGGGACTGTTGTCATTGGCATCCATTACCGTTACCTCCACTGCAGTATGAGCGACATAAAGCCCGTCACTGGCTGTGATATTGAGCAAGTACCAATCCTGTTGCTCACGATCCAGCAGACCACTGACATAAACCTTCCACTCCCCTTGCACAAGAGTAAGGCCAAACACTCCTCTCTGATTTCCCCCTGGAAACACACATAAGATTTGAAACCTATTGAAAAATAAAGACAGATGTGATAGTGAATTGAATCTTTTAAAAACAATGACCAACTGATTAAAAACCATTCACAGTCAAATTATAGGGATTCCTTTTTAGTGCAATCATCAGCCACAATATCAAAGTAGAATTGTAGCCATGGATTATGGAAATCCCAATGGCATTTTATTATCAAATTAGCTTAATCGCTATTTAATGTGTTATAATCATACATAACTTATATAATTACATACAAATTATTTTTCTCATTTTTTTTCTCAAATTATTTTTTACATTTTTCTCATTGAATATTTTTTAAATAAATGCAAGAACAAGCAATGTGGAAAACATTATTTTAGTGAATGAAAAAAAAATAAAGTTAAGCTGAACAAACATTTATGATTTCATTTTCATCACCTGTGATGTAAAAGCTGACAAGGCGGTTTTGGTCAGTACCATCTCGGTCTTTGGTTTTTAGGACAGCCACAACTTCACCGAGTGGATCACTCTCCTTCACAGCACCTCTGTAGAACTCCCTCTCAAACATCGGCGGATTGTCATTGACGTCCGATACGGTGATGGTCACCACTGTGGTTGAGGAGAGAGGCTGTAACTCAGCCAAATCAGAGGCCACTACTTCAAAGCTGTAACTCGAGCAGGCCTCATGATCCATTTGAGTCACTGTGGTGATCCAGCCTGTTTTGCTATCAATGGCAAAGACAGAACCGGTGGTGATTGGGCTGGTGAGGGACAAAGTGTCCTTCGTTAGGTCCGGGTTGTAGGTGAGCAGTAGCCCAAGGCTGTATGTCACCTGCAGTTTAAAGAAGATACACACACTACTATGTGCAAGTAAGTGCAACGTTTTGTAAATGAAACAGATTTATTCACGAAAGTAGAACGTGTTTTTCACATACCTGTCCATTAGAGCCCCAGTCTGGATCAAGAGCACGGACTTGAATTATTCTTGTCCCTGAAGGCATACCTTCCATCACTGTGGCTACATATGTACTGGTTTCAAACTCTGGCTTGTTGTCATTTACATCTAGAATCTGTGGAGTGATAAAATGTCTGTAATTGATTCATGAATAATGTAATTTATTCACAAAAATATACTACTACAAAGAGAAAAACATCCTCATTGTCTGCAGTTTAATTTCTTGTAACTGCTTCATATTAATACAATTGCTCAGGCTTTTAAGAAAATGTGATAGTGATAGAGCTAATAAATATTAAAAACAAATAGCTTGATTTTTTCCCCCTTAGGCTGAAAAACGTAACCGAAACTGAAAGGCTCCTTTCTGGGTTTCATCACAGACCTTCACTTCCAAGTCCACGGTTGACATGGTCTCGATCAAATCTTTTCTTGCAGTTGCTGCAACCTTAAACCTGAAGCTGCTGACTTCCTCATAGTCCAATGGCTTCAGCAGCCTGATGAGACCCGTCTCTTTCTCCACTAGGAAGGTTGCCCCCTGGTTGCTGTCGATTGTCTCCCCAGGGACAGCAGTGAAGAACCCCGTCTGGCCAGGGCCTGTGTAAACAGAGCCCAGCACTGTTCCTACTGCAGTATCCTCAGGGATGGTAAAGGAATACTGAGGCTGGCTGAACGAAGGGATGAATGAATCTGGGGGGACGACTTGAATAAAGGCTGACACCAGGGAGTGTTTGGGAGCAGCACCGCAGTCGGTGGCTTTGACGAAGAAGGACAGGACAGTTCCTTGAAGGTGATCAACAGCACTTTTAGTCATCATCCAACCACTGTCTGGCTCCACCTGTGCAACCACAAGACCCACTTTAAAACTTTAAAAGCAACAGAATATTTTTTAAAAGGATGGAATATGTTTACGACTACATTGTAATTTTCTCTGATGTTTTTGCTCTGGAGGTTTGAGGTTACAACCTTAAACCTCAAAAAATTTAATGAAATTTAACATAGCAGGCCAGTTGTGAAGCATATCCACCTTTTACTGGAATTATAGCTGCAACTTTTCTAGCATGTGCCTTGACCAGCTTACAGAATAATTATGTTACTCCTTCTATTTTCCAAAATTGCTCAAGCTTAGCTGGACTGGAAGAGTAGCATCTGGGAACAGTAAAATGGTAAATGGCTTGCACTTATACAGCGCTTTATCAAGTCCTGGGGACCCAAAAGCGCTTCACACTACATTCAGTCATTCATGCACTGTTGGTGGAAAGCTACTGGAGTGTAGCCACAGCTGCTCTGGGGCACACTGACATGCACCAGCGCCACCTGACCACCACCAGCAGACAAAGCGGATGCAGGGTCTTTCCCAAGGCCACAACAACCTAAGTGAGCAGAGTGGAAATTGAGCTGACAACCCACAGATTTTGGGATGAACGCCTATCACGGCTTTTAAATAGGATTCAGGTGTAAAGTTTGGGTGCTCCATTCTAGTACATTAAAATCAATGGACCTACACAAATGTTGTTCTGACATTCGTACTTCACGTGTCATGTTCTGACATAGTGTCAGAACAACAAGCTGTCATGTTAGAGCCTCTAATATGTTTTTGTCCAGTTTTGCCCTGTATTTAGCTCCATTCATCTTACAGCCAATTTCTAATCAGAATGTAGAAAGATGTGTTAAATTCCTCTGTATACCAAGCTTTTCAGATTTTATTTGTTAAAACAACTGTCCACTACATTTGTTGATCTAAACACATAAAATCCCAATAAAATACAAATGTGCTTGAAACAGTTCAAGCAGTATGACACTTATGCATAGCACTGTGCATCCAATTTTTATTTTGTTTTTCAAAGAATTCCAGAAAATTAATCCATGATTAACATTACATCTGTCTTCAGAGCAGATGTTCGCTTTATAAATTTTAAATAACTGTGTTTCACGAACTGCCTGGAAAATTAACCCCAGTGCAACATTATCTTGATTTAATGGAACAAATATGTAGTCGACATCAAACAGATGGCGCTTAATCCTATAAAATAAGTAGGGGGGGTATCATCTGTCAATATCCCATGACTAAAAATCAGGCTACGCTTTCCCACATGTTGTGCAATTATGAAGTTTGCGTCTTTCTCATGAAGAACAGTTATCTATACTATGACCAAAATGAACTGACCTCCAGCACATCAACGAGTGACAGACGAGCCTCACTGTAAAGGGAGTAAGTTATCCTCCCATTAGAGCCAGCATCAGGGTCAGTGGCCTGAATCTGTGTGACAAGAGAACCTTTAGCAACATTAGCTTTAATGCTCATGCGATACTCCGTGGCTCTGAACTGTGGAGCGTTGTCATTTTCATCTGCCAGGACCACTCGCACGGTGCAAAATGATGCACGACCTGTGAGAGAGAAAACACATAATTGTTACATTCCCAGTCCATGAAGCATAAGTGTTTTTGTTTGTTTTGACACTTAGAGATTTGACTCCAGGTTAGCTTAGTCCTCAGCAAATTTGTAAAGCTCTTTTGTACCCACACACTAACATTTCATTATTTTCTACTTTCATTGTAAAGGTAGAAGTATATTACAGTATACAGAATACTGTAATATATTTCTGTATTATGGCATTTTCAATTAATTATGGACATGAATGATCCTAAAATTATACCAGTTATACATAGATTAAATTAAATGTCAGCATTTTCTGGAGCTTTGAAATAATTGCATTTCCAATGACAATAACTCTGATCATTTTGAATATGAAAAAACATAAACTGCAAAAATACTAAAATTGAGAATTGTGAACTATATAGCATTTGAGCAACTCCTGATTAAAACAAAACAACAACAAAAAAAAACCATAAAAGGCAAAAATGTGAATACCTCCTCCATCCAAGGCCATTACTGTCAGCACCATGTCTTTGTTCACAGGACTTTCTCTGTCTAATCTCTGAAGAGTGGATATGACCCCGTCTGCATCGATGCTGAACTTGATTTTCCCCAGGTCATTGATGAATGAGTAGGTTATCTGACCATTCAGCCCAGAATCCTCATCCATTGCTAAAACCTGGAATCCATTTGCAAATTCAGTCAATTTGTGCTCCCTTTAAATATTACAATTAATTACAAATCAGAGAAATTGAAAAAAATCTTAATTACTTGGATGACTTTGGTTCCTGGAGGCGAATTTTCAAGAACCTCAGCCAGGTAAAACCTTTGACTGAATACTGGGCTGTACAGATTGGCTCCCAGGACACGTACAATTACCTGCAAATCACACCTGCAGTCACTCAGTTATCCTCTCGATCATTGTCTGCTGACATTTTGTGGATGTCATCACAATAAGGACAACTGAGTGGTTTGTCAAACATAATCAGATAAACGTATAAACAAGCACACCACCTAATCAGGTGGTATTTCACATAAAATACTTTTTAATACTTTTTATGTGAAATGCCATACTTTTCCATACTGAGCATTCCAAAGTACTTACTACTTTATGTTTACTTTAAAATATGAAATACTAAACTTTGCTTTTAAATTCTGGTAAAAAGTGAAGGAAGGACAAACAAGGGTAAGGTAGAAAAAAGAGAATGAAGAAAAATATTAGGGGAAAGGAAGGAAGAAAATGATCAGGAAGGAAGAAAAGACACAGAGGAGGTGGAGCAGAGGAAGAAGACAAGTAAAAACACAAGGAGGAGATGAAGAAAGGACGTAAGAAAAAGGAAAAACATGAGGGAGGAGATAGGAAGCAAGGAATTAGGACAGCAAAAAATAAAAGATAGGATACCAGGATGGAAGAATAGATGAAAGGAGGGAAAGAGACATGGAAGAAGTACAACCAGTAGAAAGAGAAGGAGGTCATAAGTTTTGAAAATAAGGAAGAATACAAAGAAGGATGAAAGAAGGAACAATAGACATAAAGTAATGCAATAAATTGTCAACATTCCCAGAATACCCCTTCAATAACGGAGAACCGACCTATCTCTTTTTAATATTTCTTTCCTGTATTTGGCTCAAATGTCATATTACAAATAAGATGAGAAGTTACTGTTAAACATATATAAAATGTTAAAGTTAAAATAAATCCCACTTGTGATTGCCACAAAGTGACAAATGAATGGATGTTTTCCAGTTAGCGACTCAACATCACAGTAAACTGGATGTGACACAGCATTAACCTCCTGCAGCAACCCCACACTTATCCCAGTTAGTTGTGGCAGATGTTCGCCATAATTTCCAACTGAGACATCGCTAACAAAGGTCACTCTGCTCACGCTATTATTATTGCTTGGAGAGGTTTTGAAAGAGGGCAAATAAACTGACAGGACCAGATTGTAAGCTGCTGAGAAGCGGGATCACCTGAGCAGTGTTGGTGAAGACTCCATCTGACACAGACACATTGAGTTGATAGAAGAGTTTCATGCCTTGTCTCCTCTTGTTAGACAGACGAAGCACCCCTGTATCTGGCTCCATCATGAAAGTCATTTTCTCATTCCCTGAGAGAATACTATACCTACGAAAAAAAAAAAAAAAAAAAAAAAAAAAAAATATATATATATATATATATATATATTTATATATATATATATATATATATATATATATATATATATATAAGTGTATAATCTTGCATTCAAACTCTGCCATTATTAAGGGTTATGGCTGTAAAAAGCTAAAACCAGAAATACTGCTGCTTCAAGAAAATACTTAAAAAGTATGAATAATGTTCATTTAATTTTAAAACAATAGTGTTGCTGAATGGTTTGATTGCACATTGAGAAAAAGAATTCAAGCATATCTATTTTACATATTGAACACTACATTCAAATAGAATTCTACAAAAAAAAAAAATATATATATATATATATCTCTATCTCTATATATCTCTCTCTCTCTCTCTCTCTCTCTATATATATCTCTCTCTCTCTCTATATATATATATATATATAATATATATATATATATTATATATATATATATAGAGAGAGAGAGAGAGAGAGAGAGAGAGAGAGAGAGAGAGAGATAGATATATATTTAAAGCATTAGCTCTCACCTCAGCCTCTGAGCATCACAGATGTCAGCATCTGACGCTTGAAGGCAAGTCACAAAGTGCCCTCTGGGTGCCAGGTCACTGACAAAAGCCTCGTATACCGCTTGGCTGAAATTAGGGGGGTTGTCGTTTGTGTCAGTTACAATCACAATGACAGTAACATCAGTGCTAAGGGCAGGATCTCCACTGTCTGTCGCCCTGACAATGAAGTTGTGGCGCTGCATGAGCTCATAGTCAAGCATGCGTGACGTGAATATCAATCCCCTGCTGCTGTCAATTTGGAAGTAGTCGGTGGTGTTGTAGATGTCAGACAGGATCTGGTAAGTCACTACGGCGTTCTTCTCTGAGTCCTGGTCTAGTGCAAAGACCTGAAGGGAAAGGAACAGAACATTTTGGAATGCCTTATGCATTATTCAGGACTGAGAGTGTAAAAAATACCAGAAAGAAAAAAAGTAGATGGTAGTAGTGGAAGTTTAAGACAGAACCTGGCAGCACAAATCACAGCTATATCTGCATACATACCTTTTGGCTATCTATATTGGTTTTATGTGAGTTGCTTCCCAGAATAAAAAAATATGAACTAAAGCAATGTCTCTGTTTTCAAATGGAAAAAATATCAAAATATATGCACTAAAATGACATTTGAAGAGGGAAGTAGGAGAATAAGTGAGAAATGAAGCAACAGTGTCAGTTTCTAACCAGCAATTTTCATACTGTTTGTTCAAGGCCATCAAACTAGCAAATATGAAAGAGCCACATTCATTCATAATGAGAATGACGAAAATGACTCAAGCTTGTAATAATAATGTGGCTTAATTGCCACAAAAATGCTCTACAAGAAAATAAATTAACAGCTGCTATTGTTGAGGTTAAATTACTCATTTTCAAATGTCAATGTAAAAACACCACTGTATCAAGAAATGAGCTTGAGACAAGAGTTGTTAGATTATCCTTATTGATTTTAAAATTGTTTGAAATCATCGTCGGTGATCCATGAATGCATCAAAAGTGACAACAAATTTTGCTCACAACAATTATCTGTGTGTGGAGTTCAAGTAATGTTTTTTTTTTTCTTCAGTCAGTAATAGGCAGGGTAAGGTCTCTGTTCTCTAAAGAATTCTGTTTGAAGATTACTGTGTTGACATTGAAACTGAACTCTGTTCATTCATTCTTAACACCAACTTCCTTACATATACTTTTGTTTTTATCGCAACCAAAGTGCTTACAGGGAGGAGTGGGGGGCTTACTCCAAGACATGAATTCCTGAATAATCGAATCACCGGGTGGATGTAATAATGCTTCAACATGATCCAAATTCAGTTCTCAAACAGTCCAATCTCCAAGTTTAATTAGTCATTTTAGTCTAAGAACAAAGAAACAACAAAAGTCCAGCAATTTTACCTGCAGGCAGCAATAAGAATGTAGTAAAAATCATGGCTTGTTACTTTTTTTTTGTGAATGAATGATTACAGCATCAGTTGGACCCTTCCTCAAAAATTTTAAAATTGATATATAAAACAATATTGATACTTTTGCTCCACATCATCCATCCATTTGTTATAATTCTAACAAATGGATACTTACAAGTATAGCCACGTACCTGTAGAACAGATGTTCCAATCATGGAGTTCTCAGATAGCACAGCAGAGTACGACATGTTCTGAAAAAGTGGGGGGTTGTCATTCACATCTAGTACAACAATATCTACATCCACCTCAGACTTTGCCCCTGTCAAGGTATCAGTAGCTTTCACTGTTAGGCGGTAGTACTGGATGGTCTCGTAGTCTAATGGATATCTCACACTGATAATTCCTGTATCAAAGCCTATGTCAAACTGAAAGGAAGGGTCTCCATCTGAGATGGTGAAGATGATGTCCTGGCCCTCTGGACTGCTTGCATTGATGCCCAGAACAGAGGTGGAAACTTCAACATCTTCTCTGACTGTTACACCATAGAACGGCTTGTCAAACACTGGCATGGCTTTGTTTACGACTGTAACAGGCAGCTCCACTTCACTGGACAGTCGAGGGAATCCACCATCAGTCGCAATGATAATCAATCTGTACTCTGCATTTGATAGGTCAGCTTCAAAAGCTCGTTTTAAGACCAGCTCTCCTGTTACTGGATTCATCTGGAAAAAGTAAAAATATAACCAGCTTAATTTTCAAGATCTTGTCATAAAAATTGCATCAAATTTAAAACTGAAGCCACTGTAATTTTCAGCAACCTCAAAGTCCCTGTGCTGCGTCTTCAGGCTGTAAGTCACTTCTCCATTCAGATCAAAGTCTCGATCAACAGCAGAAACCATGAAGATGGCTGATCCTGGTTCTGCTTCCACCTGCACTGCAGCATAGTAGGGGAGGTTCACAAACTCTGGAGCGTTGTCATTTAGATCTTCCACCTGTATCAAAAACAAATGAAATCATGTAGAAACATGTACTTTTATGGAACATAATAGACTTGAGAAATACGGGCATCCTCTAACCCTTATTTTTTAGCCTAGTTATCTCGTAAGATTTAAGTAGGATATTTCCTACTTAAATCTTACAATCGGATTTCGGTAGTACAGAAGTGAGGAGTTATCCTAAATCATTGCACTTCACTACCTGATAATTACAATGTTTAAATCTCCATATAGGAGATTTAAACTTATTTTGTCGGCATTCAAATATGGTAGCAAAGTGCTTTAGGAAACAACTGCTGCCGCCTAGTAATCTGGGAAGTGTTGTAATGTGCTTAATAATTTGCAAACAAACAATAACAAATCTATCCCATAGTGAAAAATATTATTCAAAAATTAAGTACACAAAAGATAGAAGTGAACATTTCTGCAAATGTACCTCAAGGACTAACTGACTCAAGATGTCAGAAAATGTTCATGACAGCACAATTAGAAAAAAGACATGCATGACTTGTTCAAAAGGACTGTCAAGAGAAAACCCATTCTCTGTGAAAATAAACATGGTAGTGTAAGGCCTGTATTCATCCACTGAGGGACAGTTATAGATATTTTAATTGTATTCTGTAATTTTGATTTGAAAGGTAAAGTAGTATACTACAACTTCTAGCAAACTATACTGGTATCAAATGAGACAAAATTATGATTGGCAATAACCCAACTCAATATATCAGATCATAAGCATGGTAACAATCTGGGCAGCAATAGTAATTGGTCAATTTCTATTAATTGATTTTCCCACAGATTCCAATCTAAACAAAAGTATTCTGGAGTTAACTGTGAGGCCATATGCCTACACATAGCCTCTCATAAGATGCGACCAGAAGAAGGAACAGAAGCAAAATTAAAACAGAATTGTTAGAACTGAAATGAGCTAAGACATAATGACTTGGTCAAAGTCCAGACTTGCCTTGAGAGAGCTGTGCAAAAAAGTTCTCAAACCTCAGTGAGCTAAAAATTTTTACAACACTGAGTTGGTGGTGAATGTTACCTTACTATCACGATACTCTGTGCCAATAGAACAACCATCATACTATAAACCTTAGAACCTAATAGCTAATAGTGACTTGGTGGACTTGTCCATGTTTTTGCATCCTTTGAAGAGTTTCACTATTTGTCATATTTGAACTACCAATATTTTACAATATTTTATATAAGGCAGCGCATAACTCCACAGTTATGGAAAGTAAATGATACAAGGTTATTCAATTATACAAACAGAAACTGCAGTAAAGATTGAACTAAACTTTTTCTACTATCAAATGCCTAAATACAATCCAATGCAATCAACTGTTTTCACCTAGTAACTGAAGTCTAATTTGTGCAAATAATTTCACTACAAATGCAAGTACCTACAAAAGGCTTGAGGGTGTGGCTTAGTAGCTTATAAAGGCACAGATCAGAGAACATGATTGAACAAACAGCATCACAAAAAATCAAATTGTGTAACTGTTAAAGTTGATTTATAATACAAAATTCAAGTAACATACATCAATGTTCATGATTGTACCATAGAAAATTGTGGGTGTGGATACTTTTGTAAGGCTCTATAGCTAAAATCAAGCATGTTCTTTAGCTTCTATTTTCAATATTCCTTACAGGTTCAAGGCAGTATTTTACAGCAAAGCCGTTTTTTCAGACCACTAACTGTACAAGAGATCTAACATAAGCTGCAAGGCACAAAAAGCCATGTGAACAAAATTTAAAGAACTTCAGATCTTGATAAGATTTCAAATGCAGACCCAGTAATAAACTATAGACTGAGTCACTGAACAGTGTCCATGGGTGCACAGGCTGAATCATAGAGAGAAGTAAACAAATTTAATGGAAGGCTAACTTGACATACTAAAAGAAATGTTCAAATTAAGAAACAAAAAAACAACTTTCAAATTAAAGTGATTGAATTTGTCATAAACAAATATTTAAAAAAATGTAATCAAGATAAAACGATTACTAGGATAAAATAATTACACATTATTTTCTTCGGTGATGGTGCTCTGGTTCAGTCTTTTGTTGCAAATCAAAAGACTGCTGGAAACTTCTGTTTTCAGCAGTGTTTCTTCTCAAGAGCCCCAAAACACTCACTGATAGCTTGTGTCAAGATGAGTTCAACTTAAACCCAGAAAGACCCTTTGATCATCACTTGTGCTTTAAAGCACTCTAGAAGAAGCACAGATTTGAATTGTGACTGCTTTTTCATCAATAGATCCATAATCTCATAACTGACCAAAGCAATTTATGATCTTTCTGTCATTAACCTCATCTTTTGACACACACATGCACGCGCATGCATTTTCAGTCATTTAACACCCACCTGTACTTGTACAGTCACCCTCGCCACCCTTAGAATCTCATCTTCTCTGCTGACTTCCACCACAAGCTCATAACTTCCCATTTCCTCACGGTCAAAAGGAACACCTGTGGTAAGCACCACTCCACATGTAGGTCGTATTGTGAACCGTCCTCCAGGGTTTAGCAGAGTGTATTTCAGTGGCTCGTTGAGGTGATGACCCACTGTATTTACTACAGTCACTAATGTGATGTCAGGTTTGTTCTCTGGAATGGAGGCTGAATATATGGGCTGGGTGAAGAGCAGGCCGCTGTCAACAGCTTCTCTCACAAGCACGGTGATGGACGCCATGCTGGAAAAACGCCCGTCCCAGACCTTAAACACACAACAGTGTTTTTATTTCACAAAACAGAATTTCATAAATAGCTGACAATCAAAAAAGTAAACATTGTAATGCGCATTTGATGAGAATGCATTAGATTCTTGTGTTTTAGGAAACCCCCCTTAAAAAGCTGCTTCCTACTTTTATGGTCACATGAACATCTTAGGCAGTGATTCACTCCCCCAAATAAATCACAAATTTATTAAAGCTCCACTGTTGTGTAAGTAACTATAAACATTCTTCTCTGAGAAAATTTTTGCTGTATGAGCCAAGACAAACTATAACTTATGATTTACCTTCACACTGAAGCGATAACGGTCTTTGCTGAGGTTAGGATTAGTGATAGTCACAACTCCAGTACTGCGCTGAACGGTGAAGTATTCCACACTGTTATCCACCAGGGAATAGGCTAACTTGGGTGTGAGAGATTTTTCTTTGTCACCAGTCATATCAGGGTCTAAAGCCTCAACCCGGAAGACTTCAACTCCCACATATGTTGGCAGTAGAAGTACTGTCTCGTAAGTGTCCTGTGAAAACTTTGGGGGTGAGTCATTCATGTTGATCACCTAAGTAAAGGCGTATGTGGAAGAAAGTGAAATCTACTTTAACATCTGAAGAAAATAAAAGGAATTGTACTTTTAGGTAACAATGGTAGAGTCATATGGAATATGCAGTACTTGCCTTTATAATCACCTCTGCGGGACTGTCAGCACTCTTAGGTGGTAGACCACTGTCTTGGACATTGACCCGAAAATTGAACTCTGGGTAGGTTTCGTAGTCCAAACTGGCAATGGTTCTGTAATTTTGCAATGCAAGTTATAAGAAACTGTTAAAATATGTCAATAGTGAGCTAACTGGTCTTACTTCTATACAACTTTTGCACCTACCGAATTGATCCTGTCCCAGAGTCCACACTGAAAAACAAACGAGCAGTCTCTTCTATGATCTGGAACACTAACAGGGAATTATGATTACGATCCTTATCCGTGGCCTGGATAACCAAGGGGTTGCCATCCTCTCCGAGGACAACACTGTTGACTGGAGCAGCTTCACTAACTGTGCCTATATACCTGTCAAGCAAGAACAGAAAAAAGGATCAGCAGGAAGAATAGCCTTCTTAAATCTTTCTGGGAAATAATGGTATTCTAACAAAAGCTCATTTTGCCCATTTCAACCAGCTTTAATACCTTATTTTCTGAAATTCAGGTTGGTTATCATTGACATCCACCACTTGGATGATGACACTGGTGCTGGCCTCCACTCCTGCCATACTCACGGCGCGCACCATCAGAAAGTAGGATGTTATTTGCTGCAGTACAACAACATTCAATCAGCACAGTGTAATTTCTTGAGTGTTAGTGGTTTCAGCCTTTGGTTTGATTGTGATTGATTATTTCTTGTGCGTTATTCATGTTCAATAGTTTGTGTCACATTAATTTGTCCTTCATTTCATACTTTATTCTTGTTTTCCCCTTCCTGTATGTTTATATTGTTTCTTTATGATTATTCATGTCACAATCTACTTGCCATCTTGTGTTCAGTCTCCTTTGTCTATTATTGCTTGAGATAATTCCTGTCTATTTACTTTCTTAGTTTATCCTTGAGTTTTGTTCTGTCTAACATTTCTAATTAGTTCCCTTAAAAGTTACCCCCTCCTTTTGGTTTATTGTTTATTTGCGCTTAGATTCCCTCAGTTCTGGTGACATTCTTGAGGCCACACTTTCATTCTTAACCAATCTGAAGTCTATCCCCAATGACGTTTTTTTACACTTAAGTAACTTTGTGACTCTGGACATCTTTAATCATTAGTGTTAGTTATTATAGCAGTATGGAAGACAATAACATCCATAAAAGAAAAAAAATGTCTAGGGTTAAGGTAAAAGGTATTCTTTGCAAGGCAGTAACTGTCCGAAAGTATATCTTATTGTTGCCAGTGTACTTTTGTTAAGACTCTTAATTTGGACGTTACCATTTACTGTGATGCAATGTTAAAACTTTTCCTAGATTTTCTTTATGAAAAGAAAAAACCTCAAATACATACAAACAGTGACAAACCTCAAAGTCAAGCAGTTTGCGGGTAGTAATTACTCCAGTGTGGTGGTTAACAAAGAAGCAGCGCTCCTCATTGCCTCTGACGATGTCATAAATGAGCGGTGAGCGGCTGAGGGCACTGAGAGTGGTCACGTATGTTCCTAATTTGCTATTCTCCATTATCTGCAGAAAAGACATCAGTGACACATTTTAAACACCTTAATGAACTATGTGCATTGGTTTATTTAGATATTTACATCCCCCATAGCAATAAAATACTTTACTACCCATGCTTGCCGACCAGTTCGAGCCCAATCTTTATTTAATGTTCCCCTCCTCCCCCCTGCAACCGCTTCACCTGTGAACCCATTGTTCCCTATTTACCTCGGCCTGATACTCCTTTTGAGAGAATTGAGGTTTGGAGAAATCGGAGAGCATCAGTGAAATGCGGACCGAAGCAGTGGCCATTAATGGAGGCAAGCCGTTGTCTATTGCCCGCACAGTGAGGCTGTAGAAGCCCAGAGAGGTAAGATCCAGGTCTTTTGCGATGAAGATAAGGCCTGTGGTATTATTTATGGCAAACACACCCCCTGTATTGCCTGTTTTTAGAAGATTGAAGACTTTATTAATGAGTAGTAATGATAACAAAAATCTAAGTACAAATGCATATTCATTCAAATACAATAAAAACAGAAGAGACAGAAGAAACAATGTTAAAAAATACCTGCTTCAATTGTGTATGTGATTTGACCATTAATTCCATTGTCTTTGTCTAGTGCTGTCACCTGCACCACAGAAGTACCAACAGGAAAAGTCTCATAGGCTATAGCATCATATACGGTGCTTGTGAAGTATGGGACATTATCGTTAGTGTCCTCCACTGCTACAAGGATGCGAGCCAAGTCACGATTAAATGGAAACTCCTGATCCTTAACCTGTAACAGCAGAAAAGAGACATAAGTATGGAAAGAGCTGTGGGAGGCAATACACAAACAAAATGTTTTTTCAGAGCTATCAGACTTGTAAAACGGAGCGCAATTTCATCCAAAGCAGGTGAATGGCAGAAGCCAGGTGTCTAAAGTTGACAAGCACGGCCTAACAGCAAAAGGGTGCTCTCCAGAGTGCGAAGTATTCATATGGCTGTATATATTCTTACCATAATAGTGAGGATGTGCTGAGTTCTGGCCTCATAGTCCAGTCTGTCCGCAGTGTAAACTACCCCTGTTCCAGGATTGACCCTGAACAGTCTCATACTCGCTGGGTCAACACTCCCGTAGATGGAAAAGCTCAAACGGGCCCGTTCGTCCATATCTGACGCTCTGAGTCGAAGTAGCTCAAAGTCAGATGGTGCATCCTCAGAAACACTGACATCATAGGCCGGCTGTGAAAAGACTGGAGGGTTGTCGTTGTTGTCCTGTACTCGTATGAATACCTGAGTAACAAAGAGGCAGAGAAAGTGAACTGACAAAGTCAGCAAGTTGAGTGGAAATTGGGAATGTGTGTTTGATTTATTGAATTTATTCTGCTGATGGGGTTTAGAATAGGATTTTTTTCCCCATATAACCTTCTCATTTACTGACAGGAGAACCTATTGAAATAAGATCTACTATTTGCATTTTTGGGGTATAGGATTGGGTACACTATTTCTTAAACATAATGTAATGTGACCCAGGATCCACCAAGGTGCTATCAGTTATTTCCTTTAAGACCCAGTACGCCAGTCACGAAAACAAGACCACTGGCAGTGTATAATACAGAGGCATGGAGTGCCTTGCAAGAGTATACATACCCCTTGAACATTACTACATTTTGCCACATGACAATCACAATTTATGTATTTGATTGAGATTCTATAACAGACCAACACAAAATAGAGTATAACTGTTGAGTAATTTAAAAACCTTTATATTAAAATCTAAAAACCTGACATGCGTTGATATTCAGTCCTCTTCTAAATATTCAAACAAAATGCCTTCAGGTGTCATCTGATTTATCTCTGTACTTATACAGCTGTTCTGTGAAGGCCTGGGAGGTATTTTAGAGAACCTTAGTAACAAATACTGAATGCTACGGAACACACCAGACAGATTAGGGATAAAGTTCTGGAGGATAATAAAGTAGGTTAATGTGAAGAAATAATATTCCAAGTGTTGAACATTTTATTGGAGTACAGTTGCATCCATCATTCTAGCCGTTCCCCAATGCAGCTGGCTCAGCTGCATACCAACTAACACATGGCCATACAGGATATAGTTAATCAGAGAAGCAGTCAAGGAATCTATGGTAACCACGAAATAGCTGCAGAGATCTACAAGTTTGGGGAGAGACTTTTTCAACAGGACAATTATTAGTCGACTATTTCAGAAATCCGACCTTTATAGAAGAGTATCAAGAAAAAAACTATCGTTAAAAGAAAGCCACGAGGATTCCTGTTTGCAGTTTGCCACAAGAGATTTAAAGGACACATCAAGCATGAAGAGAATCCTGCTCTTTTCAGATGAAACCAAAATGTAACTTTTTGGCCTACATGCAGAGCATTGAACATCACCGTTAATACATAATGTTCTCGGTGAAACATGGTGGGGACAGCCTCATATTGTGGAGGTGGTTTTCTAGAGACAAGGGATTATGCTCATAGTTGGTAGTAAGGTGGATTGAGCTGAATAATGGAAGGAAAAAACTGTTAGGGACTGAAACAGACCTGCAGTTTACATTAACTGCAAACAATAAATATACAGCAAGAGGTAAATGCTTTTTGAACAAAGCATTTTTATGTGTTACAATTGTCCAAACAAAATCTGTCTGAGCAAGACAGAAAATACAGAAAATAATTCTACAAATAGTCTGGCACAGAACAGCTGTGTCTAAATTCAAGTACATGCAAAAGTTTTTTTTTTTCTAAAATCATAGAAAATTATGTGTTTTTAACTTTTACATTCACAATTATGTGCTACTTGATCGGGATATATTATAGAAATTAAAGAAAAATACTTTGAAATTTGTGGTTGTGAAGTAAAAATCTGTGAAAAAAAGTTTATTTGATAAGAAATATTTTCTCTAGAACCGCTTAAGAAACAACTTGGCGGAATGGGTTAAAAACACTTTGAACACTAAAAACATTTAGTGCAAGACTGACACGTGTTTGATGTGATTCTCCAGTGCAACTCAATGCAAAGCATACCTGTGTTGTGGCAAAGTTGGTCCCATCTGTCACCTGTACTGTCATGTTGTACACTGACTGAATTTCTGCATCCAATGGCTTGGCCACAACAAGGGTCCCCACTCCAACTTGAAGGTCAAACTGCATGTCAAAGCTCCCTGATATTATATAAACAGATACACACACATGGCATGAGTCATTTTTGCATTCTGTTTGAGTGCTAAACTAAGGTGCTCTAAGGTATTACTGTGTAATTGTCTTGGCCAGATGCCTTCATCTGTTGCTGGAGGGTCTGTGAAATAAAATGAACCGAAATGCAATGTGATGTAGTACTGAGCCCACTTGGCAGCTTGAGAGCTGTTAACAGCCATACAAACATGTGTCTTATCACTCCAAAACACAACCCATCACAAAGATCAGAAACCCACGGCCGGGTCTTTTCCACAGGCGGTGAGTGTACAGTTTAGAGGCTTAATGTTTGATTAAAGTGAGTCACAGGACTGATATGTGTTAGGTATTCAGTGCCATCCTTCATCTCATCCAAGCTTCTCTCTTGAGACATCTTGGAGCTTGAGCTCCCCTCAGCATATGAATACTGATTGGACATTTTTCACTGAAGCTCTGATGCGTGTTGAGTGGGAGCAAACCACTAAGACTCACATTATTTAATTTTTTTTTCTCTTGGAGGTGGGTTGGTCAATCTCACATGACAGGGGATCAATTTCACAGCACTTTGAAAAACAAAAGCTTATAATCCCCAACAGGTTTCCTACGAGTCTAATTCTGCCTCACAGTTTTTGGAAATTATCTATACAAACATACCGTGTCACAACATCTGAGCTGGAACTTTGATAAGCACATAAGTTTTGTCTTGTTTATTTTGTGTTTCACACTTTTGTTACAAACCATGAACTATTTTAACAATAGCACTGATCACTGTCAGCACAGAATGAAAGGGCCAAAATGACGAACACAAGCTCCACATTTATTAGCCTTTCAGGTAAGAATATGTAAAAAGCCATGATGTTCAGTTTTTTTTTTTGTTTTGTTTTTGGGGGTTTTTATTTTAACAGCCCTTTCTCAGTCCAAGAAAGGTCCAACCATTCATCTGAGTACATTGATTTAACAAAGAAAAATGTAGTGTCTATGAACTTTTAATTTGTAATCCATGACTTCTCTGGCTATAAACATATCATAAGGGCCAATTTCTCATAGTAACTATAGAAAAAAAACAATAATAGGTCATTCATGTAACCCGGATATGTGTTGATTTTCATAATTCAGGAAAAGGCTTCAACAAAATAGCTACTAAATTAAAGTCATCCATCTTCAACAAAACTTTATCTAAACTAGTCAAGCATGTCTTGTGAAACATAATGTTCTTAAATGAAGGATATATAGTGAGTGTGTACTCACTATGCATACATATGATTTTTTTTTTTTAACGATCACCTCCAAAGCCATCATGAGGTGAGAGATCACTGCTGTCTATATTCTGTGAATTCACCAAAATGGATCAAATAAAGCTGAATTAAATGCAAACATACCATAGTTCCCATTTGTAATGTTGAGGTCAGTAAATCTTCAGAGATTCTGTACAGTTTAATATGATAAAATAACCTGTTGAGTTTCAATTTGCCTAAAACTTTAATTAAGATTTTCTGTTGGTTCATACAGTATGTTAATATTTTATATATTTGTCATTATCCATTAGAAAGGTAACCATGTATGCATGTGACTTATATTACAGTCGATAAAACATTATCTGGTGTGCTTGTAAATAATTTGTCAAAAATACACTTTGATCTAGAGAATTGTCATGAGGTGAGAAGCATTAGAATTAGAAGCACACTGTATCACAACACAGCCACATTTATTCAGTGAACCAGGAGCATTTCAGCTGAACTAATGAAATAAACCTCCCCTGCCTAGTCAGAGAAAACAAACTGGTGCAGTTCGAGAATGAGAATCCTTTCTCAAACTGAGATCAATCAACATTGCCTTCAGCTAAACAAAGTCCTCGTGTTGTGTGCTACACTTCCTGAATCTTTGAACTCCTTAACACCTGAGGCATTTAGGCAAGAGACACGGAGCAAAATTAATTTGGACCAGACCTGTGTCAAGAGAACAGTTTCGTCCACATTCATTCTGTGGAATGTAGAACATTTCTCTGGAAAGCCGGCCGCCTAAACAGAAAGGAAATACAAACACAAAACAATCAATATTTATGAAGTCCAATTTTATTTTGTTTTGAAAGCCCTGAATCATCTACATGCAGTGTTGCAGAGTGAAGATCCTACATTTTTCTTTTAAATAATTGTTAGTAGATATGGTGATGCAAATGAATTTATAAGAATTCAGATTATGATGCTAAGTAAAAAATGTTAACTTGCAAAGTAATTCTGCTCGTAGTGTGAGAAAAACAAAAATATGCACATTTCTCTGTCTTAGGAGAGACAATTATGAAACAATTATCTCTAAAAAAGTCTCAGAAACAGGGGAAGATATGATTTAACAATAAACTAACCAATCTACTTGAACTTAAGAGGCATTATGAATCAACAACATATTAGCTCTTCATTTACTCCCACATCTGGACACTGACAATTACAATGTTAAATTCTGGCTTCATGTGACACATGGTTTGTTTTTAGATTCAATGAATAGGCGTTCTTGATGATGTTTAGTTATTTTAACTGAAAAACTGGACTCAACTAAAATTTCTATAAGCATGTGAGAGCTTTGGAAATTGCTTGCATTTTATTGACACTCTTCAAAGAAGATTAACATGGTTTTGGTTCTGTATGTGGATTAATATATATTTTATAAATGAAAAATATGTTCTGTGCAGCACCTCGACTAAGTACGATAACAAAACGTCACTCTGTAGAATAAAACGTCACTCTGTAGAATAACTTTTCACTATTTGACCTTTTGTCTTGCATCCTGATATTTTTTGCAATTTATATTAACATACTTACCAACAATACTAAACCAGACAGGTGTCGTTGACTGGCTGATAGCCACCAGTCCCACCGGCTGAGCAACTGCAGATGTCTCTGCAATTGAGAAATTATAGGACCTCTGGGTGAAGAGCAGGGGCATAGGCGAAGGGACAGGTTTGCGAATCCATTCAACATGGAGTTTTACAGTAGACCACAATGATGGAATACCACTGTCTTCAGCTTTTATCTAAGAAAAACAAAAGATATGAAAAAGAGAGACAAGCATACACAATTTCATAAATAGCCTTAGCTGCAACATCTGGGATTAGAACTATATGCATATAATCAGGCTAAATAAACCATAAACTACAGCCTAAAATGATAAATGGGCCAGTAAGTCTTTAAATAGCTCACTCACATTTCACAACTTATGGTAAAATAGCTAAAAAAAAAAATCATTCAATCTAATGGAAGAGCCTATATGCCCACATTCTTGTAAATTTTATAGAATGCTCACTTAGTTTTCAAGGAGAGAAAATCTGGGTGTTGCTGTCCATGTTAATGAAAAAGGCTACCTCATCAACTGAGATATGAGCTTTCATGCAGCGAAACAAAAGGAACGCAACAATACATGGCACAGCGGGGCTGTGTGTAGTTAATCAGTTAATCAGTTGTAAAAAAAAAAAAGAAATAGGCGTCCCCAGACAACCACCACAGCCGCTGTAATTTGACCTTGTGTTGGAGATGAGGAAAGTTTGAAAAGGGACCAAAACAAGAGCACAATTTTGTGAAAAGAAAAACAAAATGTGATGAAGGCAATTGTGTTGTACATCTTATGGTGCTACTGCTGAGTTTATTGATTGTGGAAAATTCAAAATACCTGGGCTTGTGCCAGTTTAAAAATGGAAAATGCATTTTCTTCTGCTAACTTTGCCAGGTTGTACAAGAAAGAAAAATGAAATAAAAAATTGTAAATCAAGAAACGGGCACCACTTTGTGCTTAAAATAGCTTCCAATTTTATTTTAACTAAGGATCTTTGTAGTCTGCCATTTAGGTGTATGATTTATAGTTTTGTCAGCTATGCTGCTAACTGCTGTGTTTTATAGTTATTATAAAGCACTCACAGTGAGGATGTCATAGCTGCCTGCTGTGACCGTCTTCTTTGAGGACACCATACCGGTCCTTGGGTCAATACTGAACTTTTCATCCTCATTCCCATCAATAATGCTATATGTGATGTTGCCGTTTGCGCCCAAGTCACGGTCATAGGCAAAAACCCGATAAACAGCTTCTCCCCGTTTGTTTCGGTCCCGTTCAGGCAAGCTGATGCGGTAAGTGACCTCAGGGAAGATGGGAGAGTTGTCGTTTTCATCCTCGATGTGGACTATGACCCAAACGGTGGACTGGCGGGTTGTCACTGGGCCGTCGATTACTGTGACCTACAACAGCACGCATGCAAAGAGAGATATGATATTATGAGAACATGCTTTGTCATTTGTGAGGGATTTCTTTGCAAGTGCATGCATTCATTGACATCTTAAATATTGCTTGTGCTGTGTGAGTGCAGGGCCACGTGGGGCAGAGATCCCGGGAAATCTCTTTGTATTATTGATCTGCCTGAAGCTGAGCCAGAGGTCTGATCGCTGATCAATTGGATCAGATAAGAGTGAAAATCATTGTTGCCAGCCTGACTGCTCACAAGACTATTAATTACAGGCAGGCCATGAGTTGGAGTGGAAAACAGTGAACAGCACAGATGGACCAGCACTTCAACTAAAATTGGAGGTCAAATGTACAAACTCATTTAAATGCTTTCATTGCATGTCACTGTTGTCTGATAAACTCTAAAACACTAAAAATCTTGAATATATGGAAAATAATTTCCATCCATCTGCACATACAGTACATAGTCTAAAATACACTTTTCTGATACAATGAAGCATTTTATGCTAAGGCTTTCAAAATCATGTATGCACTATGGATGATAGCATTGATTATTCTTTCATCTGGAAGCCTGTCACTGTCTGATTCTGTTAACACAGTACTGATGTTTATCTTGCTTTCTGGACAAAAAACACATTGCTGAACAGAAACGTTGTCTCCATTCATAGAAAAATAAGAATATGCTTGTCATATAGATAATCTAAGATGGAAATGTAAGATCTGTGGAAGTAGGAAGACTACCGAAAGTAGTCTTTTTGCTGAAAACATGTTTTGCCCCTGTGTGACAAAACAGTTGGAGTTGTGGGTGAAGTTCAGGGCAAAAATAGTTTATTCGTTGGCTCTAAAAGATAAGTTAACAGTGGTTTTGTTTATGTGAAAGAGGTAATTGAGTGAAAAAATATGTATGCATATATATTTTTACGGCTGTTGTTCCTTTTTATGTGTTTTCTATCAGTACAAAACATCAGATGGTGTCTGCAGATTAAGTTATTAAAACATTTATAACCAGTCTCTCCTGATATTGCCCCTACATGTTTACCCAGGATAGTCAGCTGGATTTCATATTTTTCTTTGTCTGAGTCAGAAAAAGGAGAAAATCTTTGACTAAATATGTCATCTGAATGCTTCAACTGCCGTTCCAACCACATTAGTAGCATCAGCTTAAAGTGGCTTTTTTGGGCCAAATATTGTGTGGAGAGACTAACATTTTGGTAGCTTAATTACTCATGTATTATTTTGTAATACATGTGATATGTACTGACTATGGAATTCAAAAAGGAATTACAATGACTTCATGGTTTGTTAATATGCAAAGAAGGTTTTTCAGGGTGACAATATTATTAAAAACTTCAGTGAAAATTAGAAATCTAAAATAAAGCCAGTTTGAAAATGCTTTTGCTTTTTCCACCTTGTAGTGCACCGTCATAAACTACATTCCAAATTAGTATACAAGGCAATCAAAGAAAGAAGTGTCTAGACAATTCAGGTGGCACACCACACAGAACACATAACAATGCCACCAAGCAACAGAATTGTGGGTCAGCTGCAGGTTATTTTATTCCATTTCCAACAAGGGCAAAGTGCTTGTAGATTCATTAACATTTGATGACTTGTAAGAAAAGTCGGAGGAAAAACAAGTTTGCTCATGTCTCTAATGTCAAGAATCTCTGATTATCAGGTTCATCTGCATGCAGAGCAGCAGCTGCAACAGAAATGGTAATCACAGAGCTATCTGTATGCCCAGTGTCTGCACTTATCAAAATGCTGGACAGAACGACTTGCTCTCCTCTCTGCTTCCATCCTGGAGTGGAGAAGATAACCAATGGTGAGTGATTACATTTAAAAAATCTAAAACCTAGGGTCCAAAACCACAGTCATTCATCACATTTTATGGAGCCTTTAGGATCTGCCAAGGTTGTCCTCCATCCTGTCTTTGTTAATAGCAGCCAGTGGCAGGTGGCAGGGCAGGATAAATAATAATACAATAAGCTATGCATACTGTTGGGTTCTTACTGTACCTCTAAAAAGTGCTCTGCCTGATGTTCTCGGTCCAGTTTCCTCGAAGTGGTTGTAATCAGCCCTGAAAATGATAAAAGCAACTTAAAAACAGATCAAGCTTTCTATTGCAGCATGTAACTTATGCTGTTAAGCTGTCTCCCAAATGTCTGGTACTATATATATATATATATATATATATATAGCTTCATACAAGCTCTACAAAATTATAGCCTGCAGCTCTGGCAAAGGCATTCACATTTGGGACATGTTTCAGAGCAGTGTGCAGCTGAGGGTCACTCGGTTAGCCAACAAGCCACCAGGGCAATTTAAGCAGCAGATAAAAGGAAGTATTGAAGCAGATTATCCAGATAGCTAAATGGTTTCACAAAGTGTGAATGCAGTGAAGATTAGGAAATACAAACTTTTTGACTAATCGTTTTTGACAGGCCTATTTTTAGAGCTGTTTATTCCCCACTCTATAAATTACAAAACTGTCTTACAGTTACAAAAGCAGTAATTCTCCACCAAAAATAAACCATCCATATCCTGTTACATGCTTTTTATTTGTTTAAGGATATTACACTTGCTTGGTATCATGCAGCATATTTAGGCAAATAAGGTTTATTTAATTGTCTGGACAATTATTAGAGTTTTAACTAGAGTGTACCATTAAATTAAGTAGGTGATTGAAATTTTTAAAAGTCTGCCATTTGTTGCAGAGTGCAAATTACAATTGTGTTCAAAAATCTAAAAAAATTCCATAATAGTAAATATGTTTGAGTGAGAAATACAGTTTCCCCTAGAATGCTTTTATCCTTAAAAGATCCATTCATGTGATAATAAACATCTGTATCTTAGGTCAATTGACTGGACCCTGCAGCTTAAAGTGGCTTTAAGCTGCAGGGACAATATATTGGATGGATGAATATTTGTATGTTGAAAAATTCTACCATGAAAGTAGAAATGTTTGCAAATGTTTGCATTGTATCCTGGTCACAGTCTTAAACCAATAAAATGACACCATACCAGATGTCAACGTATTGTTTTGCCAATCTATATTTAATATAGAGAGCAAATTGTTTTATTGAGATGTTGGTGCAAAACATTTGTACTTTGTAAGTATCAGAAAGTCTTTGGCCATCAGGCTTAGTATTACTGTTCATTGCATGGGCCAAGCACAAACGAAACAAAAATTTATCACAATAAGCATGACAATGAAACAAACGACAGGGGGCAAAAAAAACCCAAGAACAGCATCTCTCATCTTCAGCAAGGAGAAAAATGTTAAGTTATGTAAATGTTTTCAAAAGAAAGATTTAAGAGAAGGGTACTATTATTCACTCAAAGATAAAAAGAACATTCTGAAAAAAAAAATAATAATAAATCAGCATCAGTGAAACACCACTGCTTCACTGTTAAGTCCAAGGTGCAATTCTTCCTTTATGGGCCTTTGTCAGTTAAACATATATGTAAACTCTAAATTTGCATATGGAAAAACGGGGACTCAGATTTGATTTATAAAAATAATCTTACTGCTTGTTTGTAAAGACCAATTTTATTCATGCTACTATAAGTTTAGACACCAGGAATAATGAAGTTAAGAAATCACACAGAGAACAAAGAGGCTAACTGGGGTCAAATCCACTGAATAACACCGTTTTATGTAACATCTGTGCTAAGTACAAGTTATGTTTCCTCAAAATCTGCTGGGACACAAATAAAAGGGCCTGAGATCATCAGACCCAAGATCCCATGGGACTTCCAGACAGGCAGACAGCTGTTGACCAACAAACCAAATGTCAGGGTGGAGAAGAATCAGACAGGTCTGTCTGGCTGTCTGTTGAAAATATATAATTTACACAAAACAAATTTCTAATTATTTTTTTAAAGATGTTTGTGCTGAATGATTAAAGTCTATGCTTCTTAATGATGATGGAATTTTTGTTTCTGTGTAATGAAGCATTAAAATGAAATGGGACTACATGGGGCATTTTAAACACTGTGCAATCAACACCCAGTGAATACTCTAAAATCAGCTTCAGATATACACTCACACATTTCTGTGCTTGCACATATCACAGTGTCACCTTGGGCTTGCTACGCAGGCTAACTTCAATTAAGTAAATTAGGAGTAAATCTAGAGCAGCGGTCACAAGCTATAGGCAAGGGGGGGACCAGAAGGGGGGGAGGGGCTTGTTCAGCAGAATACAGGGTGAGTTAACAACACTGATGAAAATCAATGATCTACAGCTCACAGCATATCTGAAGTTAAGCTACACTCTATTCTAATTAAACATATGAGGAAAAAAGTAGGGTGATGGTTCAATGAACAGCCTCATATTAATACACAGATTAAAGTTCAGAGCAGTCTTAAAACTATGGGTCGCTTGTGCTTTCTTGTATTTTCTATGAAGAGTTACATAAAAAAACAACAAAAAACATAGCACTAGAAAGAGGGTATTTTTTGGTATTGAGGGCTACAAAAACGGCATTGTGACTCTTTAAGAAGGAATGACTGCTTCCATTTTTAAATATGCTGAAACTCTGAAGCTAAAAGTCACTGCGCTCCATTTTTGGAAGAATTTTTACTGTTGCATCTTAATTATTCATCTTGAACTGAGTTATATATTTATCCTTGCTAACATAATGCATGAGATACATGTCCCATATCTAATAATGTGTATTTGTCCTCAAAAACCAGATTCATGCATAGTATGAATATATATGCGCTTCCCGCACATGACACCAGATCAAAATTAGATGCCTTTCAGTCAATTGTCTAATTGTGTGCTGGTTTACTTATTTAACACCAATCATATCCACTTGAGGCTGATACTAAAGGGCACACAGCCACCAGAACTCTATCATCGCACTCTCCAAGCATATATGCTTTTAGAAGCAATGCTCCATCTGACACTCTGTGTCAACACATATCTGTTGTTTTTTTTCACCCCAGAGGTATCGCCGTCAATCACAGGCAGAGCTCAGCAGACAGCACTGTAAACTGTCACAGCACATTTACACATTTTGTTCTCATTCAAAGCTCAGCTTCAATGCAATTTGGGAATTGTTGTGGTGTCTCAAGCTATCAAAATGACATTTTGTGAGCAGAAATGCATTACTTTGTTCCATCCAAGATTTACTCTTCAAAACAATTTGGAAGTTCAACAGACAGGTCAGGAGTTGGTTTCATAACATTATGAACATTCACTTCACGAAAGCAAATCAATCAGCGAGAGTTTGTTTATTAATCTCTCCAAGAAAGTTTCAGACTGTAAACAGGGAGAATTAATTCTCCCTGTTTACTACTTTTAAAATAACATAAATTATACATTTCAGATCACATGATTAAATTATATATTTACAGGCACTGTATTAACCTTAGTCATCTTGTTTTCCCCCCACTGCTTCACATGGAGATAATATCTGCAGGAGACCTGCCTCAACATAGACTGAATGGTCACATCAAGAGAAAGAAACCAATAATTCAAGGTCACATATGTTGAAAGGTTAAAATGTGCAACGTGGCTTTGAATCATCAAACTTTATGCTGTCTCGGGTTTTTCTTTAATTGAGAGGCATAGTATCTCCAACAGTAAGATGTTTTTTTTTGTTGTTGTTGTTTTTTTATCTACCTAATTCCAAACATTATTTTACAAAGTACAGAACAAGAAAAGCCTAAACACTGTCTGCATTTTAAGAAAGATTACTGTAAAAGCTAAAAATAGTTAGTGTTTATTTATATTCTTTTAGGTACTGCATTTTGAAACATAATATTTCATCACAGTATCATTCAAAGCGGTCTGCCAGGAAAAGTGACATAAAATGTAATCTACGTACTGAGTAACTGTTTTGTTTACAAGACTTTATTTCTTGCTAAAGAGTTTCAAAGCAATCCTTGTCCCAATCCCACAAATCACACTTGGTCCTCAAAACCCAAACTATCCTGGAGGAATGAGCTTAAAGCTGCATGCAATTATAGATCTATCTCAAAATGTACCGAAGAGAACAGTCTCATTCATCTTTTTGCATTTAATGGACCATTTAATGGACATAGAAGGCCGACAGCAAGAACTTGACTGGAATATTACTGGTGTTAATGTTATTGGTTTGTCAGAGAACCCCCACCATACATTTATCCATTTTTAGAATATGTTATTGCAGTTAATGTCTACATTAGGTGTTTTTTTTTTTTTTTTTGCTTTTTTTAACACGTTTGCTGGAAGATCTTAAAATTGTTTCTTTTGGTCTATTATATAAAAAAGTATGATTTGAGTTGACAAAGTACCTGTTTCCTGTTTCAAGATACGTCTTTGTTTAATCAGATGAGTAAATTGTGGTGGTCAAACATGGAGTGGCCAAAGCAGAAGTTTTAATGCATTGTAATCCAAGTCTGAGAATATTAAAATTATGTGAAAAAAAATTGTGTAGATCTAATATTTTACCATTCAAGAAGACATAAACTGAAGTTTGAAAATCCTTTATGCCCCTTACCCTGAAAAAAAATAAAATAAAATTCTATCTGCGTCATTTTCATTTGATTGAGGACCAAAACTATACTTTTCGTAAACTGCCATAAAAAAATCTTACAAGTTTTACAAAGGGACTTAGGGACATACTTTGGACACATTAAATTAGACCATATAATACTGTTATGTTTTTAATATTTGTTTTAGTACCGTCACACTATGGTATTTTTTCCTAAGGTTGTAGCATTACAAGAATCTCATACCAGAAAAGAGGGGGTAACTCATGCACACTGTCGAACTTGCAAACTTTCATTGATCACATTACAATGTTTGAATTACTCTCAAATTGGAAATGGTATGTCTGACCAATAGCACTCAACTGTCAGGTCATTATTTATTCAGTAGAAATGTTAAAATCAATACAGAAAAAACCCTAACCTCTTTATTATTTACATATAAATGAGCAAGAATCCCACAACATATTTTGCTAACAATGAAAAATAGTTTGAAACAAATGACTCTATTTCCATACCCTGAGGGGAGCTGGTATCTTCTTTTTACATGAAATATTGCTTGAGACTAATCTGAGCACTTTCTTAGAATGTTAATTAAAATGTATTAAAATACCATTAATATTATAAATATGTTTTTGTGAAGTAATGAATAACAGACAAGTTGAGAAAGTATTGAGTTGTTTGAAAGACACAGACAGCAGGGCTCAGATGGCTAAATGCTCCCCTGAGACACAACAGACAGCACAGATAAGTACTCAAGCTCAAAAACAATGTCATTTTCATATGGCAGTGTGTTGTTGTGAGATAATGCTTTTTGACTGTTTGCAGCTGAACCTCCCTTTCTAACACAATGATGTAACAATTAATCAATTGATTCAATTGTCACACTATGTCTCTTTCCCTCCCACACAAACACAGACACACATTATTCATAGATACAGCTGTTGGGTGAGCATTCTAATCTGCAGAATAACAAATTGATTCAATATGCTGTTGCACCTGCATTAACACTAATCGCATCAGAGGGATGCATCACAACAAACCCACTGACTCATTATTACAGCTACGCGATCTGTGAGAGAATGCCTTAGTGTTAGGTTCCAGGTTACATATTAATGAGAGAGTGAGGGGCAGAATATCTTTAATAGGATCAATATTAGCCTTTTCACCCCAGTTCAGTGTGCTTCACTACATAATGTCAATAATACAGCCATAATGCACAAAAGCATTTTCAAACAGTAGTAGAGAATGACAAATGGAGCCACCACCTTCGATTTAAAGATTTGACATGCATACACATACCATTAGGAACTTCCCTATTTTTAACATCAGCGCGACGATTGACATGCTGGATGTTGTGTATAGGACATTGGTTTTTGATCATTACATCGACACTTCCCTGAGTGCAAATTATGCTTGAGTTAAAAAGGCTTCATAAATGCCTTTGGTTGTTTGTTGAATCACTTAAAATGTAATCTAGGGCAGCAACAAAGACCTCACAAGACTGGGTGGGGGGTGAGGTACGGGATTTGAATAAAACATTACTATATAAAGCATCATTCTTTAATGTACATGTCAGTCATTGCTTAGAATCCACTGTGGCCTCCCTAAACTTCACATTTGACAGATTCATGTGACATATACATCATTCTCTGTTTCCTTAATATAGTTTGTGTTTTTCACAAATATTGTGACACTTCTGTGCAACTTGATTAGTAATTGAAAAGAACAAATGGTTTATTTCTTTATCATCTTAAACCAGAATTATAAAAGGTAGAGTAAAAACAATGTTTGACAGTGATTCAATCTTTTTCCCCAGAAGATTAAAAGTTGGAAAGGATGTTCAGGCACAGTGCTCTGACATGATATGTCATTTTAACAGGCTGCTGTGTAAATCATCTTTTGTGAGCCTGTTAAAATATGTATGAGAAATCTGAAATGTGCGGATGTCAGAGAAAATTTGCACAAATCATCTCAACAGTGAGGTCACACAAAAACTTTGAAAAGCAGTCAAGAAACCAAAGTTTCAACCATGTTTCTGAACTTTGCTGATTCCTCTCACAAGACTTTACAAAATCAGAACTGAACAAAGCCTACTGCAGCACCATATAAAATATAAAACCACCTGTTGTTACATTGTTTTGGGGCAATATCTATTGGGCATAAAGATTATAGATTTAAGAAAATACAAAAAGAAGTGTGGAAGTGGAAGAGAATCGGGCTATTGTGGCACATTTCTTATTTTATCTGAAGGCTGTAGCAGCCTGAGGCTAGATAAGAAGGCATGATAGATCCGAATGAACCTTAAATCTATTGTCCCACTGCTTCCTATTTTGTCATTTATCTAGGTATATTAATACACCTACATAAATGATTATTCGGTCTAAATTAATATAATAGTGCAGTCCTAGAAGAAATCATCAAGTTACTCTGCAAATAGTAATGTAGAGTAATGTAGCATGTCTGAGAACCTTACCTGTTTTGGGGTTAATAGAGAAGAAATTTTGTGGGTTCCCTGCAGAGATGCGGTAACTCAGACGGGTGGGTGCTGCTGTAAGGTCAGGGTCCTGTGCTTGAATACGAATGACTGACACATCCTTTGGAGAGTTCTCCTTGATGACTGGATGGTAGATAGGATCGGATGTGAGTGGAGCATTGTCATTGACGTCTTCAACCTGGTGGAGAAACAATAGCAAACCATTATACTAGGAGAAACAGGCAGAAGAAAAAGACCAAGTTTGGTTATTGAACTTGTATAAGCAGCATTACTTGGATTCCATCCACTATATCTTAGTTGTAAATTCATGTGTTGGGAACTGAACTGACAATGCTGGTAAAACATGACCCTCTGAATCAGCATGAACGCATGAAGAAAATGTATTTGCAGATTTTAGGAGTGCTTACTAATCAAAGGACCCCAGGTCTGTGTTGATATGTCATTAATCACAACATGGAAATTTATTTACCAGAAAATGTCATAGATGTCACACTTTAAAAGCACAGTGAATTGATTTGCCTCCTAACAGCATAGATCTGTAATATTTATGGGAAACAGTGAGTTGATTGAGCATTTGCTGAGAGGCACAGAGAGCAAAGACAGTTCAGCCACTGAATGAGAAGCACCTGCTCCTGACTCATTTCTCAATTTTTGTCTGAGATAAAAAGGCCACGAGTAAAGCACCTAATCAGATCACTACACTCAAATACCCCAAGGTGAGAAAGGGCTGCCGATTAAATATGCTTCTAACTTATGTGAGAGGGTTCTTCTAACAGTGATGAATTCCACTTCTGAGACGACAGATTGTTTTGTAGGTGAAGCAAATGCAAACAATGGTCCAGTGATTCATTCAGAAGAGATATTGCCTCGCACAATACTTTAAATAGTAACACATGGAGAGTTTTTGCTATGTTACTCTCACTTCAGCTATAGCACTCCCCAACAATATTCCACAAACAGTATAACCCCCAGCTATATGTTGACAAGCTGTGAATAACAATCACTGACATACAAAGCCCCTGACCTTTCAACAGACCACTAAAACCTTTCTAGCAATGAACACTAAGATAGTTGCTTAATACCACATACAATCAAAAGCTCTAAGTCAACTATTGGATTTTCTGTAGCAATTACCACACGTACACATCTGGTGAGAAACAAAAGACTAATGTGTGGAAAGTACCTTATGCCCTCTACCATGCATGATGTGATTCTGTGGGCCTGTTTATTGATAGCCCTGAGAAGCTAGCTTAAAATATTAAACTATTTACAATACTAGGATATTTAAAAAGTTATGTTCTTGCCAAGAAAATACCAAAATTTCCTTTAAAATCTCAATTTGTCTGTTACTCTTGAACTTTGTGTAATCATCTCATGATGTTAATGAATGGTCACACCTCTACATCTGATATTTCGTATGCAAAGAAAATCTCAGCAAATTATCATTACCTGAATGAAGACTTCAACTGAAGCTGACATGGGCGTAACCCCTCTGTCTGTGGCATACACAGTGAGCCAGTAGGAGTTTTTGGTCTCACAATCCAAGTTACCAGCAGTATAAATCACCCCTGTTGAGGAAAACAGAAACATTAATGCAGCCGTGACTTGGTTAGACAATGCCAATATATGTCTTTTAGGTGGGTGGAATGTAGATTGGGTATTATCAAAGGGATACATCCTTAAAAGGTCTCGTGGGAAAAGTCTTTGAATACTAAGTTTCCTGTTGCAAAGAGACAAATTTAAACTTAACTCTGTGTCCTGGCTTCAGTGACATTCACAGGCATTAGTAGCGCCTCTGTAGTCACCTTCAATGCTTCAGCCTCTCTACCGCTAATCACAGCTGACCAAACTGCTCCCACTGCTATTTGCTCAGTGCTAAACGTACTCTGAACTGCCCTGCACCAAACAAAAAACACCCAGACACTCATACACCCTGACTGAGGCGTGTTTAGTGGCCTTAAGGAAGATGAGTGGCTGACAGCTTTGGTGACCTCTTCAGGGACACAAAGAACACACACGCACACACACACACACACACACACACACACACACACACACACACACACACACACACACACACCCACACACACACACACACACACGCACACACACACCCACACACACGCACACACACGCACACACACACGCACACGCACACACACACACACACAAACAAGATGACAAATAGAAGCCTCTTTTATTACTTTCTATAAATATGTCATACTGCATTGTCTAAACTTTTAGGAATGACACAAAAACACTCATACCTTCATGACCTAACAAAATCCCTTTTTTTAATTTTATATGTCATGCCAGCACAGCAGAGCAAGATTTTAAATCCCAGTTTATTGAAATACATTTGAATAAACAATGTAGAAGAAGCAACTTCTGGTTGTATGGGAAAGAGTTCCCTCTAAAACCCAAGAGTACCTATTACTAGCATAACTCTGTTTTCAGTCTCAGATGTTACATTGTTCACCATTAAAAACTTTGATCACACATTCCAAAAACTGTTGCTTGCTTGCAAATTTGCATTGTTCTGCCTGAAAACTTAAATTTAATACCTCTTAGACTAAAGTGCTCTCCTCTGGATTGCATCACACTACTCACATTCAATCCTGCTCAAGCTGGATTTATTTATTTTTTTCTCTATTGCAAAACTTATGATTTTGCCCAAAAACTGATTCATGCAATAGTACAACAGCATGTGGGACTGGCATCACTGCAAATGGAATAAAGTAAATTCCGCATTACAAACTACAGACCGCTGATAAGAAATACAATCCAATTATTGAAGTTCATATGAGACAAAACAGTGCAGGTGAGGAAAGTTGAGAGTTTCACACAGTTTCTTCCAAGATGTTTGAGGAAACCTTTAATCTAGTGTATTTTTGCTTTGCATTATTCCTTCCAAAACACATAGCATGCATTTTTCAAATATGAACAGGATTTCTTATTTTTGATCTCTGCTGTTTCGCTGATCTTTCTCTAAACTTTGCAAATGGGCTTTAAAAATTATGCTTGTTTATAAATATGCCTTGCTCTCTCTCCAAACTGTTTCCATGCTCAAATTTATCATCTCTCACATAAATATTCTGATTGTGTTATACTTTTCCATGTAAAACACCATGCTCAGTTTGTTCTAATCTGTTCATGGATTATTTTTACTTTTCAACGAAATCCAATAGCTCTTCCTCATAGCAAATAAAATTACACTGTGTTACAGTGCCTTCTTTGCAGTTTGGTAACATTATCTACAAAGTTTATTCAAGATGAAGCTAAGTGAATTCAACAATTAGAACCACAGAATGTTGTATGAAGTTGATATACAAAAAGTAAAACCTTCCTGCCCATAGCCATTACAGAGAAAGAAAAAGGTACAAACATTTGTCAAAAAAAGTACATAAAAATGCAATGACAGAGTATTTTTATGGTCTTGCTGGTTCAAATGATTCCTTTCATTAATGATGAAATATTTCTGAAATATCCAGGCCAAATTACATATACAATTAAGCAGTGTTACTCATTACTGAAATAGATTACATATTTTCTGTAAGTTAAGCATATTGGTAAAGTGCTTTATCAGTAAACCCTCATTTAATTTCATAAAACATGTCAAAAAGATGTTTTTCAAAGTATGATATATCTGTTTATGAACCAAGCTGATTTAAAGTGAATCAGCTACAGAATATTTGCCAAATGCTGGAAATGTGGATGTTAGAATTGCATCACACTACATATCCACAACTGCCTAACAAATTGGCACTAAAGTATAAAACTTGATAAATTTACAGTCTTTGACTACTGCTCAGAAATAAGAAGTAATCATTGATGCTGGGTTTTATATGGTTATCAAAACCCAAATATTGCTACAAGAGCTGTTGCTTATTAGAGTCTCTTCGCAAAGAGAAATTTAATTAGAGTTATTAGAATATATTAAAATAAATAGCTACTGATTAGTATTTGAAAACATTATGTGACCTTGCAATGGTGAAAGTGCCTTGATGTACCAAATTAATCTTTCATATTTAAACCATGTTGCAGCAAAGTGTTCCAAACTAACTTGGAAGTACTTTTTGATCTCAACGACCAGGTTTATTTTCACTTGCTTGAAGAATTAATTTTCTATGAACATTAATTCTTGAATGTCCATAGAACTTGAACTCTGTATTAGACTATGTTTCAAATATTAATTTACAAATTGCTTAATACAGACATACATACCATCTGCCCCGCAAGGTTGGCCATTATTTGCTTATTTGGGACACCCAAATAATGGTGATTGGAACAACGGTTCCCACACAATGCTGACATTATTGAGACTTCACTAAATTACAGCTGTGCAAGGGATTTCCACCATATCTGCATGCATCCCTTGAAAAATGAAGGAATAATTAGTTGGCCAAAGGAGGAAATAAAAGCCACAGATCTTAAGACTCGAAAACTACTGACAATGCATGGAGGGTTCCAGCACCCGGAGACTGTACACGAGCCGCAAGGAAGGAGGCAGAGGACTAGTGAGTGTGAGAACCACTGTCCAGGACGAAACAACTAAGATCCATAAATACATCAGGGACAAAGCCTCAACAGACAATGTGCTCAGTGAATGTCTCAGACAACAGGGAACGGAGGTTGAGGTGCCAGAGATACCATCATGGGAGGAGAAGCCCCTACATGGGATGTACCACCAGCAAATAACCCAAGTGGCTGATATCAGTAAATCCTACCAATGGCTGGAAAAAGCTGGACTCAAGGACAGCACAGATCAACAAGAGATTTGAATAAGCCAACTTAAGAGTAAATTATCTCTGATTGTGATCTGCAGCCTACAAAATCCCAAAATATTTGTTTAATCAACCTACAGTTTGATTTACATTTCTGAGTTAAAAACAAAACAAAAAAAGATCTTGCAATTCCTTAGTTTTATGAAGGATTCAAACTTACAAACACTATGAAAAAAAAAATGATATAGAACTGGCCAAAATTGGAATCAGCAGGTAAGCCCTCAAACAAAACTAGTAGTCATCATCAGCCAAGAAAAGACTCATCAGTGCATCTCTAATATTTACCCTGAACTCCTACAATCTTCAATAAAATGTATATAAAACATAATGTATATTATTTATTATATGTCTCTTCTCTAACTTTGCTAGTCAGCTATAAACTCCCCATGTACTTTCACACAAATCAAGTGTTAATAACGGGAAACCATCAATTAAATTCGGACTAAGCAGCCAACCCAGGACACATGCAATGCATCACAAAAGTGTTTGCTGAGACACATCCTTGCCCTATCGTCCTTGACCATGTCCTTTTCAAAACACATCTCATCGCTGTCAAATAGTCCCGACAGAGAGACAAGGAAAACAGAGGAGCTTTCAAAAGCTCTTTGAACTTTAAAACCGACTGCCACCATTCACCAGATTCAATATGAATCGGACTTGACAGCCTCCATTCTCACCATAAATAACACACTTGAAAGAGTGGACAAAAAAAAAATTGGAGGGTCACGCCACATACTCTAATCCAGAAGTTGTGCAGCCCACCAAGGTTTTACATCCATCCATCAGTTTCGTTTACATCCCCATGCATGTGAAACATGCTAGTGACCTAACTATCAAACTAATGCTAGCAAATGATCAATGCCAAGACTGATTAAAAAATATTGTCATCATTTTTCTCTTGAGAAACTGCTTTGCATGCAACATGAAAGTACAGCCCATTAATTTTTAATAAATGTGAAATGTATACTTCTTAAATGTGTCTCCATGTGACTTAACAAGTACTTAATCTTGACTGTGACAAATATGGAGCTTGCAAAGTGCTCTAATAGAGGAGTTCCTGAAAAATGTCCAATGAAAAATTGGGAAGCTTTAGTCTTCCTGCCCAATGACAGGAATACAAAGTTTTGTTTAAAGTTCAGCCAGCTTTGGATATAAGCCAGAAAGGGTCCTACATTTCTTTTGATAAAGTGACCATATTTTTTTCATCAGTGCCTTAATGGACATGGAAGAAACATCTAAATATCAAATAGCGGAATAGAAGGCCTTTATCAGTGGAAAATACTCCAGACAACAAAGGCGTCATGCCCTACATAATGCATCAAAGAGCCTGTTTTGAAACTAAGAGCAGGGCTGATATAAGATACATATTAAAAGAACCTAAACATAAGACCTCATTCCTTCTAATTTTCTCTCTTTTTCATTTATTTTTTTATATCTCTCTCTGTCTAAATCCCCTTTTCTTCATATACTTAGTTTGGCAGTGAGAGCCAGATTCACTTGCAGCCAGATCAGGGACTCATACAGCAGCAAAAAGCACCAGAGAGGGACAGACCGAAGTGCTGTCCACAGCTGACTTCTTCAGCACAATGAGAGAAATCAAATTATACATCTCCTTGTTCAACCTTTTCATTTGACACAAAATGGCTTTGGTATTTTTTATGCTTATTATATTAGGAGAGAAAAATAACAAATAACTCCAAGATTAGAAAAAAAACATAAAAGAACCTGGAAGGAAGAAAGCTGTATTTTCTTCTGACACTTTTTATGCACTCCAGACTCCCCCCTGCATCCTCTTCCTTCCTCTCTTCATTTTCACTTCCACTCCTCTCTCCCTTTAGTTTCTGCTCTAACAAGCAGTTTGATTTCCCCTGGAAAATCTGCACTCAATAAACGTTCTCACTGTCTGTGATGTTCCTCACTGAGGTTTTAACACCAAAGTAAATGATGACTCCAAGAAGGGCTTCTTCATGTATTAATGTATTCTAACATAGTTTCTTTGTGAACTAGACAGTACACATATGATTCTGCATATGTAAATATAGTTGGAAAAAGGACTTGCTTTTGCATTTTTCATGATGTGTTGCTTTTTGAGACTTATTTGCCTACTTTGTCCTGGCAGACAAGTTATGCTGAAGTACATTTTGGATTTAACGTGCAGTGAACCAACCTTCGTGTGAATTTATTACAGTTAATTCATGATTTGACAAAGGAAGTACTCATACTTGCATTGGGTTTTAGTGTGGTTTGCGTTCCTATTTTTCTTAATAGGTAGAGTGACAATCTGAAAAAAACTGCATGTCGTTTTTAGAAAAGTTAACTGAGAGTCACTCTCTCTCTCCATGTGTTTCACTCTCAACTACAGTCAATAATAATTAGTCCCGTTAAATGTCAATACAAGCTTCCAGTGTAGTTTATGTACAGTAGTGCAACATGAGGTAAGAGGAAAAGGGCACAAGAGAAAACTCTATTTGTGCCACTTAATGCATGCAAAAGTTCAGAGCTGAAATGTTAATAGATACTTATTTTTTTCCTCACTGAACTGCCACTGCTTATGGGGAACTTTTGGTCCGCGTATGCGGCTTTATAAACCATAAGCTAATTAATTACATTAATCAGTTCTATGATGTCTGCCAATACGAACTGTCAAATACTTTGAGACATACAAGTCCTGTACAGGTGCCATAAAAATGTTTAAAGAAAAGAGTAATATTTTTTTTGTTTCGATAAAGAAAGAGCCTTTAAAGCATGCTAAACCGGATGCCATAAATTAAAAATACCAAGCACTGAATAAGTCACATCTAATACATAACATTTCTGTTTTAGGTTTTTCTCTTGCACATTTCAGAGGAGCATGTTAGCAAGCAGAGGACTGACAGACAGCTTTAAATAATGAAGTTCAAATACTTATTATTCCCACTTTAGCAAGTTTTTTTTTTTTTTTACAGCATTGGTTGTGACAACAGCAAGATTAAAAACTAGCAAATGTATAAAAAGTCTCATTCATTCCCTGAGCACTCCACAGTTAAATAGAACTGAACGAACCCAGTTTAAATGTTGCACCAGCATGGAGAGAGATACAGAAAAATAGGTCTAAAACCTCCAGTGACATACAGTAGATGCTGTACTGGCAAGATCCTGCAACGATTCTTCATGGAAAAATTATTGCAGTATCTTGCACCTACTGTATTTCAAGTACCTTCTCATTCTGGGTCAAGCCTCTTAAATAAGTCACTTATTTCTCAATACTTAGAAGTGGTGGCTTGCTGCGCAGGACACCCTTGATCACTGTTATCTGCACAGCACTAGATCAGTTATATGGTGCTGCCTGAGGCCCAGCGACTGTCGCTTCCATTCTGCCGTCATTACAGTAATGATCTCCCAGTACACAGCTCCTGTGTGAGGTCACAGCTATACACTCATTATGGCTGTTCAACACACTGTCCTAACTTTCTATTCCTAATATATATATATATATATATATATATATATATATATATATATATATATATATATATATATATATATTATATATATATATATATAAATCACATTTGTATGATTCTCATCATTACAGGCTTATAACCTGGTAAAATTCTCCATTTGCAATTCATTTAGTTATCTGTATTCTAAGCATTGTGCTGCACATTATTGGATTTCCACTTCACATAAATAGGCTTCAAAATTGATCCAGTGTCACACCTGTGTCTTCGTCGATGGTAAAAGTGCCCAGTCCGCTGCCTCCACGGACAGAATATCTCAAGACGCCATCTCGTCCCCTGTCATCATCTTTAGCAATGACTGTCAGGACACTTGTTCCTGTGCGAGAGTTCTCCTTTACTGAACCTTTCACAGCAAAGTCAAGGAAGTAGGGGGCATACAAATTTTCATTGACGTCCGCCACCTGAAGAAAAGTGATAGTTGATTTTAATTTGGATGTTAAGAAAGTGTGTGGATTTATGTTGTTTTTTGCTATCAGTGACATAAGCCAATTATGTGACTCTTTTACGCACCTCAATCTCCACAAATGTGACACTCCGAAGGCTTGAGATTCCTCTGTCTTCTGCCACAACAGTTAAGTTAAAGAACTGTTTTGTCTCAAAGTCTAGCTCCTTGTTTACCCTCAGTATGCCGGTCACAGCACTGATCTGCACAGAGAATTTCATTGGGTACAGTCATTTTCCTCATCAACTGCCTCTTAAATATTAGAAAAATCTTACACAAGACTATACTTCTGCATGCCTAATAGGGATTTACAGTATGCGTTCTATATTTTTTTTATTTTGTGCATAAAATAATATTTTTATTTTGTGTTTTCTGAGACTGAAAGAAATATGAACCAATTGCAAAATGTGGTGAAATTTCAAGACATTTTTTCTGGGCTACGGAAATTGTTATTAAAATAGCTCTTGATTTTGGGATCACATTGTGGGGCTTTTTAAAAAATATATATATTTCTCAGATTCTCAAATGGAAATAATTTAATTATCATTGATAGATTTCCACTAATTACATGGGAAACTTTGAAATTTTGCATGTAAATAATGACGTTCTGCTGCATAAAACATTATAGATTATGCATACTCAGACAAGACCTACCTCAAAAGTCCCATTGAAATCACTGATTAAGGAATATCGGACTTGTCCACCAGGTCCAACATCTGGGTCCTGAGCCTGCACCCAAGTGATCACAGTTCCAGGGGGCAGATCCTCTGGTACCCGGGTATTGTAGCTGCTGGGGATGAAAGCTGGAGAGCAGTCATTGACGTCCTCCACTATTATGCTTAGAGTAGTTACTGATGACCTCCGAGGCCTCTTTCGGCCTTGTCTCTAACTTCAACCTTCAATGTGAATACAGGATGTGCTTCTCTGTCCAGTTGGCTTGCAACAAATACACTTCCGGTTTCACTGTCAATACCAAACTGAGGGACGCTGGTGAGCATTCTAAAGGAGAACTGTCCATTCTGGCCTATGTCCCTGTCAAAAGCAGTAATTGCAATTACTTCCATGCCAAGGTCTGCGTTTTCTGAAACAATGGCAGAGTAACTGTCTTGATAAAATTGAGGATTATTGTCATTTGCATCCTCAATAATCACTGTAAGCAGTCTCCAGTTGGACATCTGAGGAATTCCCTGATCATAGATGGTGATATTCAGAAAATAGCGATCCTGTCGCTCACGATCCAGTGGTTGTAAAACAGTTATCAGGCCACTCTCCATGTTGACATTGAAGCTGTTCTCTTTGTTACCATCATAAATCGAAAAAAGAACACGACCGTTAAAACCAATGTCAGCGTCTCGTGCCCGCACCTGAAAAACACTGGAGCCAGGACTCAGATCCTCTTGGACAAGAATGCTTGTAGGCAGCGCTTCAAACTGTGGAGCTTGTTTGTTTGTAGAGAAAAGGTCTATGTATCTTTCATCAGATCTTGGTTTAGCCATTGCAGATGCCTTGGAGACCATTTTCTCTGCAAGAAACTGAGCTACCCTGGTCTCTTTGCAGGTGAACCCACTAGGTGGCATCCTGCCTCTCACCACTGATATATTAACGAATGTCGGATCAGAGGACATCTCACCATCTGTTGCAGCCACTTTCAAGTTAAATATAGAATTTTTTAAACTGTCTGATGCAAACGATCTTTTCAGTGTCAAAGCCCCTGAGTTAGGATTTAATTCAAAATTGTCTAACTCGTTCCCAGACAGTATCTTGTACCTCACCATTCCAACTTCGTCTATATCTATGGCTGACAAAGTAACAATGGTCTGGTTCACTGGAAAATCACGGCTTATCATGCCTCTGCAAGATACCTTCTCAAAAGCTGGCTTATTATCATTAACATTTACCACCCGAATGGTAACATTAACCTCTGTTTCTCTTCTGTAGGGCGAACCCCAGTCAGAAGCTCGCACTGCAAAAATATAAATATCCTCTGAGGACTCGAAGTCCAGATCTCTTGTGATTGTAAGCTCCCCCGTGTCCTGGTCTATACTAAATGGAATAGACTCCTCACCATTGATTGTGTGAGTTACATATCCATTTTCTCCTTTATCACTGTCCACAGCAGACACCACAAGAACAACAGTCCCAATAGGTAAGCTCTCATTAATTGCAATATCATAGGATGGCTTGCTGAACATTGGAGAGTTATCATTTGCATCTTCTATGGTAATTTGAACTCTTGCTTGCTGTTGACTGACATAATCAACTACCTCCATCTCCATGAAATCCTGGGATATCTTTGTCAGCTGCCTTATGGTCATAATAATCCCAGTCAAAGGGTTTATATCAAAGTACATTGGATCTGAGAGGCTCCTGAAACTGTAATTGACACTCAGAGGAGCTGGGGATATTTTCACCACCTCCACAATAGTGCCTGGGGGAGCAATTTCACTCACCTTGACTACATAAACATCTTTTTCAAAGTTTGCCAATACTGGGTCTTGCTTTGTAACCACTAACTGAACAACTTGGGTATTGGAAAATTTTGGAGGTATACCTCTGTCTTTGGCCTGGAAAGTTAAGTTGCAGCCATAGGGATATGTTTCCCAGTTGATCAACTCTGAGGATTTAACCCTATATTTGTTTCCAAAAGCTAATCTCTCAATGACAAACTGTTCAAAAGGGTCTCCCTCAATAATGGAAACCCACTCTATGTCCCCGGATAACCCCTCATCTTTATCCTCCACAGTCAGTACGGCATAGATGAGGTCCTTGTCTGTCAAAGACGGAGTAACTGCTACTGCACTGAGAACAGGAGCAAATTCATTAACCCTATCCACAGTTAAGACTAACCGAGCAGTGCTGCTGACACCATTATTTCCGTAGAGTTTCATTCCTCTGTCAACCACCTGCACCTCCAGTTCAAATTTTTCTCTTTTATCTATCCTGGGTCGACCTGTGAGGGTTATGACCCCACTGGTTGGATGAACGGCAAAGAGCTCTACTCTGTTCTTGAAGAAGTAGTAGAACTCCCCATTGGAACCAATGTCTGCATCTGTGGCTGTTACCCGTCCAATGCTGGTGCCCAGGGGTGCACTTTCAGAAACAACAAATGAATAGAAGGTTGGAGAAAAGAGTGGTCGGAGGTCATTTGTGTCCAAGACCTTGATAAATATAGTGACCAAGGCCTCCAGACCAATATGGGCAGATGCCTTGACTGTCAGAGTGTAATTGTCCTGTACCTCCCGATTCAGCATGGCACCGTTTCCTCCTTTAGTGCTTATACGTAAAAAACAAAAATCTCCCATTACAAACTCCTCAGCTTGAAAGATGCCATCGGTGTCTCCAGACTCAATTGAATATTTCAAGTCTAAAGGCCAGGATGGCACAAGAGTGATGCCCATTTTCACCTCACTTCTGATATAGGTTCTTACTGCTGAGTTCTCAAAGATTGAAGCATTATAGGATGGCTGGGAGAAGAGCAACAAGCCTTGTCCTGCTCTAGGTGTGGATAAAAACTGGGCTTGGATGTTGGGTAAACAGAGGAATATGCATAAAACAAAACAAAGGAAAAGAAAAAAAGTGGCTAGAGGAAGCATATTTCCCCACAGATTAAGCTTCATCAATATTCCATCACTGAGACATCCTGTTAAAGAAAAAAAAAAAGACAAAGAACAGACCTGAATTTAGTTGATAAATGTTTAAGATATGTCTACGCAAAAGATTTGAAAAATCACTATAGGATAAAAACTTACAATGACATTTCAAGAGTACAGATTTTTCCTGTGTTGATGACAGCGCAGTTGGCCGTACAACAGTGGCTTTCATTTTGACACCGACTTCTGAAAATGATAAAATGAGATCTCTTCAGGCAACAAATATAAAACCCAGTTTAAGTTATGGTTTTGTTTCTGGAATGAAGATACCAGGGTATTAAAATAATATGTTTAATCATGCTCATTTTTATTGTTGTCAAATTAAGTATTTTTACTGAGATGCTAGAAGAACTGCCAAACACTAGAGTTTTTGTTTGGCTGTTTGAGGGGTAGTGCAGCACTGCCCCTCCCCTACATGTTGCTGTGTCAGCTGAGAAGGCTGCAATACATTTATTACTTGTGACTACTATGTCATTGTTTCTGAAACAGTTAACATTTCCCATAGTATCATGCTTAAAATTCCTATAATGTCATGCCAAAAAGTTTTTTGGGTTTTTTTTTGTTTGTTTTTCTAGCTGTCTAAAGAGGTAATGCAAACCTGTCTGCACCCCACCTGTTGCTGCACAGGTCAAACTGGTGGAGAAAAGGCTGATACACTTCTACTTCACTTTATAGAAAGTCATGGTCAGCTGAAAATATTTTCACCTTGGGAAAACATGGACACTACATTGCTGGGAAGAAAGTATTTGTCCAATTTCTTCTTTTTTTGCTTTCTCATCACATGTAAATATTTCAGATCGTCAAACTAATTTTAACCTCAGTCATAATTAGACAACCAAAACATTTTCAGTATTTTAAACTCAAATTTTCTTTTTAAAGGTAAAAAAAAATTTAATTCAATTCAACCAGTGGAAAAGCATTTTTTTCACCTGTTTGTAATAATTGGCAATGACTCTCTTTTATCTCTGTGGTGGCATTTTGCTCCACTCTTTTTTGCCAAATTGTTTAAATTCTGCCACAATTTAAACAATTTGGCAAAAAAGAAATTTTAAGAATGAACAGCTTGTTTCAGGTCATGTCACAGGATCGTAATCAAATTTCAATTTTGATTAGGAAACTCCAAAATGTTCCTTTTGTGTTTTTAAGCATTCAGAGTTGCTGCTGTGTTTTGGGTCATTGTCCTCCTTCACAATTTATGTCTGTGTTGGGGGGCTGTTCCATCAATTACAGAAAATCGTCCATGTCCAAAAAATCAATAGCAACCCATATTACCAACACAATTGAAGGGATTTCTTAATTTTGTCGGTTTAGACAGTAACAACTGCAGGGTGTGGCCAATGAAATTGAATCACAGATGTGGAAGTTACTCCATGATCGAAATGGATTTATAATGTGTGAATCTGTTGATTTGTCAGGTTGGTTTGTATACAATTTTTATCCCTAATAAATTGGTTTCTTTAAAACTTTCTTTTTGCATTTACATGTTAAGACCTGTCTATTTTAACATTTTATTGAAAATCTGGAACTTAAGTGTGAAAAAAAAGAAATCTAAAAAAAGGAACACTTTATTTTTGTTTTACTATGAGTAGTTTTATATGATTTATTGATGTTTAAAATGATTTAATAAAAACTGTGATACCATGAAAGAATTATCATGCCCTGAGAATCACTGACCCAGGCTCACCCTCCTTGTTAACAGAAAATAAAGCTTTATGGGGAAAAAAAGCTTTACTTTTTGCCAAAAAGCAAAAAACAAAGCTTAAAATTTATTTTAGTCCAAGTAATTAGTTTAAGATGAAACAGTACTACAAAGAAACGTTTTTCAAAAGTCACCCTATTTGGACATTTAATTGTTGTAACAGATTCATTTTTGACAGATTCATTCATATCACTTCATCCCAAAACCAAGAAAAATAATTAGATATGTTTTGATTGCATTTAATGGATATTTTAACATGTGTTTTAAAATACTGCTGAGATTCCATACATTTTTTAGTTTATTATTAAAGAGAGAAAAGAGCAATTACACATGACTTAGACTATTTGTGTTGCACTGACATGACATCAATTCCAAAACCAGCTAAGACCTAGTCATAATTTAACCACAGAAACCAGCCACTGAGAGTCGGTCCCAGCAGATGTTGGGGGGGGACACTTGTCTCCAATTCCGATGCGGCTTCAGCAAAGCTCGCTTTTGTGCAAAAATCCATGAGTTTATGGCAGTTTCAAGCGACAGCATGCCGCTCCAGTTGCGATACTCTGTGTAGATGTGATCACAAATTGCAAAGTGTCCTACCTTTTGACGAAACAGATGCGGTCAGTGGAAGTAAATCAGTTTCCATGCTCCTTGACTGTTAAAATTAGAAAAAGAGTAATAAAGCAATGCAAAACGCGCAAAAACAGACGAGCGCGACAACAGAACAAAAATCATTTGCAACCAATTTTTCCAACAGTAGGCTGACTACTAGAATGCAGACGTCCTCATGAAACTAAACAAATATTGCCCTAGTTGCATGCACCTGGTTGATGGGCGCCGGGGTGCAGAGGGCTGTGTGCAACGGTAAATTGACCTTATAGCTGTCATAGATCGTTTGCTGCAAGGTTAGAGTCCGTGGCCACCGTTGTGCCACGGAGCTGTATCGCAAGTTTCAAAGCGGCCAGCATCAGTTGACGCTGATGTGGGACCACGCTCTCCGGATGGAGCTAGGTGGAGGGCGGTCTCCGAGTTTTGCCGAGTATAGCCGACAACAGCCGGAAGTGAGAGTAGGGAAACGGCTCACAGGCAGCTAAGCGGTAGCAGCGGCAACAGTGGCACAGCTTTCTGCATCTTTCACACAAACTCCCACGTTAGAAGTCTTGGTCACCGTTTAAAACTTGCTGCCAACATCACCATGTCTGTCTTGTGTTATAATAAGGGATGCGGACAGCGGTTTGATCCAGAGAACAACCAAGATGGTGAGTCGTGCTTTCAGTAAGGTAGCAGTGTCACGGAGGTTGAGAGAATATTAGCAAGCTAACACTCTGATCATCTAGAAATTTCTACAGCGAGCAGGCCTATTGGGCCCCTGTAAGCTAACTTCATGTTAAGTGTTGGTACTTCTTTCATTACAATTACACCTACAAACTACCTTTCCCCGGAACAAGCTTTGTGTTGTTTAATGCTAGAATGAGCCTTGATGCTAGTTAGGTTTATAAGCAAGTCAACATGGTACTTAACTGGAGCAACGTGGGTCATGCAGAGCTGAAAGTTTCATGAACCCGTAAGCCTACACTTTTATTACACGCGAGGCATCGCTTGTATATTTCATCAAAACCACAACAACAGTGGTGTGTTACCATTGTTGTCTCTCATTGGTGGGTTTAAAAGTAAAGAGGCTCTTCTGACCTATCGAGAAACAGCTTTTTTCAGTTGAAATCAGACAACCTACCTATCTGCCTTTGATCAGCTCTCTTTTGAGGGATTCATAAAGCAAACTAATCAAATTTCAGAAGTCCCACTAATTTGGTCCAGAAACTATAAAAACACGCTTGTTTGTTTGTTTGTTTGTTTTTAATGAAAAGTGAAAAGTCAAACATAAAGATTAGACCCTTATTTTCATAAAAACCTGTAATCCCTTAAATTGTCTGTTGGATTAAATTCTTATACCTTTAACAAGAATCCTGTAGCATTTTTTAATCATTCATGGTTAATGTGTATTACATTTCATTGACTTAAATCTCAGTTGACAATGATATAAACAAAATCCACGTAAAACAACAAAATGCAGCCAGAAAACCTACTTCCAAGTACAGAATACAATGGAAGTCTGCAATGTGTTTGTCTGGTGTGCCATTAACTAGCCTAAATTTGTTTCATCCTGCTAAAACTGAATTAGTTCATGTTAATAGTTCAGAAAACATGGTGGACTAAATTTACTCCTAATATGAGCTAGTTCACATTTATTTGTCAATAGTTTTATTAAATAAATTATTTAATAATGTATAAACCATAACACAGTGTGTCAATTTGCATACTGATTATGTAACTAACTGCCTGGTATTTGCAACCTACCCTTTGTCAATTTTTTACATCTGTTTAATTTTGGTAAAGGTTTCATCAAGCATATACGGTATTTCTTTCTAAAAATCAAAACAAGTGAAAGAGTTTGATTGACTTTTCTAATGACTTTTTTTTTTTTTACTGTAGCTATGAGGTTGGTGTTCCTCTTTGATAACAATCCTATTTATGTTTAAAACACATCAGCTAACCAAAATCTTGGATTATATAAATTATAGTAAAGATTTTCAGCTTCTGTTCATCTGTAATTAACTCTTCAGTAGTAAAACCTTAGAAAATGACAGAATGTGTTTACAATTATGCTGGTATTTTATTCCCTTGCTTACATAATCACAATAGCACTGTAGTCACCAAGTATTTACCTTCAAGAATAAATGTTACAACTATTTTCTACACAATGAAATAAAGGTTTATCAGTTTACAACTTTCATTTACTCAGAGTAGAGTCCCATTTAATGACTTTAGTACCTAAAGTACCTCATGTTAAAAGTTGCATTGAGTCCAAAGTTCTCAAGAAAGTTAAGTCACCCATGTTGCTGTGTAACACTATAACTATCATATATCCTTACTAAAATGGCAACTGAGGATCTGTTGAGAACCAGTGCAGATAAAGACATGTGTTAGCCTTTATCTGGAGTTATTTTTTTATTTGAAAACTATTTTGTAAAAACATGAATCTTTGTTATATTTGTAATGTTATTGTTTCAATATTACTTATTAGTAATAAACTTGTTTGTTCTTCCAAATACAAACATATTAGTCTTATTATGAATCAGATCAAATTCTGAGAAATAACATGTTCTGCTATGGGAGGACTCTCACATGGCAGAGCCCTCACCAATTGTTCAACTCCCTGTTCATTAAGAACATCAAAACAACATTAAACTAGGAGCTCTCAGCTTTCTCATCTTATAAACATATCCCGCCACAACATACACATTTCTTTTGTGATAAAAGGTGACCCAATTTGTCTCTTTCATATGTTAATTCTTGGGGGGAGACTGAAGTGGCAGCTCAAAGAAAATCAGAAATTGGCATCATCCAGGAAAGACTTGATCAGTGCGTACGTTTTTGTTTTGTTTTGTTTTGTTTGTTTTGTTTTTGTTTTTTTCACTTTTCAGCATTTTTTAAATAAATATGTCAAACCTAATCGTCATGTAATTGGTGACTTTTTTATTTTTATTTTATTTTTATGAAGCCTATTTTCCCTCCTCTCTAGGAGGCATAACTGGCAGGGGAAAGAAGGTCTCATAAACTTCTAAATGAACAAATAAGTTATGTGCTTTGTAATCCCTTTAAATATAACCAAATGACTTATACCTGAAATTTCAAAGCTTCACTTTTGGCTGCCGGCAGTTAAACCATAATGTGTGAAAATTGACTCAGAGTTTGAAGCACAGATTCATTTCTTACACAACAAGTGTTTAGTGTAACAATAGATCATATGGGAGATGACAGTTCAGATACCATGAGAATAAAAAACTGAAGAGAAATGTCTATTTAATTTTATTAAACTTATGACCTGGAAATTAAACAAGTTATAGATTTTTTTATTATTATGGTGTTACTTTGGAGTATTTATATCACTCCAAATTATTTAGATTTCTTATTTTTACACACAGTTAGAGGGATCTCATGGTCTTTGAATTATTTATTTATTTCTTCATTTGAAAAACATGCAAAAAACTGCTGAGGAGAAAATGTGATTGAATATCCCGTCATTATTTAATATCAAAAGACGAAGTATGTTTATTACTCTATTGTTAATGTGAAGACACAGACGGAGAGGCTTTTGAACTCCTAAGGATGTTGTCTTTAGCCCCCATAGCAGAGCCCTCACCAATTCTTCCACTCCCTTAGAATAATCTTCTTTTGTCTTCAAGCAATCCACTACTGTGTACTGCCAAGACACTTGAAGCCAGAGTCAAAGTCTAATTTCCATTTTAATAGGATGTCTCTTTATCATAACAGTAGAGTATATTATAATTACCTTTAGGGATATCTAAGTGGTGTATCTATGGCAATAGCACGGAAGAGGCACTGCTGAGGCGGAACTGCATGGAAAGTGATTTATCACCTGTTCTCCCTACCAATGTGATTTTTTTTTTCTTTTATTATTCATTTACCGCACAGTGATTTGTTGTTGGGGGCTCTTCATACTAGAGTAGACACAAGCATAAGGTACATTTTTCTGTTAGGAAATCTCAAATATAGCATATTGATCCTATTTCAGGATGAAATAAGCTGAATTTTCTTTGGGATGTATTGGCAAAATTCATGTTTTATTTTATTTTTGCACAATATGAGGTTTAATCCTTTGCTGAAGTCTTACAAACTTTCCACATGACATGTAAGCAGCATCTCCGAGCTAGAAACAGCTCTGAGAAAACCCAAGATTTTCGATGAACTAAACACAATTGCAACTGGTTTGTTTTGTTGCTTCACTTTTTAGTAGAAGACTGAGCCATCAGCTAATTCATATTTTCTGATGTTAATTCGTACCACACTGAAACACAATGTTTTGTGATAAGGGTGCGGAATGTTTCCAACTTTGCACCTTTGAAGCACATTTAGACATAAGAGCTCAGACCAACACAACACCATCATTGGTCTGGCATCATTGGTCTGGCTGTGTCAGTGAATTTAAATTTAAACAGACAGTGTCAGTTTATGTTGTCTTGGAGATTTAATACTTTGTTGTTGCAGATATAGGAAGCTTCACTGACCTTTTAAAGTTGCTTTCAAACATCAGTATCACCTGTAGTGTTAGCATAGCTGGCATGTGGCATGATTCCTCAGCATTACTCATACTGCTGCCAGAAGAATTGGCATAATTTGGGAAAATGCAAATAGCTCAGTTTTGATGCAAGTGTCTTTGAATAACTATGTTTTACTGATTATAATCTATAAAATGAGTTATTTAGAAATCCCTGCTGGAGGTGCACCAAGAAATTGTTTGACCAGAATAAGTTTTTAGCTTCACCTGCCTTTACTGCCAGACTCCTATAAATCAGATATCTTTTCGATTGGTGATGACATTATATACAGACATTACAAGTACTGTAATATACAATACTGTAAGATACAAAATCCAAATTGGTGCATCTCTATACATATTCTTACAGAATAGCAGATTATAGATTTTAACTACCTACATAAAAGATGTTCATGATCATAATTATGCATATGCAATAGTTATTGAGTTGTTCAGTGAGTTTTTGAGCAGTGATTAAATTCATCCCCATATTTTTGAACAGCTTGAATCAACACTGTGTTTTTTTTGTTTGCACAGATGCCTGTACCCATCACCCAGGAGTCCCAGTGTTCCACGATGCTTTGAAGGTATTGTACCTGAAAGCCAACTGATGGCTTTGTTCAAGCTTTGTTCAAACATTCTGGTCTAATTTAATGTTTTGGTAACTTCTTTTCAGGGATGGTCCTGCTGCAAGAGAAGAACTACTGACTTCTCAGACTTCCTCAGCATCGCTGTAAGTTTTCTGTTTCATTTCATCCATTTTCCCAGTTGTCTCCATTGTCTTGTTGAGCAGATATTGACTACCAACTTCTTTTCTTGGCCCCATTGGCTTTGGAGCACTTTTTATGAGTTCAATACAGTGACTTTCTTCTCTCAGGGCTGCACCAAGGGACCCCACAACAAAGAGAAGCCTCCTGAGCCGGTGAAACCAGACGTGAAAACATCAGGAGAAAAAAAGGAGTTGGAGGCCCAAAAACCAAAGTTTAATGAGTACATCATCTCTGCACCGAAACCCCAGGAGGCGATACACAGGCCAAGGTCGGTTTCTGTAAGAGCATTTTTTCTTAAGTTAGTGAAAGAGAAGTATAAATATCCAAACTAAACACAAAAATACACCTACTAAAAGTTTAAATTTGGGGTGTTTGTTATTTAATATTTGAACAGTGGAAAACGGGGCAAAGATGTGCTTTTTGCATTCATTCTAGCTTTGGGACATTGTGCTGAATATTTATGCTTTTAGATCTGCAGACTGTTCTGTATTGAAAATTTTACTTGTTTGTTCCAAACCTCAGCGAGACTAGGTTTTTTTGTCTTTGAAGCAGCATTTAAAAAAGGGAACAATGGCAAAACAATTATGATTTAATAGTGCCATGATGACTGTTTAAACTTCATAAAAGCCTATTTTTTTTCTGAGATATTTCTTTTCCTTACAGTCCCGATGAGCCGATGGTGAAACTGCAGCACAAAGTTTCTTCCTCTCTAAAGCAGGCATTGGAGAAACTGAAAGTATCCGAAAATATATCAGAGACAAAAGGTGGGAAACAGATTTTGATTTTCTTTTTCCGTCTACTGCTCTTTCTTATCATTGCTGAATACATTTTTGTCAGCCAGTACTTACAAGATCATCTGAATAGTGCTTGTGACAGCAGATGTGAAGGTCATGTTAAAAGTAGAACTTAATGGATGACCACTGGGAATTTCCCATCATCTGTGTCATCCACATCATGACATTCGAGTTAAAGATGACAGTTAGAGGGCAACACATCAAAACTGATGATACATTTTTTTAAATCTTGTCATGTGCATGATTTTTTTTCTCTTTTTTTTCCTTCTCTCTGGATGTTTTACTGTCTAGAGGAAGATGGCGATGAGATCAAAATCGGAACGTCATGTAAAAATGGAGGATGTACAAAAGTAAGTGAATCTTACTTTTTACATTTACGTTTTGTAGTGAACTGTGGCACTTTTACTTTTAACTGTAGCACTGCTCATCTCGGGAAATCAGTTAAATGGTGAACTCATTTCCGTTTATTTATATAGAGTCATTTCACAAAAAGTATAATAATTTCAGTTCATTCATACATGCAATGATCCCATATGAAATCCAACTGTACAGTAAGTTTTGTTAATTATTAAAAGTAGTTTAGAAAGTTTCTAGTGAAACCCAGCAGATTGCATCGAGTCAGTGACTTCCAGCATTCAATCCTCCTGGACTAGCATTGTCATTGACTTTACAGCAATCCCTCACAATTTTCTCTCATACAAAAACGCATGCTCATGTGTAATTATAGCAAAGAAATCACCATAATCTGATCTTATTGTTTGACATTACACCACCCTCCAACCCCCCCATAAGAAAAGTTAGTACTCAGGGGAAATTTAAGCTCCATATTTTCTGCAGGGTGGATGGAAAGCAAAGTTTTTCATTCAAGCTAATCAGACCTGTCAGAGCAGAAACCCCAAGATCAGAACAGGAATTTTGAGGAAAATTTACATTGACATGTTTGGGAGCTCGTCTGATTTACATAATTATACTTGAACTGATTTTGTATACCTACTCTCATCGGCTTCTTGCTTCTGAGCTGTGATGAATGACGATTCGATGTGAATCTAAATTAGTCTTCTTTCATCTGTTTTTATTTGTTTTGTGTACAAATATTGTGACCTCCAGAGTTCCTACACAGTGAAGAACGGAATAGAATAAAGCTTATTGTTACTACACCTATTACGATAAAATGAGAGGTTTCCTTAAGTTTCACAGTTAAACTTACAAGAACACAAACAGCACAATAGTACAATATAAAGTCACTGAAGATGATAACAAATGAACCAGTTATAGAAAATGTATGTGCATGCCTTATTTGAAGTTGGTTGCCTTTTGAACAGAAAACATGTTAAGATAGTAGAGCGTAGAGCTGACAGGAGTGTTCTTGTTTTTTATGTCTAAAATTCATCCATTTATTAATGTTTATCCAGTTATATGTTTACCGACGCAGACATTCATTTCTTTATCCATCTCCTGCATTCATCTCTCCTTACACTCTATTTGCTGTTGTTGCAGCATTCGTCTTGAAAGCAGATTCACTGTAAAAATATCTGCTATTAATTCCTAGTACACTTTTGGAAATACTCCTTAGAAACTGACTAAAAAGCACTGAGAATTGTGAAAAGTTTAGTGTAGGAAAGTAATTAATTTTGACATTAAATAATTAATTTTGACATGGAAAAGTAATTAATGTTGACATAAAAGATGAGTAGTAACCCTCGATCTCGCTCATTGCCATAATAGTTAAAAGTTTTTATGCAGCAACAGAATTAACTAAGTTCTTCTTCATCGTATGCTTTTCTGTAGGAGTACACCAATGAATCACCCCCAAATTTTCTTAATTTTGGGAGATCAGTCATCGGCTGATTCTTGCATGTTAAGCCAATTTTATCCCCTGACCTTATCTACCTCAGCAGAGGTCATAAAATCAACCAATGTCCTCTATTGCTTTGAGAGAGGCTTCACTGACCGTCCCGCTCACGAGGTCATGTCTGCACGCCTCCACTATTGCCAACTCAGTCACTTTCATGCTATAATTTGCAACATTTCAGCCAAAAATTGGTATCAGCCAAAGTCGGAATCAGCCGATCAGGCTTTTTAAAGATTGGTGATTGTAATTGGCCAGAAATTGGTGCACCTCTACTTTTGTCAACAAAATAAATACTGAATCAAAAACAAAAAGGGATTTTATGACTGGATAAAACAGTATCAATAATATTTAAAAAAAAGATGTATTTTGAATTCTCATTTTTGTTTTTAACCTCAGGTTTTTGAGGGACCTTCAAGTGACTCAGACATATGCTCGTTCCACTCTGGAGTCCCCATCTTCCATGAAGGGTTGGTATAAATGCTAATGTTAAGCATATGTCTCTTATAAAATGTAAAATTCACCCCACACCATTATTTATTGACATTTATCAGTTGCCATTCTCTTGTGGCAACTGTAAAAGAATAATTACTTCTCTCCTGCTTCTCCAGGATGAAATACTGGAGCTGCTGTAAAAGGAAAACCTCTGACTTTAACACCTTCCTGTCTCAGGAGGGCTGCACAAAGGGAGCACATCTATGGAGGAAAAAAGATGCAGTATGTGGTGCCAGCTTGACAGCAATTGATCATTTTGTGGTGCAAGTCTATGAGGAGCCTTGGCTGGAACTCCATCTAGTGGTTTCTGGAAAGCGATTTCACAATGAAGACGTTTCTTTGCAGCAGAGGTCGACAAGTTGACTGATGTGCTGGGCTTTAACTGCATTCTCTTTGTAGGGGAAGAAGGTGGTCCCCTGCCGGTTCGACTGGCACCAGACAGGGACACAGGTCATCATTTCTATTTATGCCAAAAATGCCGTTCCTGAGCTAAGCTATGTGGATGCCAACAGCACTACAGTGAGAGGCTGAATACACTCTGATTATTTCTGAACTGCTTAGAGTTTAATTTACTTAAGATTCAATTTCATTTTTTTTTCTCTAGCTCAACATCCACATTATATTTGATGGCGAGAAGGAATTTCAACAGGATATCAGCTTGTGGGGAGTAAGTACAGTAATACCATAGTGAAATAAACCTTTAATGGTTTATGTTCTATGTATGTTGTGCATGGACCATTTTCTAAGGATTTGACAGTACACTGGAGACATTGACAAAAACTGGCTTTTATATTGAAGATAAATATTTATGTTTTTAATATTTTAATGTTAACAGTCAGAGGAGTTAAGTCTAAATAGGGAGACAAATCTAAATGTAAACAAACCCAAATGTTTGAGGCCATAAACTATAGTTTAATTCATTGCACATCCCAAATGATACTGAATTGGGTACATTCAAGTTTAGATAACAAACTCCTCCATTCAGATTTGTAAAAATGTAAATACAAATATGCCCTGCACATGTGATTCTTCACTCTGCACATCTACATTTTTTGGGGGAAAAATGTTAACACACTGCGAGTTTGAGATCATCCTAAATAAGGATGGAAAGGCAATTGATGTTTTTTTTTATGTGCAATACAGACTGGTTTGTTAATGTTGTACAACACTGAGATGGTTTTCAAACTCATTTTAAATAATTATACAGTTGTTCTGGGACAAGTTGGGGTTGATACATTTAAAACTTTACTTTAAATGTCTCTTATTGACATACATACTTTAAATACAATAGTACTCATAGGGTTGGTAAAATAGCCTGTCACTTTAGGCAAAAAACAGGTAGTTACTCATTTACACAATGAAGCGTAGTGATGGTGTAAGGACAAACATCAACTGTACATCGAGCTTGTGTGCAAATAATTTTCTCACCAAATATGCCAGCTCATTGTCTGTTCACAACCACTCTGTTCATTAAAATGAATGAGCTAAGCCACCTCATCAAAGTGTTAGTTATTTTTGCATCATATTTCATTTGTATAATGATTGCATAAAAATGCTTCCTGTTAAAAACAACAATCCTACAGTTGTGCCAAAAAAGCTTTTTCTCTGCAGTCAGCAGTTCCAATTATATAAGTAAAACTTGTGCTGGTTGTGCTTTAACATTGGCATTATGTGAGAATTTGGAATACCTTACTGACACGAATAAATTCCATGTCAATAATAGTTTAAATAGGCCAGTCCTGATCAATATGTCGGCTCCAGTGGAACTGCTTCTATTGCTTGGAACCTCGGTGGGTCAGGCTGCATGAGGACAGGGTAACCATAGCCTCGAGCACAGTTACGAACGGGTAGTCGTGGGAAACCTAAAGCAACCGATGAACCTGGTGTCATCTTGTGTCATCTCATTTTCTAAAAAAAAAAAGCGTTTCACACTGTGCTACTTGGAATATGTTCTTATTCACAAAGTAACCAAAAAACTGTAGATGCATATAAAATATATTATCATAGAAATTAAAGATATTTACTACGTTTCTTTTCTACATTGACTCATGACCTTAGTAATATGTATGCTCCATGAAATTGAGATAAATAGTTAACACATTATTTGTTACCAGATTAAGTTACAGACCAAAACACACATAATTATCTCCATGCAAAGCTTGCATGGAGTATATTGAGTTGTTGAGAATTTTGAAGCCTGTTTTCCCTCTGGTGAGAATTTTGTGTTTGTGGTATTTTTTGAAATATATTACATGGAAATATATCATTTTAATTAGTTAAAAACAAGTTATCTTGAATTAATTTCCATACTCATTGAGTATTTAAGTGGGACATCATTCAGTGAAGACTTTTTATATAAATTGATTAGTTGTCTCTGGAAACATTAGTTTCTAGTTGGACCATGTTTTCTGAGCTTGCATAATTTTTTTCATCATTTCTTTCACTGCTAAGTGCTCCTGGGCACATGCCCATTTAATGTTCAAAAATCCTTGAAATGCGCAAATCTAGTCCTTCTTGATTTAGAAAGTCTTACTTCAGTGGAGATTTTGGCTGTTACTAAAAACAAAAAAATCACTAAAGTGTGTTCAGAACACATTTTAATTTCTGTTGAACAAGTTGCTCCTTCTATCTCACCTTCCAGGTGATAGATGTGACCAAAAGCATGGTAAACATGATGGCGGCCAAGATAGAAGTTGCCATGAAGAAGGCGGAGCCAATGTCCTGGGCTCGTCTGGATCTGCCACCTCCCATCACCCCACCCAAAGAGAACGACGAAAAGAAAGAAGAAGGGGATAGTGAGGATGAGGATGAAGATGAATGATGACATGTTTCTATCTAGCTTAATCAAAGGCAGGAAATATTTTAACTTATTTACCTCTTTAAAGAATGGCCTCTTTTGCAGTTATAGCATTCTTTTATTTCTCTGACATTCACTGCAGTTTTTCCCTTATCTCTCTTCATTATCAGAATTACTTCTGGCTTTCTTCTGAAATATTGGAGTTCATTAGAAGCTTGAGTGCTAAGTATATCTTAAAAATATTTTTATGTGGACAAAAGTAGACTTTAATCAAATGAGGCAGCAACTCACCTGTGTATTTGCACTGACATTATCTTTAAAAACAATCTGACGGAGATGACGGGGCCGCTCATATTGAATCATAATAGACCGCAGTTGTGACCATCTCTCTACAATGGTGGGTAAAAGATGATTAAACTTGTACATTTACATTGTCTCATAATTGAGAAATTGGAAGTTACACACTTCCAGCTGTGTAATGTGCTGGCATTCCATCCTTTGGTTTCAATTATTAGATAAATTATTCAAATTTGTTTTCATTTTCTGTTAATGTCCTAAGAAATTTAGGCTGTCTGCGTGATGAAGAGATATTCTATTAAATTTGAATCCTCCAGGTATCTATATGTGTTTAAAATGGAATATATTTTAATAAACATCATTAAAATTATTAGTTCTTCAAGTTTTGCTTTACCTTTGTTCCAGTGGAAATAAAGGTGTGCTCTAGACTTTTTTTTTTACATTATATTCTGCATTTATTTTGTACACTTTTGCTTTGAGTGACTATTTCTTCTGACTACAACACACTTCGGTTTTAATGGGAATGTACTGTAACATTTGACTATGCCAAATGAATACTAAGTATTTTGAGCAAAATTATTGAAATGATACACTAGACAGCATGTGTCTATGTTTAGAATGTTTGACATTTATTTGGCTTAATGAGACCACAATAAGAGGTGCATTAGGAAACAGGTTTATTCCACCCCCTGCAGAAAAATAAAGTTTTGTTTAGCAAATTAAAAGCTGAGTGCTGGTGTTTGTTTATAAAAAAAAAACAGTCTTTGAGTGTGCTACAATAGATTTTTCTAATCTTTCTCAACTATATTGCGATTGTAATAAGATAGGAAACGAATTAAATTGCAATATGAAATTAAAAGGCAAAACCTTGTCATTTTAAAAATTATAAAGTAGGTACTGAGGACTTACTGTACAGAACTAAAGTAGACCAGTTGAAAAATGTTAAATTAAATGTATTATGTGCTTAGAAAAGACATAATGCTACTCCTATTTTAAGAGGCCAGCAATACCTATCACATCTTTTGAAGCCAACAGGTTGTGTGAAACCGGTGTGGCTCCATGATCAGGAATGTTTCCAATCCATATACAGTCTCCATGGTAACTAACTGACCAATGAACTGTCACAGTATCTTTTACTATCATTACTGATTATTATTACTGATAATCACATATTCACCACAGCAGCAGGATTTACTATCGCTGTCCAGTTCATCAAGTGCTCAGTATAGTTCCTAAACCAAGTTTACTTGGTGGAGAATCAACCAGTCATGTGGCAACAAGCTCTCTTCACTTTGGGTTTATGTTTGATACTTAGATCTTTTTTTTTTTCTTTTTGGGAAATAAAAAAATTAAATAAAAAATCTCGAAACCTATGTGCTACTGCAGCAGAAGACCATACTGTACACAGGCAAAACATAAATCATTAACGGATTTACATGGAAGCACAGGTCCCTCAGAACTTATCTGAGATTTTCTACTTTTAACTACTAACTTAACTACTTTATAATTACTTTGCCTGCTGAATTTTTCTCCCCATCATGTCCATTGCTTTATGACCCAGTGGGCTCTTTCCAGCAGAATAGTGCATGGTTCATTACAAGTCCTCTGCAGAACTAAATCAGACTGAATGGGTGGTTCAGCAGTGTTGGAATCAGGGCACATGGAAAATATTGACTCAACATCTCATCAGTCAGAGTTCTAAGAGTCAAATCACTTGTTACTGACATTAAACCTAGTACTCAGTGATGCAATGAAATAAAACTCCATATCTTCTATTGACAACTGTTCATTCATTCTATTAGCAATGAGTGTCATCTCCTCGTATTATCTTACTTGATGTGTAACCCCATGCACCCATCAGGGACTCTGAGAATCAATTATTATTCTTGAGGCAATCTGTACCAACCCAAAATTCTGGCATCCTTTCCTTGTCTAATGCAGAATTATGTTTATCGCTGAAGTGTGCTTTCATCCAGAAACTGTAACTCTTTGCTCTGGGGCACTGTTTTCTTGTTTTGTTCTTTGCAAATTGTGTTTCACATTAAGCAGTTTTTTAATGTAAATTCTTTTTACTGCAACCAGGCTTTTACAGTTCAATTAGCAGAGCTTACTTTTTTCTCTTCCCATTTGTTACGTGTTATCATTTTCAAGTTGCATTTCATTTAGCTTACAGTTTTGCCTTGTGCATTTTTTACTTTGATAAGGAAAATATGCTAACTACAATAAGTCCATATGCCTATTGATGTACATCCAACAAGGGCAAAATATTTTGCCCTTGAATAACGCTATGCTTTTGAGTAACTTTATGCTATATTTGTAAAATTCCCCATAAGTTCAGGTTAGGATAAATAGGGATTGTAAGCATAAGGTTTTCCTAATTCATTCAAAAAAAGACCAAAAGCTCAAGTTCACAACTAATGAAGTAAATCAGCCTTAATTTTCAAGATTATCATTATTAAGGTAAAGAATACATGTCTGGAATCATGAAAATATTTTCTGAAAAATTTAAATACTCCAAGAACATATGTTAAAAGCATGTGCTGAATCCCATAATGTTTTGGAAGAGTTTGATAATATTTATTAAAATGTAATGAGTTGTAAACATTGTTATTTTACATAGTTTCCTAAACTATGTAACATATATATTTAGATAAACATTGGTAATACTACCATGAATAATTAGCAATGAATAATTACATAGTTGTTTGGTAGCTATGGTGGCTGCCTTCAGATTCATTGTTCCAGATAAGTGGCTGCTTTTCTGGTAAGGCAAAGACGTTTTTCCAAATTTTCCTGCGAGGCCAGGCCTTGCATCGATGTTTAGCGAGAAGGACTGCGATAGCTGTGGTCACAGTCACAATTCCTCCACAGAGTGCTGCAAGGATCAGCCAGGGCCACACATCATGCAGCTCATCCAGGTAGGGACGCATGGATTCTGCAAGCCTTTGGTCTGCAAGAGAGGTGGAGCAAAGTCAGCAAAGTTTGTTTTTATATATGGCCATGAATCCCTTTTAATGACCAATGCATAGTTTAAGCAATATACAAAAGGCAATATCCAGTGAGTTTTTTTCTTGTCCATCCAGAATCACTTTCTTCCCTGCATCTGCTGTATCGCTTGTGGCAAACTACAACAAGACTTGCTGTATTTAGCTTTCTTTTTGTTATCAATATTTCATAAAGGCCAGTTTTGTGGCATGCAAAATGAACTGTTAACAGGATGAACAGACTTTTGTTCCTGAACTGTTGCTCCTTCAATTTTCTCTTCATTATTTTCATCAACTGAGCTCATAAAAATTAATCACAGTGGCAACATCATTTCTTATCTTAAACAAATTCATCAAATCAAGCCCAATTTTTCCAGGTGTTATTTATTTAAAAAAACAAAAAAACTTTGAAAACCATGTATTCCCTTCTTTCCAATTCTTAATTAAGCAATGTGTCCTGCAGATTTATTCAAAAATAATAAAAAAAGAAATCTTTCAATATTTGGTGTGAAAATGTAAAAAATAATAATTTTGAGGAGTGTAAATACTTTGGAATTGTGCTGTATATGCATAAACTAATTTCTAATTACTAAAATTAACTAATTCTGTATTATATTTAGACTGACCATAAATGCAAATAGCTGACATGACAGAATTAAATAACAAAAAATATCAACTTCAATAAAAACAATTTATTAAAATCTGAAAGGAACTTACTGGCATCCAGCAAATAAGAGTACTCATATCCAAGGTCTTTGCTGGAAATAAAGTACTCTTTATTTCTGTGCAGGGGTATAAACGGCGGCATGTGGTAATCACCATTGTGCCCTATGGGAGCATTAGACTCCGGATACTGAGATGGAGATGGTTTGTGTCTCCTTAGCCACTGTTCATATATACTTTAAAAGACAGAGAAAATGTAGAACCACTATTAACTGCAAAAATATGTATGGTGGTCTCAATTTCAGGTCTGTGCAGATGCATTTATTACCTGTCAACAAAAGCATGGTGAAGCATAAATATGGGGTCATTTGCAGAACCCTGCACAGAGGACATAGATCCATTCATAAACACATGCAGGGCAGCATGCATACCCAAACGAGAACTGCTTCCCAACCCAGTCTGAGGGTCCCCAAATCCTGCAGAAAGAATAAAATAGGTAACAAAGAAAACTAGAACACTGCAAACTTCCATGTTGCATCATTATCAAATGGTGTTTCTTTGTTTTGTTTTGTCTTGTTTTTAACATTTAGTTCTTCACTTTGGTAAAGAATCTTATCCATCACTTGGACTATACAGTTAAAGTAATTGTTTTGAAAACAAATTTTCTGTAATTTATTTTGTTTTGTTGCTGTTAAAACAACAGGTTCTTTATCACTTCAGCCAACATTGATAAAGGACTGGTTTCACCATGAATACTGATATACTCATCAGTTTTGGCAGCTTCAATGCCTTGAACAGGTGCATGTCTCAAAACTAAGACTCTTCTCTGGGACACCAGTTTCTTTTGATTTACCAATAGTGTGAAACAAAGAAGCATTGTAAATGAGCTGATAAAGTGTCTAAAACTATCTAAATTAAACCGTTTAATCCCATTTTTTTTCCTGCAAACTAAGCATTTCAACCCTTAGACTTCCCTAACACATGATATTTATGAATTATCACATTTTACATTGGTTATGTTACTGAAAATGTAGGTTTCATACTCTGCAACAATTGTTTCCAGTGGAAAACTGCATAGTCTGAATTATACAAATCTGGTGTATTTATACATATAAAAAAATAAGAAAAATCAACTTCAACTGTGGGAATGACAGTGATGTAGGAGACATCATTTTGAGGTACCTTCAGGTCTAGAAGATCCAAAACATCTGATAATTTAAGCTGTATGGGAAAAGCAAGGCATATAGAATATACAGGCAAACCATTGACACATAGTATAGTGATGTCTGTATTATGCTAGCGGCAACAATTGTTGCCATGCTTACGTTCACTCTTATGGTCAGAATATAAATGAAGGGATACAATTTTCTTCATATATCAGAAGAAGACACTTGAAAGAACATATGTTCAAAATATCTTGTTTTTTTTTATTAAAGTATTTTACTGGCTTACTTTTGTTCAGGTTTGTGACAGACATTTACGTCCAGCATCACAGAGAGGAAGTAAAAAGGTCTGGTCATGTGACCTTTCACACTAGATACATGAAATTGATATTGCTTAGAATAGACACACTGTTGTTTTATTTTAAAACTTAAATTAGCTGCCAAAAGTTTAAAAAATCATTTAGAGCTTCTAGAAGTTAGAAAAAATATCTGGCAACAATGCACTGTTTAACTGCTTTCAACTATGTTCACTTGAATGAGCTCATGGGAAACCCTCACATTATCTGTCACAACTTAAAATGGAATTAGTCCTAAAATGTTTGCTGAGGCATAAGTAAGAAAAGTCAGAGTTGCAGCTTAGGCTCTCAACAGCCTTCTTAAATGAGCATGACGATTCAAACACATTTCTTCCTCTTTAGGCAGTGTCAGCAAACACTGCCCAAATAAATGTCCACTCTTACTGAGTACATAAGCATATAAATATGGTCTAATTTAGTAATACAAGTCATACAAGAATAGTAAAACAGGTATGCAATTTTTTGCAGTTTTATGTATTGGGACATTCTAATAATAACAGGATTTTGCCATGTTTTATAGTTATTTAAATCTAAATTTAAATAAATAAAAGCACATCAGCTTCTACATTTTTATTA